CATTTGATAAAAAAAAAACTAAACAAAAAAAAAAAAAAAAAGATTTGTGTTCTCCATAGAGCCTTGCATGTACTTCAATATGTGAAAGAACAGTTTGTACAGTAAGCGTTTACAAAGTGTTTGCTTATGATGTCTGGGCCCTCTCCTGTAAAACTCACTTGCTTTTAGAAGGTACATGTCTTCTGCATCGTTGATGAGTGCTTTCACCATTCTTCTGGGATCCTTCCTGGGTGACAGAATATACCAAATCTAGCTAGAAGACTCTCTAGTCTAGTCCATTGCATGGTCTGGGGTGCTCTGCATTCCCCAGGATCTCACCAGATGGAGTGTGATACCACCCTGGCCTTGGCACTGTGGGCTAAATACGGGAGTAATGGAAGTATACATCTAACAGTTTTCTTTAGAAGTATATTTTCCACTTAGTAGTAGATTTTAAGGAAGGGGGGGTGGAGAGAGGGGTCGTGGGTTGACCTGAAATTTATGTGAATACTAAACAGCTAAGGGGAATGCTCACTGTCACTATAAAAAGCAGGTTTCAGAAAGCTCTCAACAAGCTTTAAAGTGTTACTAAACCCAGGACCCTGCATTCACTATATCTGGTCTCCCACAGTACACACAACATGGAAATGCAATATTTTAGTACATATAAACTGCTAAATACCTTTTCTCATCAGCAGTATATAACAATCTTGTGACTTCTATCAGTGTCCAGCCAAGCACTGGTTAAAGCTTGTAGGAGGAGTTTTCATTCTGCTCTATGAGGTTGCAGAACTTCTGACCTCTGTCTGGACAGCACTGACTGGCCCTGTGCTGATCACATGCACTCTTCCAAGAAAAAAAAAGCCTCTCTAGCAATACACACCAAACTGTCAGTTTTTCAGATGGATCTAGATTGAAATAAAATGTCTATGGGCAGGCGGATGTAAATGGATGATCATATGTTTACATCTGACTACATCTGTGTTCATTGAGAGCTGATTCACACATGTGCGGTGCGGATCGAAGCTCAGGTTTCACAGCTAATTGATACAGTAGTTGTTCAGTGGTTCATGTCAGGTTTACATCAGGTTCAGAATATAATTAGCTCTCAGGATCATCCTGTTCACACATTTGCGGTTTAGAAACAGTTCCCATAGAAATCAATAGCCTGTAATCTGCACCTGAACCGCACTGCACTGCTCAGAATTTGTTCATGACTCTTTTTCAAACCCACACTGAATCCGCACCGCCAGTGCACCGGACATATGTGAACAGGCAACACGTCACCATTTTTCTCAGTAAATATATTTGTAAAGGTGCTACTGTCATAAAATGTTCACCACATGTTGGTAACAACCCATGAAATCTATACATACAAAGAAACCAAAACAAATATGTTCATAATTTAATTTATGTGTAATAAAATGGAAGGACACGGGATAAAAGTATTGAACACATGAAGAAAGGGAAGTGCGAAAAGGCATGGAAGGCCGAGACAGCAGCTGAAATCTATCAGTAATTAGAAGGTAATCCTGCCCCTTGGCAGTGCAAATTAATATCAGCTGGTTAAGTCCCAACTTATGGCCTATAAGTGTCACACAAGAAAGATTTCATGATGGGTAAAGGCAAAGAGCTCTCTCAAGACCTTCACAACCGTATTGTTGCAAAACATAGTGATGGCTTGGTTACAGAAGGATTTCTAAACTTCTGAATGTTCCAGTGAGCACTGTTGTGGAAGTGGAAAGAACATCATTTCACCATAAACCAGCCACAACCAGGTGCTCCTCGCAAGATTTCTGAGAGAGGAGTGAAAAGAATTATCAGAAGAGTTGTCCAAGAGCCAAGGACCACTTGTGGAGAGCTGGAGAAAGACCTGGAATTAGCAGGTACAATTGTTTCAAAGAAAACAATAATTGGTGCACTCAACCGCCATAGCCTGTATGCATGCTCTTTGGATGCCATAATACGCACCATCTTTGGAGGTCAAATGGTACTGTACATCACCCCAAAAAACACTATACCAACAGTGAAGGTTGGAGGTAGGAACATCATGGTGTGGGGCTCTTTTACAGCATACGGTACTGGCAAACTTCATGTCATTGAAGGAAGGATGAATAGAAAAATGTACCAAGACATTCTGGATAAAAATTTGTTGCCACCTACCAGGATGATGAAGATGAAATGAGGGTGGACATTTCAGCAAGACAATGATCCCAAACACAAATCCAAGGAAACTCTCAATTGGTTTAAAAAAAAAAAAATAATAAAGCTGCTAGAATGGCCCAGCCAATCATCTGACTTGAATCCAATAGAAAATCTAAGGAAAAAATTAAAGATCAGAGTTCATAGAAGAGGCCCAAGGATCCTGCAGAATTTGAAGAATGTTTGTGTGGAAGAATGGGCCAAAATCACACCCGAGCAATGCATGCAACTAGTTTCTCCATACAGGAGGCCTCTTGAAGCTGTCATTGCCAACAAAAGATTTTGTATGAAGTATTAAATACATTTCAGTTAGCGTGTTCAATACCTTTTCCTGTGTCGTTCCATTTTATTACACATAACTTAATTTCTGAACTTATTTGTTTTGGTTTCTTTGTATGTATGGATTGCATGGGTTATCGGCATGCGGTAAAAATGTAATGTCAATATCACCTTTAGAAATATATTTACTGAGAAAAATGGTGACGTGTTTTTTTATACTTATTTTACCCTCTGTATATATATATGTAGCACAACCCCATTGAAGCCCACTGATTTGTTACCAAGGTTCTTTCCCTGGTAAGTGCACTAATAGCCAGGCACACAGTCTCAGTCACTCTTCTAGTTCAATCAGTCTAGGGGTATTTGTTTTATGCTTTATTGAAACTTGAACTTGGATGGGTACAAGGTAACCATGGGATACTCCAGCAACATTGAGTAATAGCTAGAGGAACCTTTTCTTTCTCCTAATGATTTTGAGCACTGTCCTTGCAGCAACAAATAGTGGGCCGAGCTGCACAGGGACACCATAAGCAATGCCAACTTTTGAGCACAAGCTGACTCTGATGCAAGAGAAATAGCAGCAGCACACAGTCACTATGATCTCTGGTCTATACTCACTAATGCCCTTGCATAATTAGATGCCTCCTTTCAATACATTCCAGACACCTCTCCAGATCCCCCCAAAAAGTCCCTCAGTCAGCTCCAGCAGAGTTTGTTAGAATAGGCCCCCCAGCTAGCACAGCTGGGACCTCGATGAACAAAAATGAAGAAGCGCACTGTGAACTGGCCAGAAGGGCATTAACCCTTCAGGCTGCAATCTCCTCCTGGACAAGAACAGGCTTCAGACTATATATGCTCAATCCCAGCTATCTAGGCAACCTTCCCTGAGACCACCTAAATATTCAGACTGTAGATTTGACTCTCCCAGCCCACTACATTCTAGGACCATCCAAAAAAACAAGGGGAAGCAGCCAAATCCACAGCCTGTGAAACTCAGAGCAATCACAAGTAGCTCCAATGTATACAGGAGAGCTTAGAACTACATGTACCTAACTCTAGCACCTACCTAGGAGGGTGTTGCTATATATATATATATATATATATATATATATATATATATATATATAAAATTACAAACATGTTATACTTACCTGCTCTGTGCAATGGTATTGAAGAGTGGCCTGAACCTCCTCTTTTGCAATCCCTTGTCCAGCTCTTGGCCCCTTCTCTTCTCAGTGCACCACGATAGGAAGCCAGTTCCTATGTTGGTGCACCTGCTGGCTTGGTCCCGAGCCAGGCTGTGTGCGTCTATTGACACACATAGCAAAGGTCAGTCTCACCCCACAGCATTTGCTTGAAAGCAGCAGGAGCCAATGGCTCCAAGCGCTGTCTCTGAGCCTGTGAGAGTGGAGAGAGAGAACAGGCACAGAGCTGGATTGACACAAGAATCAATTATTTGGGGTGGAGGGAACAACTAGTGGAAGGTTTTATTACCTCATTTGTATTCAACATTTTTTTCTTAGCAAAGAATGTGACTAAACTGTTGATGCCCATCTGAAAGGACTCAGAGTCATCTCCCAAAGAATACAACATGCCACCAACTCCAGGGACAAGATGCCAGTATTCCTCATATACGTCTACTATCATGCATGGAGTTCACTGAGATTTTCAGGTTAAAATGGCTGATAGGAAAAGCAATTGTGTGACTCAAGGCTGACAGGTGTTATTTGGGGAAAGCTCTGAACTTAGCAGTTGCAACATGCTTACAAACTAGAGAAAGCAACCTGTATGTATTTGCCATAGTTAGCGAATTCAAACTATTACTTTGTAAGGTTGGGTTGGGAAATAAAAGAAATGTTCTGGCTGGTTGCTGCAGGTGACAACTCACCATCTCCTCCAGTCTTTACAAATCAATATTTATTACGTCTGATTAGAAATATGATTAAAAAAGCAGACAGGACACACACTGTATTAATTTTAATACAGACAATAGAATCCAACCTTAACACTACTAAGATCCAATGCAGGATCCTCTGTCACTTGTCTCTAACACATACATAACAAAAAGTGTGCAATTGCCAGATAGAAGAAAAAAACAATCCAGTGTTTGGCAACCCAGTAATGATTAATGTCCTTAAAGGAAACATCAATGCAAAAAACAATCTTAATGGATACTCACTGACTAGATGGAAAGATTCACAGAATTCAACACTTTACCATTGTAATGCTATTGAATGAAATACAAAATATAATGAATTAAAAAAAATGAAATACAAAAAGGTGCTGAAATATATGTCTAATATCCAAGGTAGAATGAAGGGTGTAACCTGACAAACTAAACACACCATCTACACAGGTTGTGTGTTAATGAAGGAAGACTCTATTTAAGAAAGCACCTGGGAAGAGCTGCTGGCCAGTCATTATGGCTAGCTTCACAGATGAGGCAATGGATAACTACATGTATTCAGGGTATAACCCCTTATTCCTATAGGTATCTCAATCCAAAAAATAAGGGCATGAGCTGGAGGCAGAAGAATTACATGACCAACTATGGTGACTCTGGAGAGTATTTTGACAACTATCAAAGAGCCCAATTAAAGGCAATTTTGTCTCAGGTGAACCCCAACCTCACCCCGAGGCTGAGGAAGGCAAACACCAGAGATGTGGGGATTCAAGTGAACCCCAGACAGGATGCATCTGTTCAGTGCTCATTGGGTCCAAGAACTCTTCTCAGGAGGAGAGTTGGAACTGTGAGAAAGCCTCAGCTAAGCCCTGAAGATCAAGGAAGTCCTGCATCTCCAACCAAGACTGTGCGCTTCCCCAGAACAATTGCTGTGTATTCACCTGTGGCTGCTGGAAGACTTGCCACTTTCCAGGAGGCAGAAGAAGAATCTGAAAATAAGGCTGAAGATGACTTGACAAAAGAAGCCACTGAGAATGAGAACAAAGCGGTCAGCGATATAGATGGTGGGACCAAAGAAGAGCCTAAAGAGGACAAAAGTGAGAGCCAGCTGACTACTCCATCTCCTGGGCAGACAAGACTGAGATTCCAGGTAAGTAATTTCTGTGATGTAGCATTAGGATTTAGGCTCTGTTTTCCATCTGTTCGGTGGGTGTGTACATTGAAAATGGGATGCATGGGTTCTAGGTGGTGCATTTCATGACGCAAAAAAAGGTTTAAAGCTCATCTTGCCTTCCCTCCTCACCAACCTAACAATTGAAAATTAAGCCCAACTCCAGGAAACCTAAATTCTCCATTGCAGTGGGGTTTGTCCCACATTGTAAGGGTTAACTGCTTGTTTTGTTTAGGAGGAAAATGTTTTACTTGCCTGCTCCTGTGCTATCCAGGAAGGTGGTGCTCCTCAGTGCCATAGAGGTGGACTGTTCTTGGTGCCCTCACTCCAGTGCAGGGATATGGTCCTTACTTTAGACTTGACATCAGAGGACCTTAAACTGACAAAGCATAGGGGAGATGAGGCTGTGGGGCCAGTGTAGCAATGCAGAGGAGCCCGCAGGAGTGAAGGATCAGACAAGTAAACCTGCTTTTCCAAATCCCCTAAACAAGTAACTCTTGCAGTGTGGAGTTCAGCTTATAATACAAATTTTTTGAAATGGACCCAGTGATCTCATCCCTGGGTTTCTGTAATCTTCTATGCAATGCAGGCAGATCATGGCTGGTAAGGGGAGGGAGGCAGGATGCTGTACATGGGTTCATGAAAACTGCACAGTACTCTGCCTCCAGTACTTCTCTCAAGGGCCCTCAGTCTTGATGGAAGCAGTAGACTGGCACTTTGTAGGAGTTTGATAGACTTCAAAATGCCTTGATGGGTGGATATGGGGGATATTCAGCACCTTATCTTCTGATTATTACTGTCTGTTTTAATATCAGATAAGGTACCCCCAGTGAATCAGCCTAATCACAGAACCTGTGTAGAACTTAGAAATGTCTGCAATAAAGGGATGATCTTTGAACATTGATGGGAACTTGCTCCACTACTCATGTCTTGGGCACAAAGCTGCCAGGTAAACCTTCCATATTGCAAGGAAATCTCTATTTCAATTTGAAATTGAATTTTAATTTCAAGTGAAATTTGTCAATCTCTAATCTATTCTTGCCCCTGTTTTGGGGATAGTAATGTAGGCTTTGCCTCCAACTGTAAAATGGTTAGAGATTTCCTTTTACTGTAACCTCTAAAGTGGAACGCTGTAATGAGTTCTGCATCCCTTTTTTGTATGATTCTCTATTACACGAAATGCATAATCTGACAAGACTGGTGCAGGAATCTCAGAAGACAAAAGTAGGGGGAACCAATGTTATCAATTTACAAACCAGCTTTCTTAGCAATTTTTAAAATGCAATGCGTACTGAGCTTTCCATTAAACAAGACCCTACCAAAATTTCAGTTCTTGGCTAGCTGCTTCTGAAAGTGCGTGCTGGTCTTGAGTTTCTCATCAGTTGGAGGTGTGTAGGTTTTGTTCCCTGATTGGCATATTAAAAGCATTTTTTTAAAAACAAATTTAACTTTTAGTTCTTGGAGCAGAAGTATGGCTACTACCACTGTAAAGACTGCAACATTCGCTGGGAAAGCGCCTATGTTTGGTGTGTTCAGGGCACCAATAAGGTAAGTGCATTTAATCTGTTGCCCTCATTAGATTAGGCATAAGCCATTCACACATTGAATCTGTACTGCTTGGATTTTGCAGGTGTACTTCAAACAGTTCTGTAGGACATGTCAGAAATCGTTTAATCCATATCGAGTGGAAGACATTATGTGCCAAGTAAGTGTCTTCAGCCTGTAATATAAATGCTCCTGCATCTATTTAGCTTCCTATAGGACAAGCTCCCTGATGTGTTAAACTTGACTATTTTAGCAATACAAAGTTAAACTACATTATATTTCTAGGAGTTAAAGCCGTATTAAACACAAACATGTATTCTACTGCAGCTTACCAATTCTTAGATGTGATGGCTGAATTAGTTTTTTATAGGGTTGATTTCCTTGTCTGGTGATCCAGCCAGTAAGTCTGTTTTTCAACAGAAAAAAACTCTCATGCAAATATAGTAGAGTGCTGAGACACCCACTAGCTTGGAAAAAAAATAAAAAAATCTGACAATCGCTGTAACACGGGTGATGTTGGTACCGTGATCTTTCCCACTAGAATACACTGATCAGCACTTGCAGCTATTGGCTGCAAGTGCTAATCAGATGCTAGCTTTCCAGTATGTCCCATTGACAAAAGCTGGTCATCGGACTGCTGTACATGCTGTGACAGTTGGCTGGTTCCTACTGAACCGTCCAATTTTCAGTGTACCCAGCTTAACACTTCCCTTAGACCGACATTGCTGCTGTCCAAAGGTGCCCCTGTGCTCCTTCATATAGAGTGAGGGCACTCCAATACAGGAGGTGCTACTGGCCAGATCACTAGATGAAGGGTGGGGGAAAAATCGCTTAAGGGCAATTTCACACTGATATACCATTAGATCACCGATCAGCCAGAACGATTTACCACTCCACTCTGCGTTGCCTGCTGTGCTAGGGGGCAGTGTGGTGTGCAACTCAGCGCATCACACAATTAGCCCCTTTTTTAACTAGCTTTGAAGTGTACAAAATGCACATTTCATTCTCTGGAATGTCAGACAGCACACCACGCTGCCTGATATTGCGGTGTGATTTGGGCCAGTGTGCCGCAATAAGATGCGGCATGTCTGCATTTTACCGCAGCACACTGCAGCTCAGCATTAGGCTGCATTGCAGTGTGAATGGGACACATGGGAAACAATTGTTTCCTGTGTCCCTGAGATGACAGATGTTTTGCCATGCACATAGAGGTGGTGGCTGAATTAGTTTTTTTGGGGGGGGCCCAATTCACACAAAGGGTTGGTAAGCTGCAATATTGCATTTTTGGTTTTGAGTTTAATACCAGTTTAAAGAATGACATGTTTAAAGGATAGGTTCGCACATTTTTGTGCAAGTGGAAAAAAAAAATTTGTTTTGGGAGCCTGTAAAGCATTGCACCAGTGATCAACAGTGCTGACAGGGCTTCAATCTTCACCCGGTCTTCCTGAGTTTGCGAGCTGCAGCAGCTTGAATGGCTAAGCCACAATGGCATCATTGGCCACGGCACAGCACTCTGAAGGAACAGCACGGGTATGCTGTTCAGAGAGCATGTGCCAGTGATGTCGTCAGCTGCCAAAAGAGCAAATATCTCCTTATTGGCATATGTTTTGGTAGATGGTCATTTTTGCCTACAGCTAAACGTACAAGACTTACCTGTAGGTAAAATGAATAAGAGGGCTTTACTTTAAAGTGGTAGTGAACTCTACTTTTTGACCTGTGTATGCCAGTAAGCCTATGATGAGAAGGCTTGCCTATAGGTACAGTGAATGTCTCCTACACTTGTGGCGTTTAGGAGATATTCATACTTGAAGCAGCCAGTGTTGTCACAGTATGCAGTGCATACTAGCACATCATGGCTTAATCTGCTCAGGGGCCCACATTATTTTTTTTTAACAAAAGCTTACTATAGGCTTTAAGCAACAGAAATGCTTGTATAAGGTAATTGGGAATGGACGGTCACCAATGCCTTCTACATAGTGTGGAGATATGAATACTGATAATTACCCACTATATATCCTTTACAGAGCTGCAAACAAACCCGATGTGTGTGTCCTGTGAAGCAGCGTCACGTAGACCCGAAGAGGCCCCATCGCCAAGACTTGTGCGGGAGATGCAAGGGCAAGAGGCTCTCGTGTGATAGCACCTTCAGTTTCAAGTATATAATTTGATCAGTCTTATGTATACTCCTATTGACCTGTTCGTTCTTTGGCTGGAAGAGTGCGTCTTTTTGTTTTGGAGTAGCTCAATACAGACTATTATAATAAACCTGTCACAGCACTTTCATCAGTATAATGAATAAAATAAACAGGTTATAAAGAAAAGTATTTCAGGTGAACGTGTGCATTAAATTTGCCTCTTGAATCCGTTTAGCTTGAAGAGTTGACTTCCTACCAAACTCTGGTCAAAACTGTTTCCTTTTAGATGGAGAAGGGTCAGACCTAGTCAGCTTTTTATTGCTCTTCTGCTTAGGAGATTCACGCCATATGTGCTGTGGGTGATAATTGTCCATGGTACAAATGGCTAATCTATAGGTTTACAGGCCTCATAGGAAACTGTCTTCCAATTCTCCAGACAACTGTCCAAAAGTACATTTCCCCTGAATTGTTTTTTTTTTTTTTTTTTTTTTCCCCCCCCAAGTGACATGGTCCTAACACATCCCTACTTTATCTAAAACTGGAAGCCTTTTTGCTGTAAATGCTTGTTTTCTGATGGTGTGAGCTTGAACCACTGCCTTTTTGTTGGTTTTTTTTTTTTATAGAACAGGGGTCTCCAAATGTTTGAAACAAAGGGCCAGTTTACTGCCCTTCAAACTTTAGGGGGGCTGGATTGTGGCCAGTGGGAGTACAAAATGCCCTGGCATTAGTGGGAGTAAACCATTCCATAGGCTTGGTGCTTAGTGGGAGGAACAGTGCCCTATTGCTGCCAGTGGGGTAATTGGTTCCCCATTTCTGGTATCGGTGGAAGGAACAGTGCCTCGTTGCTGGGGTCAGTGGGAGGAACCATGCCCCAAGGGCCAGATAAAAGCAAGCAAAGGGCCACATCCTGCCAAAGTTTGGAGACCCCTGGCATAGGATTCAAAGGGACACTGCTTGTAACACAGCATATGGCACCAGAAATCTGCTGATCTGTGGTGCAATGTTTTTACAGGCTCCTGCAACCAAAAATAATGCATATTTTTTTTACTTGCAAAAATGTGCATTTATTTTTTTGGTTGAAAGGTGAACTTCTCCTTTTAATGGAACCAGTCATGAGAATTGTTGAGGCTGTCATGACTGTTCTGAAAATTATAGTTGCCTGGCCCTCATACTGACCCTTTTTGCTTTAATGAGTCAGTTTGGTAAAACATGCAGATTAGGATATTGGTTATTTTAGAACTTGTGTGCATGAGTCATAACAACCAACCAGAATTTTCAGGTTAACAAAGCAAACACTTGTTGCATGACAGGTTCACTTTGAATAAAAACCACTTATCTTAACTTTATGGCATATCAGAGCTTTTCGTAGGTCATCTCTTAATCACTTTGGTGTTGGAAATCCAGGTTCTACAAACCAATGGGAATCTGACAAAGGTGTGGTGGCAGGGTTATGAATTATGGGTTTGTGTATGGAATCACTGCAGTCCTGTAAAGGTACTAATATTCTGTATGAAGCTCGCTTCCCATGAAGCTGACAGATCAAGACCAGATTCAGACCACTGTTGCAGTAGGGCATGGCACTGCAGCATCCAAATCCACGAGGACAACACTGTTGAAGCACATTGCAACAGGGTCATGTCTGGTTTGCTGGCAGCACATTAAAAAATGACCCACTGAAGGTGTAAAGGAGCCCATAAACTGCAACTAGTCAGTTGTTCCCATTAATGAGGCCTATAGCATACAAACTGGAACACTTGGAGTTGCTATATAGAATATAAACAACCAAGCTGCAGCCCTTTTCTTGCTGTTTGGGCATGCTTCTTCCCACTGGATACAAACAGTGATGCATAATTCCTGTTAGTGACACCAATGATGGGGCACTAGTCCTCCAACTGATGCCAGAGATTGGGACACTGCCTCCTCCTAGCTATGTGTCAATCAATCTTGAGGCATTTTTACCTCCACTGACATGTACATTTTTTATTCTATCTGGCCACAATCTGCTACCTTAAAGTCTGAAGATCAGTAAACTGGTCCTTTGCTGTAGAAAGTTTGAGGATCCCCTGTATATAGTATTGACTGTAAACTTGTTGCCCCTTTACTATTAACCCAGCTTCCTAGGCAATATCTATTGGGCCAAGTACTACTGGCTGCATACAGTCACAATGATATGAAAGGGTGGGCTGAACTGGGAGCCACATTAAAGCTGATCCTCATCCGGGAAGTTTTAAATTCTTGGAGAAGAGGTCTAATATCACACCAACTCAGCCATTCAGAGGAAACTTTATATTCATTCACAGAATAAAAAACTTGTAAAAAGACTCAGCCTGGCTTGATTTTGGTGTAAAAGTTCCAATCACACTGCTGGAACACAGTGCTGTCTATGTAGCAGAGGCTGCAGAGTTTATACATCACATACAGCTTTTTCCGTGAAGTATATGGTTTGTTTGGAGCAGCTTGGGCCAAACTTCACTAAAAGCTGAAGATCTGCTGTAAGGCCCAATGTACACTGCTGCTTCTGAGCATGAGTTTAGCAAAGCCCCTGAACTCAACACCATGTACACATTGGCTTGCAGCAGAGTTTAGGGGGCAGTTAAATGTTCCTCTCCTGAACATAGAAGAATCGCATTCAGGAGTGGAATGTTTTGGCCAAATATGGAAAATACTCTGGCTAATCAAATGAGTAAACATCCAAACGTTAAGGTGGTACCGCATGTACATGTTTTTGCCATGTTTAGTGTTTTTCTGCTGCTAGGAGAGCTAAACGTCTAGGAGGTCATGTGTATATGTAGCCTAAGGCCTGCAACCTATGTAACGTCACAAAGATTTATAGGACATCTGTAATAATTGCAACTTACATCTTGAGAGAAACCATGAATCACTACTTGAAGATGTGCACCTTTTTGTTAGGGAAATTCCTCTTTCTAAAACATTTGTGCAGGGAAAAAAAAATGTGCAGGTATGTTTTGTTTTTTTCTCCTCCTCCACTACCTTAGCAGCTGTCAGCTTGTAGTTTTCAATGAACTAACATGGTGCTGTGGAGCACATTGAAGCTGTCAGAATATCTGCCTGTCTGTACATCCCATATGGCAATCAGGAGACCTGCATGTCATCAGCAAGCTACTGATTGCTGGTGCAATGCTTTCCAGACTCCTGCAGACTAAAATAATAAATGCACATTTTTTTTATCAGCAAAAAAGTGCTTTTTTTTTTTTTTTTTGTCTAAGGTGAAATTATCCTTTAATTTAAGCTTTGACAATGGAAGCTGGTTTCTGTGCAGAGTTGCATCATGCTGTTTTAGTAAAGAGCCAAAGGCAAATTGCCTCAGCTAGTCATGTACACTGCAGCTCCAGGCAAGCTTCAGTACTAGGTGTATGCAGGGTTGGCAGTAAAAGTTAAGTCCCTTACCCCATTACACCAGTGTAGTAAAAAAAAAAAAAAAAAAAAGAAATTTAAATGGGTGTGTAAACACACAAAGCTGCCGTTTGGCACATTACCACAAAGCACTACTGTAATGGGCCTGTAATATCAAAGTGGGATTCAGGCAAAACTTATTTGGATAAGGAATGTTTACAACTTTTATCAGATTTTTTTGTTGTTGCGTCCAACCCATTATGGAGCTTTTCCCTCATCCTTTGTCTTGTAACAATGTCTGATTTTGGAACACAAGCAGTAATACTAGTAAATGAAAACTTGCAGTGCATCCTTGCTGAAACAAAAACTTTGCTGGAGACTGGGACTTGGAAGCTCATTCACACTTGCATACATAACATGTTAAATGTACTTTTTTTTTGGTCTCAGCAAAGATAGTGGTAGATGAGCCAGTCCTTGGTCAGAAAATAACAACCTCAGTGTTTATGGGTGGTGGCACACAGACTAGCATTTGGGGTAAATTGTTAATGTTATCAAAATAAACCATGTTATCATTAAAAGGGTTTCTTGCTGCAAATTTGAGAACCATTGCAATGAACAGGCTCATTTAGGAGTTGAGAATTTTCACTTATTGAAGTACTTCTGTGGGCACATCATCATTTTAAATGATTAGCAGTGCAATAATAATACGAACGTTTGTTTTTGACAATCAAATATAGCAGCGGTCTCCACACTGTGGCTCTTTTTCTTGCCTCTATCTGGCCCTTGAGGCACTATTCCATCCACTGACACTAATGATGTCAACAATGGGGCACTATTACTCCTATTTTAACAAATGACTCCCATTCCCCAACAATTAAAATTCAAAACAACATATAAAGCCATTTATAACTCTGCCCCAAATTACATCACCAATCTTGTCTCCAAATATCACCAAACCCGTCCTCTCTTCTCCTCCCAAGACCTCCTGCTCTCTAGCTCTCTAGTCTTCTCTCATGCTTGTATCCAGGACTTCTCCAGAGTCTCCCCCATCCTCTAGAACTCTCTACCCCAATCTGTCCGACTATCGTTTACTCTGCCCACTTTTAGGCGATCCCTGAAAACCTCTCTTCAGGGAAGCCTATCCTGCCTACAGCTAATAACTGAATCTTCTATTTCTCCCATCAGTTCATCCCCCAAAGTTATTACCTTTTGTACCACCAGCCCCTCCCTATGAGATTGTAAGCTGCAAAGAGCAGGGCCCTCCTGTATTGAACTATATTGTTGCTGTACTGCCTCCCTTTATATTGTAAAGCTTTGATCAAACTGTTGGCACTATATAAATCCTGAATAATAATAATAAATGATGGGGCATTGTTTACTCCTACTGATACCAGGGCATTTTTTACTCCCACTGGCCAGAGTCCGGCCCCCATAAAGTCTGAAGCACAATCAACTGGCCCTTTGTTTAGAAAGTTTGGAGACCCCTGCATTATTGGCTTGCTTAAAGTCTCCTTTCATGTGAGTTCTACCTGTCTGCTGGCCAGCTCTTTCTTTAAATTCCTGGATTCCCTACATGCTTTGCAGCTTCTCCTCTGCGGTTTACTTTCATTATCTAAGGACTACATATCCCATGGTACCTTACCCATCTGCAAGTAGTGATTCCTGTACTGACTCCGCTTTTTATTACTATTTTAATGTTATCTGAGGCTCCATTAGAATCTCCCCCCACCCACCCTCTTTCCCTAGTGACAACAGATTCATTAGCTAGAAAGTGAGGGGAAATCAACAACTACACAGAAGAAAATTAAAATGTTTATTTTAGTAGAGTAGTGAAAAAGTATAATCCTGACAGTTTTTAACCCCTTGCTGCCACCCTTTTTGGTGGCCATTACACTGGAGGGGCTCAGGGCAATTTGTCTATTGTTGCAGCAGCGATGACTTAAACAGGAGCCTATTCTACCAACTCCTTCATAGAAAGTGGCCCGTGAGCTGGGTGTCACAGCTTGGGCAGTGTTCTGGTGGTGCCGAGGGGGTGCCTAAAGAACAATTCAGTGACGCACATATGCTCTGCAGCTTGACGTTAAGACCTACCTTTGTGCTCTTTCATGTAGGTGTGAGCTTGGTGGCAAGAGCTTAGAGGGTAAACTCACCTTTATTAACATGTTACACCCATAACATACTACAAAACTAGCAGTCCCAGCCTCCACCTCCCCCAAATCCCCATTGGGACAGCGGGCCAGGGATCTTCTCCACTGTAACAATTTTAAAAAACATACCCATGTGGAGCTCTGCCCACCCGACTGAGTCATTCATTCAGAGTTCTGTGAATGGAAGAACTACAACTGCCATCAGTCATTGAGGCTGATGGCTTGTAGTTCTCAATGAAGTACCAGGACGCTGATGAGCGCTATCGGTAGTTCATTGAATCTTCTTGTCATTCAGCAACTGCCTGCCTGTACAAGCAGACAGTTAAACTGACAGTCTGCGATTGCCCCTGTGATCTTCTCCTAATAAAAAAATAAATAATAAATGCACATTTTTTTTTTACCTGCAAAGAGATGTGCATTTATCATTAAAAATTTTTTTTTGGATTTGACATGCACTTTAAAGGAGAACTACACAATGAACAAATGAAAGGTGTGAGTGTATGTATGCAGTACACAGGTCAATCAAGCTGCATAGTCTTTACTAACTAAATGTGGACTGACTAAACAGAAGCAGCATGGTGTTACAACTTACAGGTTTTGTTTAGAGTCCTTTCACACAGCCATATGATCAGTTCCATGTCATGTCAGTTTTTCAGGAGGACCTGATCAGAAGCTCCATGTAAGTCTATGGGAAGGTGGATTTGAATTGATATGTTTCTGTTCTCAGCGGCGTACCTGAGACCTAAACATGACAGATCTGAGATTGTTTACTGCAACGTTCAATCCAATCCCATGGGTGTGTTAACCCCTTGACGCCGATGTAACACAAATATGCGGCCTCGCAGAACTGGGCTTTTTTCCATGGGGCAGCACATTTGCTAACCTGTCTTTCTGCTGGGAGCGTGCTGCACGGCACGCTCCCAGCACAAAGCCCGCGGTGTCATTGAGAGCCCCAGTTCCCATTCTAACGATTGGGACCCGGGACTCCCAATTCCAGGTCACATGATCGCTGTGATAGCCTCTGATTGGCTATCACAGTGATCAGTCACTGTACAGCCTGGCCCCCTTGTTTTTTTTCTCTCTCTATGAATGGAGGAGAGAGATACATTGCATCTCTCTAACTCCTGGCATAGAGGGGAAAAAAAAAAGAAATAAATAAATATTAAAAAATAAAGAAAAAATATCTAGATCAAGGTTTCAGTGCCAGGGTTAGTGTTTGGGTCAAGGTCAGGGTCAAAAGTCAGGATATAGAAAAACAAATTGGTATCATTGTAAGTTAATGTCAGTGTCTGTCTTTTTTTTTACCTAAAACACACTAACAAAATGTGCACTATTGTTTCTGGGATGTACTACAGGTACAAATAACATACACATATATGGTATTGGTGCGATCGCCAAGAGCTGGAGAATGTATTTTGGGTTGTTCTTTGGTGGTAGGTTATGGTAGTAACAAGAAACACACAGCTAAATAAAAAAATTTTTTTTTTTTTTACTATTTTGGGCCAGTTTTCTTTTGATAATAAAAAAAAAATCAAGAGATATCCATTACCATTTACCACCAAATGAAAGCCCAATTTGTCCTGCAAAAAAAACAATGTATAATTCACCTGGATGTACAAAGTAGTTGTGGTGATATGTACGGTTTTACTAACACATGTCAATGTTGCAAAATTGTGCTTAGGCAATTAGATTTGTTTTACCCTTAGGTGTGAAGGGGTTAAGGTTCGCTGGCAAAATACAGAAAAAACTTAAGGGGCACAGATATCCCAAAAATGACATCCACTCCCAATCTGCTTAGATACAGCAAGAGATCTGTCCAGGATACCCTGCTAAACTGACCAGTGTGAAAGGGCCCTAGGTGCAAACAACATTATTAGATAATAAGGGCCCATTCATACTAATGTACTCTACATGCACTTGTGTGATGTAGTGCCATCCAACCCTCCATGCTGACAGATCTGTTTAGTGCATTATGCCACCATTTAAATGAACTGGCTACAATAACACACCATGACAGAGTGAATGGACCCCAACAGTTCTGATAATGTATCCTATTAAAACAAAGGTAAACAGCATTTCAGTTTTACTGACTGAATTCTTTTAAACCTGCAGGTTTCATACGGCTGTATTTTAATAAACATATTTAAGAGCTGACCCAGCTTTTTCCACAGAACTTATTGTGAAACAATAAAACCTCCCCCACCCATCAAAATGAAGGCAGAAAACTGTGCGATAGTTACTTTGGAAAAAGGTGAGAGATGCATGCAGCCAACTTTGACAGTGAATGTTTAGGCAGAAAAGGAAAAACAATGTAACATATGCAATGTTTTTTATTGTTAACAAAAAAAAAAATAAAAACTGGTAAGATGACGCAAGTAAAAATGTATTGCACTGCGAAATAAAACTAGATCTCCCCAGTAAGCAACATTTATACAAAGAATGCCATTTAAAATACCACATGCCCCATGTAATGTTCTCCAGGAGGAAGAAATACAGCGACTGCTCCAAGTGTCGTCCCCCTGGGTTCCTGTGGCTCTGTAAGGGGACAATAAGGTTTTGCTTACAGGATCATGTCTTGCCATCATTGACAGTGCTGTGTGTCTAACCTTTAACCTCTTCAAGCCATGGTGACTTCTCTACTACAGTCTACCAGTTCCGAGTGTTACAGTTAGCACGTACTTAACAGCAAAAATTCAGGCTTTCGGGGGTCCATTGGCCCCAGCAAAAGGCAACAATAAATATGACCTTTATATGAAAGGCTACATATCTTTGTGCAAAGAAATCTATTCTTTTCTTATATAATCACAGTGCATAAAACGTATGAAATGCGGAATATTCCTTTTCATCACAAGTACCCTGCAACTACATTCATATATTTTACAAAAATAATAATGCTTGTGGTGTATACAGAAATGGTTTATTTTTTTGTGCTGCGTTTTGTCTCCTTTTTACAATGAACTGGTATTGCCAATGCTGTATATTTTTTTTTGGTAGCTTTTCTCGTTTTATTCTTCAACAATTCCCTCAATAATGAATAAGTTATGAAAAAAGAAAAAAAAAAAAACAAAATAAGGAATCGTCAATACTTTGTCATTTGACCATCCCTGTTCTTTTACATAGAATACAAATTCTACTTCAACATGTACACCAATGAAGGTGTCCTTTCAACACTACCGCTGAAAGGGTCAACAGAGGCTATGTACACTGGTCATCCTAGAACAGTGCATTGCACACATATACAAGAAAAATACTGGTTTTAACCCCAGATCCTAGAATATATACAGAATAAAATAAGTTATCTAGTGAGAGCTGCTGTTGGGCAGCATATATCTAAATATACATTATTAAAGTCTCTGCAGGCAGCTACTTTTTGGTTAGTTATCAGTATTTATACCATAAGCACTGGTCAGAGAACTGAGCAGCATCTAATAAAATTAAGATTTTTTTTCTTCTGTTTTTCTTTTCCTTAGAAATACCGAGGAAAGCTCGGTTTAAAATAATTAAATGTACTACCATTTACAAGCTATGGGTTGTTAGATCTAATAAAATAAAAATTTATCCAAAAATAATGTTGCAGAACTCTTTGAGGCATGCGTGGAGACTATGTACACACATTTCATACCAAAAATACAACCAAAAGGTCCCGTCTGTTACCCATCTGCATAGGCAGGGCAACAAAAGAGAAAATAAAAGACAAACATATCAAACATAAATAATGAGCTCAATGGTTTCCACAGTCTTTATAAGTCATCTGCCAAAGTCACATGGGACAGTCTTGACACTGTACATATTTAGCAGGCTTCAGACTCAAGTGACCTCAACCAGAAGTCCACCGTCTTTCCCCATGGATCCAGTCTCCATATTGCCACTGCTTATTTATATACATCATGTTAGCCCTTTTGCTTGTGGATGGTACATACTATAAGTAACAGAACGGGATAAAATAGCTTCTACTGTCACTTGAATTTTACAGAACCAGAGCATCCATCAAATTCCTCTGCTAGTTTTGGGGAATGGGGAAGGGGGATTCTGAAAGTCCCACTTGCTGGAGTTCAGAAAGATCATGAAAAGGATGAAACTCAAAGACATACAGTAATTATCAAAGGTGCTTCATATTATCTTTAGATGTCCAGTGCTTTCATTTTCGAGGCTTTCTTGGTAGCAGGTGCTCAAATGTCAGTGCTCACCGTACTGGTGACAGGCTTGGCTTTAGATAGGAGTTGGTATGACTGCACCAAACGTAGTGACATTCGGATTTCTACATTTAGCTCCATCAGTTTAGAACTGGCTTTGGACATGTCCTGCTTGGAGCCAACAATGGCAAAGCTGCCAGTCTGACCCAGAGTTTGATGGCGGAAATATATATGCAGCAGAGTTTGGATCGGATCGTCTTCTGAGCTGCCAAAGATATCACTGGGCCAGATAGTCCTAGAAAGCAACAAGAAAGAAACTATTATGATGGCACAAGAACAAGCACTCTGGAAACACTACGGCTGCAGTACTTTGTAGTGTTTCATCTCTTCAAAACATAAATTGTGTATTTTATTTCTAGTACACATTTTAAATAGTCATCAATATGTCAGCGTATGTGGAAAGAAAGATACTTGGTACTTAAAAGGGTATCTTTTGGTGAAATGTTTGCTCTGCTGCAGACCCAGTGACTACGGTCACGTCACAGAGGTTCTGTACCCCACAAAACCAAACATTTTTGCTGGCTTTCAACCTAAATCTGACAAGCTACCAGTAGAATGACAGCCCTAGCAAACTCTTCAGATGATAGATCTCTGAAAGATTTAGCTATAACACTAAACAAGTAAAATCATCATTTTGAAATGTAAAAATGTTGGCCTCTATAGAAGCGGCATGCTTCATGGATGGATGATGACATCCAAGCTGTTCTATATCTAGTGGCTGTCATGTTAACTGTATACTGCACATTCTAAATATTTTCCAAATCACAAGAAAGATTTCAGTCAACTCATTCTAAAATAGGCCTTTTAGCTCCACAGAGAACACCTAAAGATGACCTATTGCAATCCCAACAGCAATATCACTAATTTCATGCTGAAAAATCTCATCCCTTGTAGTGGTTTGTTTTTATATACACACTAGATGCACTATTGCATCTATGATTTCCATCTAATACATTTTTGTGCTGGTATACAAGGCATCTATCATCACCACCAGCTTGATTAGGGTGGCAAGGAATAAATTAGGAGGAGCAGAACAATAAGGCCATCATTGTTACTAATTTATTCTCACTTTGTGAAGTTCTTTTTATGGGCATTTAGATGTAATCAAAGGACCGTCTGTTAAGCCACACACTCTTGGTCACATAGAATAGTAATGAAGCGGATTTATACCATACCTGAAAGCCTTGACTTGTGCTATGGCTGACACAAATTCCTTTCCTCTAAGGGCCTCAATGAGAGAGTGGACAGCAGCCTCAGTGCTTGCTTGATAAAAATCAGAGAAGTCACAGTCCTCGATGCCAATGTCAGAGGTGGCTTCTGCTTCTTTTAGACATGCCTCCAGCTGACACAGCTCCTCTGACATGTTTATGACCTGTAAAATGTATTAATGTAGATGTAAATCCAATCATAAAACCTCATATAAAAACTGCCATTTCAAGAGCCATTTTCAATATTTTTAAAACTGAACCTTTCATTAACATTATTTCTGGTGATCCTGTTGAGTCTTGTTCAGGCACTTCCTGTCATAGGGTAACAATGCTCTGCCCTGCGCCCCCAACAGTCACACAGGCTTCTGGTAGAGACCACAAGTGGCCATTTAAACACACACTATTATGTAGGGATGATCTACTGTTCTTATCATCAGGAAACCCACAGTGCTGTGCACCCACTGCTGGAGTACATGATGTAGACAAGAAGAAGATGCAAACAGGCAACTGGATATCAGCAGCACTGAGATATAAAATGCCCACCAAGCACAGCCAAAACAAACATGCATCAAGTTTTCGGACGTATCACACCACAACACATATGCGGTATACTGTGATAGTGCAGATGCATTGCTCACTACTGTTTTAGTGGTGCAATGCACCCCCATAAATGGAACCATAATGTGCTACACTATTATATACATGTTACAGTATTGTGCAGTAAAATGAGGATTACCACAATGCAAAAGTGTCAATGGACCCTAAAGGGTTGATTGTAAGCTCTCTCCTAGATTGTAAGCTCTAACGAGCAGGGCCCTCTGTTTCCTCTTGTACCAAATTGTATTGTAACTGTAATGTCTACCTTCATTTTGTAAAGCGCTGCGCAAACAGTTGGCGCTATATAAATCCTGTATAATTATTATTATTATACAGTATTTATAAAGCGCCAATAGTTCACTCAGCGCTGTACATTACAAAGGGGGACAGAACATGTGACAGAACAATACCAATACAATGCAAAACATGAGGGGATCGAGGGCCCTGCTCTTTCGAATTTACAATCTAGGAGGGAGGGGATGGTGGCACAGGAGGAGATAGCTGTGGGGATGGAGTGGTAGGAAGAGTGGAGGAGATCAGCAAGTTAGCAGGGGGTGGGGTATAATAATAATAATAGTTTGCTAAAGCTGGAGTGCGCAAAATCTGGTGCAGCTCTGCATAAAACCAATCAGTATCCAGTATTTTTGTCAAAGCAAAAATGAACAAGCTGAAGTTAGAAACTGATTGGCTACAATGGACACCTGTACCAGATTTTGCAACCCCCAGTATTCGTGAATCAACCCCTAAATGTAAATCAGTTAAGGTTTACATCTATTAATAAAAAACCATGTCAGGTTTTGTTCACGGTTGGATCCCATTGGGCAGTATTCCTTTCACTCTCTTTCAATAAATACAATAACAGCATATCTCTGGTCAAAGTGTTTATTTTTGTTTCATAGAAATTCACACTCGTTCTCTTCCCTATTTCTTTTTTTTTTTTTGGCTAAGACTGGCCATACACTATACAATTTTCTGCCCAATTTCCTTTAGATTTACCTTCAACTATGTAGTGCAAGAGCCTGCCTTATTGGATACAATTGAAAGTGTTGTTAAGTTTGACGTCCTATTATATGGCTTTTGGTAAATCTAAACCAAAAATCTCAAGAAAATTGTATAATGTTTGGCCAGCCTTAGCGTACCCTTCTTTGAGGAGATCTGCCTTCACTTCTTGTCCTGAAGAGACATAACAGGAGGTGCGAGATAATCTCTCAAATGGAAGATCCCTGCTAAGACAGCTGTCACCAAAGCAGGTGCCCCCCCAGTGGAAAACTTTCCCTTGACTCTTATGCCAGTGACAACTTTAAAAATCCCGGTGGCAATACTTATTAGGAAAAAAAGAAAAAAGTAAAACTCTGTTTTGGGGACACAGACAGCACAAAAAACAACTATTCCAACCCCTCACACATTTAATAAAAACGTCCTCTTCTACTGTACCTCTTCACAATGGACTATCAGGTCTTTCACAGACTGGACTACCTGCAGCAAGGATAATGGTGTGTCAATTGAGCCCAGTGTACCTGTGAGGTGACCAGTTTTTGGTCAGGGCACAGAATGGCTGCCTCCTTAGGGCTGACATATTAGCTATAAACAAATAAAGTGGCAGCACAGGAAACTAATATTTTAAAGCTTTCTTGATATAGTACTGACCACATCTACATATCCCAGCCAATGCATGCATCTCAATGAAATACTGCCCATAGCCGCCATACCTCCTTCTCTTTCTTAATAGTGTCCACTTGATTGATGAGCTTGCAGTAGGCCTGGAAGAGCAGCAGCAGCTGGAAGTGCAGTTTGTAAAGTCTTCGGCACAGCTCAAGCTCCTAAACATGGAGGAAATGCAAGTCACTTTGGTGTGCTAGTCCTACATAACAGATTGTATAATCAAATGTTGTTACTGGTTAATGCAAGGAAGAAAGGGCAGGCATCTACTGACTACAAAGGGTCAAGAACTGTGTTAAATAAAACAAAAAACACATGGAAACAGCCTCTCCGAGGGAATCAGACGTGCTACTTAGAAACCAGCAGCCAGTTAGATTCATTTCATGAGGAAGACTAATAAGCAAGCCAACAAAAAAACAAAACAAAAAAAAGAGAACTAGACCTAAGATATAAAGTTATGTCATACTAACTTCCTCTAGCAGGATGTCATGTAGTACTCTACTTACTACACAAGTACAAGAGACATATACAGTCTATATCACTGTCTACCCAATAATACTGTTAGATGTTTTTCCTAGTTTTCTTTGTATAGTTGAACCAGTTGTTAATGCTCCTTGAAGGCTCAGTCAAACTGTTATTTTGCAGCGACTGGGTGACTAAAAAAATACATAGGTGTAACTCTTGCTTTCTTTTTTCCAAATAATTAAGGTTCAACCCATTTTGTAAGTGGGTAATTGAAGCCAAACTTTAGCAGTTTAGTATGTAACAGTTAACTTGACAATAACTCTACGACTATTTTGCTTACCAACATTTTTAAGGGCATAAAATACTTTTATTTGGTAAACTTCTTTTATAAATACAATGCTCACAGTTTATTTTATAAATTGAAAAAATGTGAAACCACATGATTTTTTTTGTTATTTTATACTAAACAGTTTTTGTTTACACAAAAGCACACCCTCCTGCCTGCATGCCTGAGCTAAGGGCAGCTGGATTCTAGGAAGTCAATGCTACAACTGATGATGGAGTTATGGCAGAGGAAGCCAAGTGTTGTCAGAACACTACTTGTGGATATTGCCCTTTAATCAAAAGGGAGGATCTCTTACATTTTCAGAAGTAGACGGGACAATGTATGTAATATCCTTACACATTTATTGAAGAATGGGAAGACAAATCTCAGAAACTACATATGAGCGAGGAGATTTTAATGAGCGGTCAACAGTTCATGGACAAAGACTATGCAAACCCAGAGCACACTGTAATCTTACAATGGCAAGACGTTGCTAGCGCAACAAATGGACAAGACAGGTGAAAGTCAGGCTTTGATCTGACATGTTTAGTATTGGATAAATGGAGAACCATCACTTACTGCTAGAACTTCCATTTGCTAAGCAAGAAGGAGAGCAGGTCACAAAAACACAAAGAAAGAAAAAGACGGAAAGTTAGTTATACTCTGAGATCTTTGGAACTTCAGGCAAACAGACACTAATGTCTTAACAGCTCCTTCTAAAAGCGAGATCGCCTGAGTAGTATTGTACTGCCAGTAAGAGCCTAAAGGAGGCATGTGCTCCAATCAAGCCCAAATTCTATTCTAAGACACACTGCACAAGCCCTGCCCAAACCCTATTACAGGCATCCCTCAGCGGTCGAATATAAGCATCTATATTTACAAGCTCTAACAGCAAAACAGGAACAATTGCACATTATATCTTTTATAAAGTAGCCAAAATTCTTCATTTAGTGGCAACCCTCTCTGGAATGATACCAAACTAAAACAAAAGGAAAAAAATAATACTCTTTAAACGAAAGATGTAATAGAAAAAAATGAAATGTCTATTAAGACTGCCAAGATGCTATTTCCCAAAGGAAAATCCCACCTATTAATAACAATTACATTTTGCACGGAGAGGGTTGGGTTGACATTTAGCCAAGCGGCTTGAAAAGAATCAATAGATATAAATCTCTCCACCCCTCCTTCAAGCTGATATAATAGCATTCAATCATAAACACAGTAAACCCTTCTAAAATTTGCTTTATATCTATAGGATCAACATTGGTGCTTTACAAATACTAGATTCCATTTCAGTGGCAGCCAATTAACCTACCATGTTTTCTGGATATTTGGAGGGAACTGAACCTCTGTGCCCCACTTAAGGGTTTCACGGATTTTGGTGGGAAGGGACTAATTCCTCAAATATGTATAAAACAGCATAGAGTAGCAATGTCGACAAGAGAACAGACAGTCAGGTATGTCGTTGCAATCAACCTAATTTTTTAGGATCATGGCATTATTTTGTAAGAATGCCAAGAAAATGTACCAAATGGCATAATAAATCTTCAAAATGGTGTTATTATAGAAGGACAGCATTTTTCTCTGCAGTGAACATTCTACTATATCTTCTTGAAGACGACACACATCAGTGAGATAAAGGAAGCATGCACCTCAGTGTGCGCACCTACATGCAACCTACTCTCTATCTAAGACTGGCGGGTTCAGGGTTCTTCAATCGTGTGCATTGGCTATAGAGGGTCCAGGATACACAATACATCTAGTTATTGTTATGTGCGTAAAGTAGACATCTTTGAGGAATACAACAAGCCTATTATTCTAATTAATGCTTTATATACCTCCAGGCAAAAGAATTTAATCTGTCCACACCCTGCATGTCCAAATTTACAATTCCTTTCAGCTAAAGACGAGCATGCATGGATCGAAATTCGGGCCGTTTAGCAGGGACCAGCCAAATTTCGATTCATGTATGGGCAGGCTGGTTGTACACAGGGGATTGGTTGAGTTTTTCCTGAATGATCAAGTGCAGCCAGCTAAAGCTGGCAACATTGATCATTGTATTCCCACAGGGGGGAAGGCTCCCCACTATCGGAATACAATACTACACTGGAAAGGATTCCCCAATTCACCTTGAATGTGTGGATGGGGGAATCAGCTCATTTTATTTTTTTCGTTCAACCTGCTGGTTGAATGAAAAAAAAAATGAATCCTGTATGCCCTAAGTTTGAAGATAACTAGGTCAGCTTACCTGGGTTTCTGTACTGGGAACATGACTGCCATCTCCAGAACTGAATGTTTTCTTGCAATTTTCCAGCCACTATAAACAAACACAAGACATATTATGACCAACAGGTCAGTCTTAACAGAACACTACGTACAATAAAGAATATGGATATAATAAAGAATAACCAAAAAGCAGCACTAATCATTGTATTCTGATGTTGTTAGAAAACAATACAGTTCGAGACAAAAGTTAAAAACGACCAGTGAGTTGCAAATGTTATCAGGCCAACACTAACTATAACAAAATCAGCAAATTCACTCCAAGTCCCTTAATCTGAATTTTCTGTAACTACGCAGCTAAAAACATGCATAACACATACAGGGTCATGAGATTAGGATTGCATTTCCTGGGTCCACCGACCTGCAACCTCATCTCTCTCTACTCCCTGTCACCAGTCACATTCAAACTTACAGGGGTTGAATTTGATTTCTGTCTGAGAAAAACTTCTGTCTTTTTTTACTACTCAACACAGCCTTTACAAAGCCTTCCACGAGTCCATCCTTGGCTCAAATCCTGTTATTTTTTGCCATAAGCAGTGATCTTCAGCATGCACAATCACTGCGACACAGCTATCTTCTTTGGCATGAAAAATTGGGAACATCACAATGTGTTCCCCTGACTTGGATGCATCTGTATAATTTTCAAAAGTAAGTACAATTAAAGGCTCTTGTATGACAGTCTAAACAGTTCCCAAATTCAGGGTCTATATCATTCACAAGCTTCATAAAGTAAACATCCTTTGCCTTTCCCGACTGAGCTAACTCCTTCATTAAAGCGGAGTTCCACTCACCTGTCAAAAAATAAAAGACAGCAGCTACAAAAACTGTAGCTGCTGGCTTTTAAAAAACAGCCACTTACCGGTCCCTTGGTCCCACAGTGTGTCCTGTATTCTGTGTATTCCAGGAGGCCGGCATCTTCAGTGTGGGCACCCGCTGTGACAGCTTGCGGCTTCACAGCCGGGTGCCCACTGCGCATGCGCGAGTAGCGTTGCGCTTCATGAATGGCCCCATAGTCTTCTGGGACCTGTCACGTGTCCCAAAAGACTACAGGGAGGGAGGACACCTTCCGTTTCTGATTGCCTAGGCATTCGGACCGGAAATGGGAGCGGGTACCTGTCAAATTCGGGTACCCGCTCCCCCCCGCCTCCCAAAGGTGCCAATCCTTAATGGGGAGCAGTCCTTAAAGCAGAACTTCCCCTTTTGGGTGGAGCTCCGTTTTATTGTCTCACATACTTCCCCCCTCAGACACTACAGCTCACAGTGGGTGGGTTTCAGCAATGCTTTCAATACAGAAAGCAGTGGGCAGGACTAGGTGTGGGCAGGTGCTGACTGATAGGCTACAAGCTTGTCAATGAGAAGTGATAATGCTGATGGCCCTGTCCTCTGCAATATCTTCTCATTCCACTGTAGTGCAAGCAGAAAAACCTATATGAGAGTGGCAACTCTAACTTTAAGAGCAGTCAGCATCATCACACCATCACAGGAAGCTGCATTAGGTGGACTTCACTGGCAGGATCAACAGGTATTTGAAGAACGTCTCCGGGGGACCAAGAGAAAACTGTAAGTGCAGATTTTTTCTAAAGGGGAGGACATAACTCTACTTTAAAAGTGGTCTGGTCTGCACCCAATGTGCTGTAACACAAAAAAAACAAGTAAAAAGCAGCCAACAGAAAACACACCAAACCACATGAATAGTGCATTTAATGCATGAGTTATTGGCCATATGACAGGTCCTTCCAAATATAAGCAGGCTGGAGTGTTCATCACATGTAACATTATGATCACTCTTTTCCAGCTATTTATAGAGTTTTCATAGTAATCATTATAACCTCTGGCTAACCTTCAAGGACTGTAACAATGAGGAAAGAAGAATGTGTTTTCCTTGTCGGCTCAATTTAATAAAGGCTACTCACTTAGTGAATTAACCGCAGAGGTCTGCATTAGTGAGGGAGAAGGAAGGGCTCTCTGAGGAATACAGTGCCAGATGCAATTAGTGACATGGACCCAAAGTCCACTGTAAATCTTATTTTCTCCTGACAGCCTCCTTTATAGAATAAGTGCTCAGAACAAATCATGAACAGACGCACCTGAATACCGCACCATGATGGAGTGGGAGGAGCCATCCTTACTGACATTTAGGAAGTGTCCTTCATTAGGAAACAAAGCTGCCAACCTGTTTTTTTCCTCAAAAAAACTTTAAACAGCCACTTTGCAATGACAAATTTGACTGTCCATGATGACGATGCTGTATTAGTGACATTTCAGTAAGAAATGCATTAAAACTTAGGGGGTTGTTTATTAAAAATTTAAAGAAAAATGCTGCTCCCTATATTGATCAAATCCTATGTTTCATTTCCCTACAGAATAAAAAATGACTAGTTACTATGTGCAGCAACTACATTGTTCCAATTCACCCTTTGTCCACTATCTATGCTGTATGATAGAAGAAATTCACGCACAGGCTGGTATCACACTAGAGAGCTGCCAACATACAAAATCTATCTAGCGTTTGAAACACACAAAAAATAATAGCACAGTGGCTAAATGGTTAACACTTCCACTTGGCAGTACTAAGGTTGTTGGTTCAAATCCCAACCACGGCACCACCTGCCTGGAGTTTGCATGTTCTCTCTGTGCCTGCATGGGTTTCCTCAGGGCACTCCAGTTTCCTCCCACATCCCAAAGACATGCTGGTAGGTTAATTGGATCCTGTCTAAATTGGCCCTAGTATGTGTATGTATGAATGAAAGTTAGGGACCTTAAATTGTACACCCCTTGAGGGTTAGGGACTGATCTGAATGTACACTATATATGTAAAGAGCTGCATAAATTGACGGCACTATATAAGCACCTGAAATAAATAAAGAAGCGTAACGGATCAAATTCAAAATCCTAACACGGACGTACAAAGCTGTCCACCATACTGCTCCGAACTACATCACTGACCTAATATCCAAGTACCGCCCAGCACGCACACTCCGCTCCTCACAAGACCTCCTTCGCTCTAGTTCCCTGGTCTCCTCCTCCCATGCCCGCCTCCAGGACTTCTCCAGGGTGTCACCCATCCTCTGGAACTCCCTGCCCCAACCCATCAGATTATCACCTACTCTCCTCTCCTTTAGGTGCACCCTGAAAACCCACTCTTCAGGGAAGCCTACCCCACCCCCTGCTAACTTGCCAACCTCCTCCACTCTTCCTACCACTCCATCCCCCACAGCTATCTCCTCCTGTGCCACCATCCCCTCCCTCCTAGATTGTAAGCTCGAAAGAGCAGGGCCCTCGATCCCCTCATGTTTTGCATTGTATTGTTGTTGTTCTGTCACATGTTCTGTCCTCCCTTTGTAATATACAGCGCTGAGCGAACTATTGGCGCTTTACAAATACCGTATAATAATTTATACAGATTAAAACATAATTAGGTCACTGTGGTTGGCTGATTCTTAAATACAAAAAAAAAAAAAAAAAAAAAAAAAGGTATTTATTTGCATTATTTGTCAAAAGACTTTACAGGCAGACTTAACCGGCACCATTTACAAACAGTGCATACGCTTCATGAGAGTAGAAAGCCCCATGGAATAAGCAGCTCCGCAGCATTTCCCAAGAAATTATTTTCTGACCACCGTGATGTTAAAGCAGAGCTCCGGCCTTACCGTCTGTCTTGTACACTTGTACACACTCCTCCCCTGTACTGAAATAGCTTATTCTGATGTTGCTGCACCAAGCCCTATTGAGCCTGCCCCATATCATGGCTGGAGGACATCCAGCATTATCTAGCCATTTCCTCTCCTGCCTGACTGCCCCTGGTCCACTCTGTCCATTCACTGGATTTCAGTTATTTCAGTCATGGGGGCTCAGCAGAATGTTTTAGGAAACTATACACAGCACCCTACTGACCCCTTCTACCAGCCCTGATCTGCCTGCATTACATAGAGAAGCACAAACACCTAATGATGAGGTATGTAACGAATACATAAAAGGTTTATTTAATCATTTCATTACCCTGTTGGAGAAAGGGGTCAGGAGGAACAAGGGAAGGCTAAAGATTAGCAGATTAAACTCAAGCTTTAATAAGTAAATCTGGTTCTAGCTACCCCAAGATTGTGAACCTTTTGGCACAACTGTGAGGTGCTTTTTTCCCATTTAGTCTCTATTCTTTATTGCACAATTAGGGAACTAAAGAGAGAAGGATGTGAAGCCTATCCCTTAACATTTAATTTGGCATTTGTAGGGTTCAGAGTCCACGGACAACAACGGGAATGTGCAGACACTACTGGATGCCAGCTGGTGCACAGTGTAGTAAATATTTAAAGTGCTGTCAGGCCCAATTTAGGATGAAGTGAAACTGTGCTGTTGGTCAATTTTAGTATAATTAAAAAAAAACAACATTTTTTAGAGTTGAAAATTAAATGCCTGCTCCCCCATTGCCCTCTGGTTCTTACAACCAGCCTCTGTATCCTGCAGTGACATTGGGGCCTGCTGAGAAAACCGCAGGGTGAAACCAGGAATACCAGCATCTGACACCCCCCGGAAGTGTCAAATGCTGAACATTCTTCAGCAATGGATGGATCTCCAAAGAGGAGGAAGAGGGGAAGGCAGTGGGACTGGAAAGTATTCATTGATTTCTTTGTATGGAGCTACTCACAGTGTTGCTTTATTACTCTGTACTTTCATGACATATAAAGCAGGTTGCAGAGCACATTGGGTAGTGACCTGTTGACTGTCTCTGACCAACTAACAACCGTATCTACTGCATGGTGGGGGGGTCATTGCACTGTGTGTGAACACACCTGAATAAAAAAGCTAAAGTGGTTCTAAAAGCTTAATAAAAGCTTAAGGCCTTTTACCTTAAAAGGTAAAAAGCCTTCAGTGTGTGGGAGCCCCAGACCCCCCCCCCCATACTCACCTAAGCCCCCTCTCGATCCACCATTGTGCACTGGTGTCTTGGCTATCCCGGGACTCCCTCTCTTTATTGGCTGAGACAGTAGCGAAGCCATTGGACACACAGAGCAACAGGTGCCCGCATAGCAAGCTGCTTGCTGTGGGGGCACCCGACAGGAGAAGGATGGGCCAGAAGCCCCCCGGAAGGGGACTCGAGAAGAGGAGGATCCGGGCTGCTCTGTGTAAAACCACTGCACACAGCAGGTAAGTATGACATGTTTGTTATTTTTTTTAAATGTAAGCCTGTAGAATCACTTTAAACTGCAAAAGCTATTCATAGCATAGCACTAATACATGGTGAAGATACTGGCAGTTGCACCCTTTAGTGCACCACCTACTTACTGTAAGTGGTTAATATGAAAAACCCACATGTAATTTGCCATATTTATCGGACGGCAAAAAAAAAAAAAAAAATACAACTACTGTAGAAATACAAGTAATACAGCAGTTTTATCCATTCTCTAGATCAGTGGTCTCCAAACTGCAGACCAGGGGCCAAATGAGGCCCTTTGCATGCTTTAATCCAGCCCTTGGCACACTATTTTCATCCACTGACACCAGCAATGGGAAATAATTCCCCCCACTGATACCAATGAAGGGGCAGAATTCCTCCCAATGAGACCAATAATGGGGCACAATTCCTCCCATTGGCACTAACAATGGGGCCCAATGACACCAATGGTGGGGCACAATTCCTCCCAATGACACCAACAACGGTGCACAATTCCTCCCACTGACATCAACGACAGGGTGCTATTCCTCCCACTGACACTAAAGATTGCTTTTTCCCCCACAGTAAACTGTCCCTTTGTTTAGAAGGTTTGGAGACCCCTGCTCTAGATGAAGGCTGAAGCACATGCAGTACCTGTTCTGCTGCCTCTCGTTTAACATTATATGTGTCCAGGTGTTCTTGTAGTTCTAAAACGCTGAATTTCAAGGTTTCCAACAACCCACATGACAACAGCTAAAATAGAAAATTACATGTCACATGATCAATGCAGCTACAAAAGTTGAAAAACAAACCAATACTAAGATCCCAGTATTACATATTGCATATACATGGTTAGCTGGTGCCTGCATGACACACATTGTTATATGTTTATCATTGTATAATGAGGTGTTGGTTAAAAATCAAACTGTTGAAAGATCTAACTTAGAATGCCTAATCATCCTACAGTAGCTGCAGGAATCCTACTTTCTTCAAATTGCACAGCTGCATGACGGGAAATTGCTTTAACCTCCTCGGCAGTATGATTCTTTCTGATTTTTTGTGCTGAAAGCGGTACCATTTTTTTGCATGGAAATATGTAGTTTTTTATTGTAGGCCTGTAATTTTTAGGAATAACTCACTGAAATCTGCCCGAACAAGAGTCTAGTAAACATCCCAGGTATGATAAAGTTTGAAACACGAAATCATAAATTATAATAGGCAGGGCACAGGACAAAGCACTAGGGACAAAATATATGTGAAATGCAGCAATGACAGCAAAAATTACATTTTTAAAAAATTTCAAATTTCCCCCGGGTTCCGGCGCCTGTACGTCCCGACGTCACAAGGACCGGAACACAGAAGCCGGATGCCGGGGACGCTGCAGGGGACACATCGTGGGAGCGAAGGACAAGGTAAGTGCTGCAGGGACCCCCTGAGCAACGCCGCATGGTAAGCCCGAGTCTAGCTCTTGGTTGGTATTGAAATTTTACCCCGAGCTACACTCGGGAAAACCGCTAAGGAGGTTAAAGTGGTTGTAAAGACTGAAGGTTTTTTCACCTTCATGCATTCTATGCATGAAGGTAAAAAAAGCTTCTGTGTGTTGCTCCCCCCACAGCCCTCCCTTTAACTTACCTGAGCCCCCTCTCTTGATCCAGCAATGTGCACAGGAGCCATGGTTGGCCCAGATCTGTCTCTCCTCATTGGCTGAGGCACAGCAGCAGGAATTCACAATCAGTGAGGAAAGAGGGCCACAGCTCTAGGTGTCTTACGGACACATACAGCGTTGCTCAGGAGCGAGCAAACATCAGTGCCCCTATAGTAAGCGGCTTGCTACTGGGGTCACTGATTAAGGGGGAGAAGCCAGAAGCGCTGGCGAGGGACCTGAGAAGAGAAGGATCAGGGCTGTTCCGTGCAAAACCACTGTATAGAGGAGGTAAGTTTAATATCTTTTTTGTTTTTTAGTCCAAGCTTTAATATCACTTTAAAGCTGTAATTAATTTACAAAAACAAGTTCATTTCAGAGAAAGAATTCAACAAGACTTTTATTGAGAGATACTTCATTATATTTAATAAAATCAATGGCATAACCTACCGTTTCTGCATCCACGAACACTGTTGGGCACTCCGAACCTGCCATCATTACCTCCAAGGAGCTTTTAAATTTTGTTCCTATTCTCTGAAGGCTTTCTCCCAAAAAGTTAATGGAATCATTTGTTACAGCCCAAACTTTTTCTGAATCGACTACAAAGAGAAGAAACAATCTTTCATTATAGTTCACAGCAGCACCAGAATACCTTGCCTGAAGTCAGCTAAAATCTGGCCATAGAAATTAGATGGAGGGGAGACACACTTGTTTGATACAGCTCTGCATGTTTATACTGTGTGTGTGTGTAGATCTATGTGTTCATGAGAGTTTACTCTTTCAGAATTTTATGAGAGCCGTCTGGCACCTGAAGTCTACTATTCAGAAAAACTTGTACCAGCTGATAAATACCTGCAGACATAAGCTGAGTTGTGCAAGAAAATTTGTTTCCACCAGGAGAGGAATGACAATTAATATATGTTCTTTACAGGTATGAATTTTCAACCAAGGCCCTTCTGAGTCAGGGGGATTGATAGGAATAGGATACTTTTATGAACTGGCAAACAACAGTTCATTTGTGCTAGGGAGATAAACAGTGATGTTCACACACCCGTCATGCTGAATGATACTTCATTCATGTAGTGTGCAACAGCCTGGCCCTAGAGTAGTGAAAGTCTGGGTAGGAGCAACTGACACTTTCAAACATGAAGGTGCAGACACCTATCTTATCTTGCCAATAAAGAACCTATATATATTTTGGCTGGAACTGGTGGTGATGCTATTCTCTATGGCTGACTGTTCCTGAGGATTTTCTCAGCTTATCTCTACTGTCCCTTGCAAATGAGGGCAGAGATTTCAGCATATATTCGGTGAACATGCACATTTGAAATAATACCATTTTGTGTCTTATGTTAATGGAAAAAAGTTCCTGGGCCAGAAACATTATTGTTCACTTCTGTTCCCAGATAGGCATGTCACGATCGCGGCGTCAGACCCCAGCCCTCCTCACCAAACTCGTGACCGAAGGCTGCCCAATCTGAAACTGCGATGTCACGTGCGTAACAATGCCACACCCAACTGCACAACCATTTTCAAGCTACTTGGACCACAATCGATGTACCGGCAGCCTGAGCGATTGTTACTGGGTCAGGTTAATAACACAATTAACCCTTCACATTGCCACCACCTCCTTTTGTACAGAGAAAGAGGAAACTGGGCGATATCAGTTTTAACACTATAATGGTTGAGGTAATAGTCTGTATAACAAGGTTATACAGAGGGTTAAACAAACACAGTAGCGTTCTCTTTAGAGGAAGGAACTCATAAATTGCAATACAGAGCTATAGAAACAGTTCAACACTTCCATAAGGAAAGATTTATTACTAAAAGGTCAAACGGGTGCAATAAAAATATGTACAGAAAAAGATGAAACTAAGATATATTTATAAATATACAGAGACTAACAGCACAGCAAAGAGATATCAGAGAGAGGTGAAAGGGTTAAGGTACTTGCCAAAGTCCTGGGTTAGCAGATCCAAGTTTCAGAGCAAAAGGGCACGGGTCTCCCCAGGTGGTATTGATGTTAAAATGGGAGATGTCTTCAACTCACCTCTTCTTAGGCCTGACAGCCTAATTTGTAGTTCCCCAGCAGGGGGTGCCTCTGAAGTGAAGGACCAATACCCCGTTTAGGTAGGTATGGGCGGATACCTCAACTAGAGCCAAAATCTCCCATAACTCATATTTTGGCCCATAACTTTCCATCTGCACAAGTGACATTCTACCCGCGGGTAGATTATTATGCAGACACGTCTGAGTATTGATTAGATATGAATTATGAAATTATACACTGAACGGTTCACGAGATCTATTTTTCTGTTTTCCTATGTATTCGAGACAATGCGAGTGACCTACTAAACTGTTCGCCTTCTCGTGGCCAATCTGACGATATGTCCGGTTTTTATTTAAGTCTCTCATATTCCAAGATATGAGACATAGGGGAGAAATGGATTTTAACAAAGGTTATCTGGTCGTGTTTCCTGGGAATGTTCTTTTAACTCTGGGGAAAGCTTGCCTTATCTTATATGAGGTGTTACATTTTACAGGTTCTTTGGACAGCTAGGCCCCGGCTCAGAGAGGTGTTTTATAGCTCTGGGCTCCCTGCTGGCTCTAGCCTGCCAGTGACCCACAACCAGATGGCACTGTTGCTGGACAGAGAGAAAGGGGGAGAATGAGGGGGAAATATGTTTGTCAGGATGGTTAACCCCTTTGCCAAGATGGAGGTCGAAGCCAAAATGGTTGAACCACGTCCATCTCTGGGTATACGCTGTTACAGGAAGGTGCTGTCATGATCTGCCTGCCACTCCCTTCCCTCTGCCTGGCTATCCAAGGCACATGTCTGAGTACAGCCTGATCAATAGAACACATCTGTCTGCCCTCTTGTTTCTATGGCTGGCCTGCAGCTAGCTAAACTTATCCCCTTAAAACTATTGACTAGCAAGATTGCTCAGGTCTAAAAGAGACCACAGACATCCAGATCATCTCCTGATCATGCCAACATCAGAACAATCAAGCAATGATCATGTAACATCCAGGGTATTTATTCACACAATCACACAGTCTGACCTGAAAGAGCTTGGAGAAGATATGAAAGGTGTACACAGCACAGGAGCCATCTGTCTCCGATAACATCTGATTGACATGGCAGCGCCAGGCTTCTTCCTCATCTTCATAGGTTACTGGCTGAAAAGCAGCTAATATTGCTGAGAGGAAAGGTGACGGTGGAGGCGACGTCTGAACTTCTGCAAAGCCGTCCTGTTCACCCTCATCTTGGCTACAAAGAGATAGCAGGATGTTATTGTACAAATGACAAGCTAAACACAGGTCTGCCCTCCAACAAGTTTATTTCTAAGGCTTACTTACAGGCTCAGATTCCCAAACAGCCTCACAACACATGCTGAGTAGATATATTTCACAGCCTTCTTGCTTAACAAAAAGGAAGACGACATCTCCATAGAGGAAGTAAGCACAGCACTGCTAACTGCCATCTATATGCTATCTCAATGCTAGGCTGATCTCCAGGATGTGCAGGCTGAATACACAATTACCTGCTGGAAACCGGCCAAGGGTGCTCGCTGCAGATGCACTTTTTTAATTATCTTAAGTAATATCTATGTATAGGGAATAGAAAAAAAAACAAAACTACAGAACATCCATTTCTAGGGCGATCAATTTAATGATCCTGTACAGTGCGTCTTCAGCTGCCAAAACTCAGCCACACGTGATACACTAGCTCAGCAAACAAATGAATCACGGCCTTTAACATTTTACAGCAGAAGATATGTACCGTGTAGGCAGCACTGTGTGAGTGGACACAAAGTGCTCTGTTTCAGCTCTTCAGACACATTTCTGGAGGTTATTCAAATGGTTGCAAGGTAAGAAAGAATTCGGAAACATTTTAAAGACAAATGAAGTCTCCATTTTCTCACTTTATAGTCCTCAGCCCTGGCCTATCATTTTAATAGTTTTTTTGCTTTGAGATGATTTAAATGTACCCTATTCCTGTCCTCACAATCCTGTGCTCTATGCTAGCCTAGATGTAAACAAGTCACACCCCTCATCAAGTGTCCTCACACAGACGTGGACTATAGAGGAAGAGATGGCAATAGGTGTGGAAAGCTGGCCGTACACCGATAGATTTTATTTTTTTTTGTTCAGACTGCAGGCTGAATAAAAAACAAAAATACAGCAATACAACATGCATAGATGGACCTCCTGCTGCAGCTATTATGGCTGTCACAACACTGTCCTATTAAACTACAGAGCCACTGATAACTTCTGTTGTTTGGCTGTTTCTACCTAACCTAGAACAAGAATACAGAATGTTCAGTCAAAACTCCTGAACTTAAAGTGTTACTAAACCCAGGACCCTGCATTCACTATATCTGGTCTCCCACAGTACACAGAACATTGTACAGTGGAATTGTTTTAGTAAATATAAACTGCTAAATACCTTTTCTCATCAGAAGTTAGAGCAGTTTTGTGACTTCTATCAATGTCCATCAGAGCACTGGTTAAAGCTTGCAGAAGGAGTTTTCATTCTGCTCTAGGAGGATGCAAAACCACTGACCTCTGTCTGGACAGTGCTGATTGGTCCTGTGCTGATCACATGCACTCTTCCAAGAAAAAAAACAACTCTCTAGCAATACACACTAAACTGAGCATGTGCATGTGGCTACAGATTCTGTCTGTCTTATCAGAAGATAAGACGTGGACATTTGAAGAGGAGGGGCATAGAAGACAGGATCAAACAGCCTTTTTACATAATGCAGAGGATTAACCTCTTAGGTTCCACAGTGAGTATAACAAGCATGCTTTACTGCATATACAGACTGATTTTACTGTTGTGGGTTTAGTAACACTTTAATTTTTGTTCAGAATCAGCGAACCAGAAAGAAATCAAATTAAAAGATTACCAAGATAGCCAGGCAGCTATCAACTTCATAAAAGCATCACCAACAGCACACCGATTATATTCAATAGAGAGCAGGTTGATATACAGTTGTGTTCAAAATAATAGCAATGTGTTGAAAAAGGTGAATAAAGCTCAAAATCCTCCTAATAGCTTTTATTTCCATACACACAAATGCATTGGGAACACTACACATTCTATTCCACATCAAAACATGAAGAAAAATATATCAAATTTGTGTCGTTCCTCTAAAAAAATTGAAGAAAAGTGAATATTAGACTGTTCAAAAAAAATTGCAGTGTTTGTATTCTTCTTTACAATCTCAAACATTCACTATATAAACTGAAAAATGTGTGAAGATTTTGCTTTCCTTTGAATCACTTAATGAATATTAGTTGTAGTCGCACTGTTTCTGAGAACTGCTGTACATCTGTGTTGCATGGAGTCACCAACTTCTGGCACCTGTGAACAGGTATTCCAGCCCAGGATGAATGGACTACATTCCACAGTTCTTCTCTATTTCTTGGTTTTGCCTCAGAAACTGCATTTTTTGATGTCACCCCACAAGTTTTCTATTGGATTAAGATCCGGGGATTGGGCTGGCCACTCCATAACGTCAATCTTGTTGGTCTGGAACCAAGATGTTGCACTTTTACTGGTGTGTTTGGGGTCGTTGTCTTGTTGGAACACCCATTTCAAGGGCATTTCCTCTTCAGCATAAGGCAGCATGACCTCTTCAAGTATTCTGATGTATTCAAACTAATCCATGATCCCTGGTATGCGATAAATAGGCCCAACACCGTAATATGAGAAACATCCCCATATCATGATGCTTGCGCAACCATGCTTCACTGTCTTCACAGTGTACTGTGGCTTGAATTCAGTGTTTGGGGGTCGTCTGACAAACTGTCTCCGGCCACTAGACCCAAAAAGAACAATCTTACTTTCATCAGTCCACAAACTGTTGCACCATTTCTCTTTAGGCCAGTCAATGTGCTCTTTGGCAAATTGTAACCTCTTCAGCACGTCTTTTTTCAACAGTGGGACTTTGCGGGGGCTTCTTGCAGATAGCTTGGCTTCACATAGGCGTCTTCTAATTGTAACAGTACTCACAGGTAACTTTACACCTTCTTTGATCTTCCTGGAGCTGATTGTTGGCTGAGTCCTTGCCATTTTGGCTATTCTTCTATCCATTCCAATAGTAGTTTTTCGTTTTCTTCCACGTCTTTCAGGTTTTGGTTGCCATTTTAAAGCATTTGTGGTCATTTTAGCTGAGCAGCCTATCATTTTCTGCACTTCTTTATATATTTTCCCCTCTCCAATCAACTTTTTAATCAAGGTACGCGGTTCTTCTGAACAATGTCTGGAACGACCCATTTTCCTCAGAATTTCAGAGAGAAATGCACTGTAACCAGCATGTACAACATTTGCTGCCGTTCCTTCCTTAAATAAGGGCAATAATTGCCACCTGTTTTTCAAAGAATGAATGACCTCACTAATAGAACTCCACACTGCTATTATTTTGAACATGCCCCTTTCAATTAGTGATTCAATTACACAGAATCAGCAGCATGCATGTCATGACTGTTGGGTCTGTTGGATTTCTAATTACTCTACTACACCTGCTAGTAAATTATTTGCCATGTAGAAATATCATTTCTACCAAAAACAGTGATTGATCAGGTTAGTGATGTCTGACTGCTATTATTTTGAACACAACTGTACATCAACGGATTCCCCCCCATCCACGTTACACAGCATGGATGGAAGAATCTACTTCTGCAGTTTTTCTATCCTGATTGCAACAGCTATATATGAATAGCTAACAATTTTCTGCCCAGATCCTTAGATTTTTCAACCAAAGAATGTTGGGTGGGAGAAGGTTGACAGGGGCACCCATTTACTGAAATCTGGCAAGTGCTCCAGGAACTGGACAAAATTGTATAGTGTGTACCCAGCTTCATTCTGAGATTTGCTTTGAAGAAGAAATCAACCAGTATTCAGTGCAGAAAATAAAGTGAATGTGATTTGGAAAACATGAAAGATATCTGTGTCTGTTCTCTGTCAGTCTGCTCTAAAGGCTTGTAAAGTGACATCTTGGTTTTAGAACTGCACACATTCTACATGCAGGCAAGAAGTGATATACACTCACTGGCCACTTTATTAGGTACACCTGTTCAATTGCTTGGTAACACAACGTGCTAATCAGCCAATCACATGGCAGCAACACAATGCATTTAAGCATCTAGCCGTGGTGAAGACAACTTGCTGAAGTTCATCATCAGAATGAGCATCAGAATGGGGAAGAAAGGGGATTTAAGTGACTTTAAACTGGACATAGTTGTTGGTGCTAGACGGGCTGATCTGAGTATTTCAAAAACTGCTGATGTACTGGGATTTCATTTTCTACTGGCCCGACACTCACGAACCCGGGAGGAAGCCCAGGTGAAGATGGAAGCCTCTGCAGAGCTGACAGCATGCCACTGGAGGGTTTTGTTTCTAAGGTGAGTTTGTCATAATGCGCTAGCATTCGGTGCATACTAGCACATTATGGCATAAACCCGAAGGGAGACCAGATTTGTTTTTTCCCCCAAGTTTTCATACATACATGCTGCTATTCTCTGATATCTGTACAGAGGAACACAATACGTAGTAATTCTTAGGAGTCCACAAGTGCTTACAAAGTTCTCCCAAGCATATAAATACTGGTCACAACCAAAACTTTCTGACCTTGATAGGGGACTATGCAGACAGACTTTTTTTTTTTTTATGTCAGATGGGTTTTGCATTCCCATGTGGGTCCATGACAATGCTAGAAGGAGGTCAGCTGCAGGTCAAATGCACCTGTCAAATTCTGGGGGATCTTAGAATCATCTCAACTAATGCCATCAAAATAAGCCCATTGACACAGACCCTTCATTTGTGAAAGAGAACAACATGTCTTATACTGTACATAAGATAGTTCACACTGCAAATTAAAAGGGCTAACCTGGACAAATCAGAAAAATCTGCCTCCTCCTCCTCACATCGCTCATCCAGCTCTTTTAAAGCCAGTGTAACCTCATCTTCACAGACAGAGTCCCGGGAGCTGCCTGGAGCTGGTGCTTCCAGGTCACACGGTTCATCCACTTCCAGGGGCTCCTGACAAATCAAAGCTTCATGTTGGTCTTGTGTAGCATAGGAGCTGGTGTCCTCACTTGCTGTGCTCAGCTGTTCATCCTTGACCAGTGTGCTGACATCCTAAAAACAAGGAGGTTATCAGACTAATATTCCCTATGACAGTAATACTATGGACAATAACCTCCATGTACTTCAAGGACATCGCAGTGCGTGTGCATGCAGGTTTCCTCACCTGAGCAGATATTACTATTAGCACACAGATCTCCCGGCTCCAACATCACCACAACCTTGATATCACAAGAACCGTATATATAAATATGCACAGAAAAAGATACATACCCTGGATCTGGGTTGCTAAAAAAAATGTCTGGAATTACTATTTTAAAATCATGGGCATTAAAGTGTTACTAAACCCAGGACCCTGCATTCACTATATCTGGTCTCCCACAGTACACACAACATGGAAATGCAATTATTTTAGTAAGTATAAACTGCTAAATACCTTTGCCCATCAGCAGTTACAGCAGTCTTGTGACTGCTATCAGTGTCCAGCCGAACACTGGTTAAAGTTTGTAGGTGGAGTTTTTATTTTGCTCTAGGAGGCTGCAGAACCCCTGACCTCTGTCTGGACAGTGCTAATTGGCCCTGTGCTGATCACATGCACTCTCCCAAGGGGGAAAAAAAAACCTCTCAATACACACCAACTGAGCATGTGCAGTGTGTCTCCACAATATATGTCGTATCAGGAAATAAAATGGGGGGCACTGGAAAAAGGGGAGGATCAGAGAAGTCAGGATCAAACAGCCTTTTTACACAATGCAGAGGACTAACCCCTTAGGTTCCACAGTGGGTATAACAAGCATGCTTTACTGCATATACAGACTGATTTTACTGTTGTGGGTTTAGTAACACTTTAAAGTAATAAAGCATGCTTGTTATATTCACATTGGAACTTAAGGGGTTAACCCTCTACATTGTATATAAAGATGGTTTGATCCTGTTTTCTCTTTTCTTCTACTGTCTCCAATCCTTCTGCTGATAGTACAGAGCTCTAGGAGTCAATCTGCACATGCTCAGTATAGTGAGTATGGCTAGAGTGTTTTTTCTTCTTTAGGAGGGTGCATTTGATCAGCACAAGGCCAATAAGCACTGTCCAGACAGAGGGTCAGGGGTTAGACAGCCTCATAGGACTGTCAGAGCAGAATGAAAACTCCTCCTACAAACTTTAACCAGTGCTCAGCTGGACACTGATAGAAGTCACAAGACTGCTATATACTGCTGATGAGAAAAGGTATTTAGCAGTTTATATTTACTAAAATAATTGCAATTCCATGTTCTTTGTACTGTGCAAGACTGTATATAGTGAATGCAGGGTCCTGAGTTTAGTAACACTTTAATATAGAAATTGCCCCCAATTCCATTTGCAGTTTTAACAGCCTTCACTCTTCAAAAAATTCTCAAAATTTTGGCCTTCGTCGAGTGTTTGTGGAAATTTGTAATGAATCAGCCAAAAGAGCACTTATGAGGTCAGGTAGCGACATTGGAGGAGAAGACCTGGTTTGGAATCAATGCTCCATGTGCCTAGGTGAACGCATAGGTGTTCAATGTAGCTGAGGTCAGGGCTCTGTTCAAGCCACTTGCCTTCCTCCACACCTAACATGTCAAACCATGTAATAATTGATCGGTCTTTCTGCACAGTCATACAGGAATGGTCCAGTCTTGCCCTAACTGCTGCCACAAGGCTGGACACAATTATCTGAAATGTATTTGCACTGTATGTTGTACCATTAAAATGTCCCCATTTTCATACTGTATGTTGTAGCATGAACAGTATCCTGTACTGAAAACATCTGAACTCAGAATTTGGAGGGGAGTCTACATACTTTTGGCTATATAGCGTATCAGTTATACAATGAAGCATAACATGGCAGACGAAAGGGTCCAACCTTGTTGGTTCTATGTGCACCTTACTCTAAAAGCTAGCAATAGCCAATTATAAATTGGGATGGTTGCCATTTTTATTTTGCTTGCCGGAATTGGTGTGGGGAACCACTGTATGCCTTCAGCTGCCATTGTGCTTTTCTGGGCTTCTGGCGTGTTGAGGAGGAATGGCTGTGGTTGTGTTCATGGAAGAATGGGTTGCCTCCAGGCACACCTGTCCTACATTTACCCACTGTTTATATGCTCCAGCTGCAGTGCACTTGTAAATCTGTGAATATGCTGACCGGAGATAAAGAATGTCTTAATGAGTGTGCTGCTCTTGCCTGATCTGTAAGCTCATGGTGCACCCAAATTCTGTTGTAGCTGCAGTAGACATCCCAGACCTGGATTTTGTGTCTGGTAGGTGTGGTTGGATCGCAAGACTGGCTGCACAGATTTACAAGTCTGGAGGCAGGTAAATCGGTTCCCACATTTGCATTTCAGATGTAAATTTAATTTTTGCCTGGAGCTCAGCTTCATTGAGGTAGTGAAGGTGTAATACGCAAAGTGTAGTAACTCATATTAACCAACCCAATTGAAGCATTTGTCAGTTCAGACTGGAACAATCACAAATGGTTCTGATAAGTTAATTTGCCGTAAATAATAAAGCAGAATTTTAATAAGCCCCTTAAATGCTAAACTTTCTGAAATACAATATGATATTCTTAACATATTTGTAAGTACACAATAGTCCTGTGCCACTCTGTCACTATGGGAAATATCTGTTATTACCAGAACTTGGATTAGTGCACAAGGATTAAAACAATAGCTATCTGATATTCGGATTTAATATGCATTCTGTTACTCTATATGGACAAAATATACATATCTAATTCCTTGTGATTCATGCAGTATTTCTGTATTGTTTTAATATATTTAGGTATGTTTTTAAATCAAACCTGGAAACCTTGTAGTTAAGGCTGAACTCTGGGCACAAAAACTTTAATATGAATATATTCCTGAATAGCCACAAAGGATAGAAATCCAGTCTGCTTATAACAAATGTATTTGCAAACCCAGATATTCCCTTGTAAAAGTGGGGGTTACATAATCACTATGCTGCACATAATCTGGAGTAGTGAATAGGGGTCCAGCACTTCCACCCACTACAAACTGCCTGCAGAAAACTACAGGAGGGGGTGGATACAAGATCAATCACCCGAGCAATTATAGAGTAACTGTAACTGGTTATTACAAGAAGCTCCTGCCCAGGGGAAACGTTTCACACTGGATTACTGCTCAGATCTGGAGGAAATACACAAAGCACACCAAGAAAGAAGACACTATTGCTTGTAATGAGCCATTGTTTGCCTATCCCGGAGTTCAGCTTTAGGACAACTGTTAACATGACTGCATACTGTATGTAGCTGAGACTACACACAGTTTTTAGAACACTCCGCTGCAACTGTTCGTGAAGTAAATTGTTTATTTAGATCCAACAAACTAAACACACCAAATAAAATATCTATCGTTAAATGAAACCTGGAGATCAGATTTACTTCTTGCTTATGTTCTAGTTTAAGCTGGCTCCATGACTGCTGCTCCAGGTTTCCTGTTTCAGGGTGGCTCCTTTCTCCTACAGTAGCTTATGGAGCCACCATTGCACATAGGGACGTGCATAAATTTAAACACACAGCCCTGTAGCCTAGCATTGTAAGACACTCCCCTGCTCCTCCGTTCTTTCATCCTTCACTTTTCCAGACTAACAGACTGGCTCGAGATTGCACTGTCCACTGTTGGCTCTTTCCTGCAAGTTCAGGGAAGCAACACTGAGAGAGCAGGAGCCAGCAGTACTGAAGTTGTAAACTGCAAGTGCTGGCTAAATATTTGTACAATTTACTAGGGAATGTTTATTTTAGTGTGCTTAAAGCGGAGTTCCACTCACTCTGTAAACAAATAAAAATCAACAGCTACAAAAACTGTAGCTGCTGACTTTTAAAAAAAAACAGCCACTCACCTGTCTCACGATCCCACGTTGCCCCCGCTGCAGCCCATTTCACACATGCGCGGGTAGCGCTGTGCTTCCTGAATGGCCCTGTCATCTTCTGGGACCTGTCACGTGTCCCGCAAGACTTCGGCGAGGGAGGGGGGTAACAACTTCTGTTTCCGATTGCAGCAGACGTGGGAGCAGGTACCTGTCAAATTCGGGTACCCAATCCCACCCCCCCCCCCCCCCGCTCCTCAAAGGTGCCAATCCTTAATGGGGAGCGGGGGACCAATCTTTAAAGCAGAACTTCCCCTTTTGGGTGGGACTCCGCTTTAATGTGTTCAGCTAACACTGGAAGTTTAGTACTAATTTAATCCCATAATAGAAAGCGCTTACACAAATCTTACACATAGAAGAACCTAAAGCTTGCCAGTAGGCTTCAGGAAATAATTGCTCCATCTTTCTCCAAGGTGTCAATTACAAACAATCCTTTACTGACACCTTGTAGTTGGGACAGCACAAATTTTACTTTATTCAGTCACATTTCTGGATGGTTCTTAAAAGGGTTAAACCTCAAACCCGCACTAGAAAAAATGACAACCGGAATCAAGTTGCTATTGGCAACATCAAAGTCTTTTCTCCAATTATTCTTAAAACAACTATAACGCTTTAACCCCCTTCCACCTGAAATTTGTTCCAGAATGATGCCCTGTGCTAGGGATTCCTAAATAAATGACTTTACCCCCTATAAGAGCCAGCAGCTGGCACTCTGCATGACTGACTCACAGAACTGGCTATCACTAGCAGCTCAGGTACCCCATAGCGATCAGAAATCAGTAAGTTGTTGATCATGAAATACTACATAAAAAAATAGAAAAAACACTTTAATTTCTCATTTTGCACATTTGTTAAAGTGGTTCTAAAATGCTGTGTGTTTTTTTTTACCGTAAAGCAGTTGTCCAGTCTCCTTTGAAAAAAAATAAATGTCAGCAGGTACGAAAAATTATAGCTGCTGACTTTTAAAAAAAAACAGCCACTCACCTCTCCCAGGATCCAGCAATGTGTTCACTGGTTGTCCTCTTTGCCCGCCACCAGCATCTTAAGTGTAGGCACCTGGCTGTGACAGTTTGTGGCTCCACAGCCGGGTGCCCACTACGCATGGACAAGCAGCGCTGCATATTGTGAATGATCCCGCAGTCTTCTGGGACCTGTCACATGTCCCAGAAGACTATGGCAAGGGGGAGGAGAACTTCCACTTCTGATCGCCTAGGTGCTCAGAGTGGAAAAGGGAGTGGATACCTGCAATAATCGGGTGCCTGCTCCTCACAGGTGGCAATTCTTCATGGGAAGTGGGGGATCAGTCCCAAAAGCGGAACTTCCCCTTTTGGCTGGAGCTCTGCTGTAATACATTTGCTGAATAAGGGAAAAAAAAAATCCACCCATCTATTTCCCTTTCCCCTTCTCTAAACACTTACCTGAACCTGTCAAGGATCAAGAGCTGTGTCCAGGTGCAGTCCTCTCTCCCCTGCTCTTCTTCTTCTCATAGGGACTCGGGCAGCTATTGGCTCCTGATGCTGTCAATCAAATGCTGTGAGGAGGGACTGGGGGCGGGGCTGAGCTATGCTGTGTGTGTCTATGGACTGCAGCTCCATAGATACACAGCTCGGGAGTGAGCACACACTTGTGTCCCCATGGCATGTGGCTTGCTATGGGGCACACAGAGAAAAGAAGGGGTCTAGCAGGGTTGGCAGGGGACCCCAGAAGAGGAGGTTTGGGGCTGCTCTGTGCAAAACCATTCCATAGAGCAGATAAGTATAACATGTTTGTTATTTTAATTACAAAAAAAAAAATCTGTACTTTACAATCACTTTAACCTATAATAAAAACAGAGCACCACTTTTTCTTTTTTTTTTTTTTAACTAAGAAAAGTGTACCAAGATGATACTGTACAATATCCACTTTGTGCATGTGTTGAAAATGTCCACCGATTATGTGTTTATGTCATTTCTTTCTGCTCCTCCCTCTGAACTTTGTACTTATGTATACTTAAAATGAAACAATAAAAGATTATACAAAAAAAACAGTGTACCAAATAAAAGCCTTGTATGTTCCTAAATATATATAAAACTTATTAAGGTATGCAAATGAGTTATAGAGTTATTGTCAATTAACTGATACATGCTTGCGTAGCTACATTTTGTCTGGGGTTATTTTAAGAAGAACCACCAACTCTCTGATACTCACCTTCTCAGTACTCCCCTGACATTCTTTGGCGTTCTTATGAGTGTATGAAGAAGAATGAGACCTCCCCAGGGTGCAGTGATTGAGCCTGAACAGTCAATCACAAGATCTGATCACTGAAGAGGAGGAAGAGGTTTACATTGCCTAATATTTTGACAGAGGGTTTGGACTCTTGGCTCTGAAACAGAACATGGGGAGGGCCCTGAATTGGCAAAGTCAGTCTCTTTAAAGAGAACCTGTCATAGATGGGTTTATGTAAGAATATGAATGTTCAATTCTAAATAACTAACTGAGGGCCTAATAAAAAATATATATGTTGCAAAATGTATAAATAAATAACAAGAGACCAAGAGATACATTCCTCTTAACTACAGTTCTCAGCCAATGATCAATGTTCTGTACTCTTAGGCTGGGCATAGAATATTAAGCCCCATTCACACTTTAGCTATTTGGGATTCAAATTGTGTCAAAGCACACTGAGCGTTTGGGTGCCATTTGTTTTTAAATGTGGCGTGATTTTACAATTGTTGCATAGCAAAACCTGAGTGAATAAATACAAGCTTGTCCCAGGGCCAAAATTTGGTCCTTGAGCTTCTTTGCCACGACAAATGCAAATAGGGTAGCCCATTCAAGTGAATGGGCTGCCCTATACAGGACATGCAGAAATGCATGTAAATCACACTACAAAAAGTGGAAGGGTCGAACAGGCCGGGCCACACACAGATCAAAATTCAACTGCTTCAGCAGAGTTTCAATCCATCTATACCCAGCTTTAGGAACTGAAGGATGAGGTGAGCTAGTTGACAGGGCAAACTGTCAAGAATTTAGGTCATCACTGACTTGACCAAATATACATCTTTCATCTACAGGAAGGAGGTTAATGTTTAAATACTTTTGGCAAAATGGCAAAAATAATAATGGAATTTCAAAAAAGGATTGAATTACTTTCTTGATCCAATAATATCCAAACTTTAATTATAAGTACCTAAGTCAGTACCTGAAATAAATTATGGGGATCGGTTATTGAGATTTTCCCTCACTTTCTGTTTTGGTGACAATGGCTTCACTGGTCAAGTAGTATAGCAACACGCAATGTCAGGAAATCTAGCTCTTCATATGCTAATAAAAATCTATTGATATTTCTGTCTGTTTTGCCTGTAGATTTAAAGTATAACTAAAGGCAAAACTTTTGTTTTTTAGTTTTGGATAGAGTGGAGAGTGATTAAAACATCTGTCAGGTTTTTCTTGCTGTCTGTGTCATTTGTTACTGTCTTTGTAATTTTTACATTCACTTTCAAGGATAATGGTAAAGAAAAATCCCAACATTGAACAGCAATAGAGAGGAAATGTTACAATGGGGACACTAGTCCAGATGACGGAGGTGACAACTTCCTCTCAATTTCTGTTTGGCTATGGAGAGGAAGTGAAAGAAAATCTCTCCAATGAGACACCAATAGCACACACCCCCCCCCCCCCCCAAAAAAAAGCACCTGATAGGTTTTAGGCCTCCCTTATTCTATCCTTTAGTTCTACTTTATTCTTGAAAGGAAAAATCTCAGGCAGCAGTAAATACCCAACAGAGGTTCTGATCCTTTCCAATACTATCCAAAACCAAAAAAATAGCTTGACATAAACATTATTTATTTCAAGTACTTATATAGTGCCTTCAGTTTACGCAGTGCTTAAACATTAAGACCAGATATTCATACTCTTGTGGCAGCTCAATCATGACTGATCCCTTATGGTTGGTCATATATGGCCTGATCAAAGCAGGTGATGCAACCAATTCGAGCATCACCTGCTACAGTCATGCTAAAAACATTTGCAGTAACCAACACTTCTCTGAAAAAGGGAATTGCTAATCTCTTCACAGCCACTAGGTTGTTCTCTTTTCTATCAAGAGAAGGGAACAAGGCTTTCACTGTATCCATCTTTCAGACAAATCAGTCAGTGGGTGCCATGTGTTATTTAATTTTTTCATTTCTTGCCACTCTGGGCTCAATTAAAACAATGGTAGCAATTATCTCTAAAATGATTCTCAGAAAAACAAAAACTTAATTTATGACAGAAATAGAGATACTTACAAATGACTGGTCCCCAGTTAGCTGCCATTTCTCATCCACACACTGGCCTTTTAACATTGTGAAGCTGGGATTTTGTTGTGTCACCATGGTTACAAAATATCAATCACTAACAGAGCTGGCCTGAGGTCCTAACCCCAATTACAGCCCAAATCACACACAATGAATAAAATGATCAGCTACAAAGAAGCACCACAGAGAAACAAAATTGCTCTAAAATCAACGTAACCATGCCCAAAACTGTACAATAAATTAACCAATTCACCCAAAACAGTAACAGCTTAACAAATATTTGTAACCTTTGGGGCGTGTGCAATTATAATGATAAATAATACTGTGATTAGGACCCCAAACAGGTTAGAAATATTAAAAAGTAAGAAAAAAACAAAAAAGATCTCATTTGATGTGTAGGACAGCTGCATGAAATCAAAAGAAAATCTACGAGACAGAACTAAAAGGAGCCCAGATCAGCCATGCACCAGCCCAGATTTCTCCCCACCTCAGGCAGCTGACTGTTAGCGCTATCTGGAGGGGTCACCTCCACACTGGGGGTCTCAGCTCTGGTTTGCAGTACTTCCTCTGTCAGAGCATTAGTGAGTGAGTCCTGAGGCTGGAGGAAGTGGTCCATGTGGTCAGCCGTGCTGTCCTCTGCTGTAGAGTCATTATTAACCTACGGGAAACAAGCACAAAATAAAATAAGCAGTCATAACAGCAGAGACAGCAGTTTAAAAGCCCAGTTCCAGTTTCTGTCCCTGCAATAAGTCAGCTCAGCTCACCATGTTCCCTCCTCCCAGCAGTGACTTTCAATTCTAATCCCTCAGGTAAACAGAAAGCAGGAACTAAGGTAATGAAGGAAGCAGGGTGAGCTGAACTGTTGTGAGAATGACTTGACAAACTTTACTGCATCAACTGTGAAATCTGAGGATGAATTGCTCAATAATGCCTGCAGCTACAGCGGTAAATACTGGAATGACCACAGCATGGCCACAGGTTCATTTTAAAGGCTGTCATTAATACAGATCTCCAAGAAGTTTATACTGTACATCTAAGTGGATGGTATGAAATTAATTTGTCTAAAAGAATACTGGTAAGAAAAAATCTATTTATATTACAGTAAATTTATTGTACTTAATAACACTGGCTGAGTTGGAATGGCTCTAAAAAAATTCTGCACATTGCAGAGTACAGGGTGGCTGGGTTACAGCTCCTTTCCCTAAAAATGTAATTTCAGAGGTAACATCTTGGATCCCAAGACTCCTAACAGTAGCCAGAAAGCAAAGGATGATGACATTTAGTTTTCTGATTATACTAATCAGGCTGTATACTGTGACTCTTCCCTGCTAGACAGTCTTACTGCTGTTTGGGCCAAATTGTGCCATTCCTCCCTCTATGTTGTTACAATTCTCTAGCATTACTTAGATAGAAGCTGTTAAAGTGACCCTGTCACGTTCTATAAAATTGCAGCTGAATTTTTTTCTGCAAGAGAAGAAGTATTATACTCCCATTCTTCAGCGGCTCGTTTCTACTACCCCCTCTCGGCATTCAACACGTATGGAAGAGTTGGATGCCTGTATCCCTCGCTGTGTACAATAGGTCCATCCATCAAACCTTAAAGAGACCCTGTTGCCAGACCACTCATTTCAACAAAAATATTTCCATAAGACTAAAAGTGGATTTGACATATGTGTAGCCATTCAAAAGCCCTGAGACTGCTGCTAGGATCTGACATCTTGGTAAGATGTCAGTGACCCCAGCAAACTCAAGTGACACTATTCCTCTTTGCTCCTTCTGCAGCAACTACATAAAAGAGGCAGAGAAGCAGTGAGCACAGACAGTAATTAGACAACCCCAGAAGAGCAGATGTCTATTACCAATAATAAAGGGGGCTGTGCTAGGAATAGACTAGTCATTTTTTCTAGCAAGTTTAAAGACACATTGCAAATGAACGTAAAATTGTTTATGGAAAGAAAAATAACTGCAGGTAAGCTTTTAAAATCTGAGTTTATTGTGCATTTAGTGTACCTGCAATTTAAGTTGGTGGCAGTGTCTCATTAAGCCAATGCTTATTCTTGTAGTTTTATAAGGGTCGGAGGAAGGAACCACAATGTGCAGTGGGGGGGGGGGGAGCATACAAACACTCCTGGAGTGCTGAATGCTGAAGAGTCTGACAAACGCTACAGCACTGGAATGAATGGGGAGTAAGGAGGCATAGGACGCTGAAAGGTGAGTATACTACCTATTTCGCTGGGAATTTTAAGCTCCATTTTAAACAACCTGGTAGGGATGCTTTAGAACTCAGACAGGAGATGAGACTTTTGAAGGTAAAGTTGGTTCATTAACAGTCTGTGTAGATACAATGACATCATCTCTCCTTGCCTGACTGGCGGGAGAAGTTTTTTTTAGTTCAGTTAATAGGAAAACAAAATATTTCCATCCAACGGAGTAAGAGAGATAAAGGAAGCTGAAGCAAAATTGTAGTAAGCAAAGTATAGTTTTACACAGTTGCTATCTATGGTTTGCTAAACAGCACAGTTTCACAAAAAGTCATCTACATGCAAAGCTACTATAGGAAAGTAAACAAGCAGCAGCCCTTACTATTCCATAAGTAACAGCCATTGTAAGAGACAAGTGATCTGACACAAGCATTTTAGTCTACTATGATCAGGCATTAAATTTACAAATTTGAGAGTGCATGGAAGTCAAAGATGGACTCTGATATCATACCATCTGTGAATGAGTCAAAATTTGACTAGCAGTCAGCGCTTCCTCTTCTGAAGACTCATCTGTGTCCTCCTGGTTGGTTAGGTTCAAGCTAGGAGTGCTACCTGAGTACTGACATTCCTGCAGAGACGGGGTGTCACCTTTGTCAATACTGTCCAATGAACGTCTACGTACTCCCCAGTTGAAGTTGTCGACACTTTCGCCCTGTGAAGACAAATCCAAGAAAACATTTAGGCAATTTATGTCAAATTTTACATAGAACATTAAGACTCACAAGCAGTGCAAGCTATTAAAATAATGGCTCTGAAACAAAGGGGGAGGGGGGGCACAATTCAAGAACAAAACAGAGATACAAGATCAAGACAGGGAACAGATAACTTGGCCAATATACAGATCTATTAATCAAACAGCAAACCTTGCACATTTTATATTTGGCAAAAACACAAAGCACATGGGATCACAGCTAAAACAAGCCACTCCACCAGGCTGCAACTTACCTGCAGCTCCTGGTTAGCAAAAAGGAAAACACAAATATTCATAAGTAACAAGGACAAACACAGAGGCAGGAGAAAACAGTTATGTATCACTTAAACATCACTTATACAGACTAAACGCTGGGCAGAGCAGCACTGCCATGTTAATGTACAGGGTACATTAGGGCTGACTAAAATTGGGAATTTTGTTTTTTTTCGGCAATGAACCTTAGCAGGAAATGATCATCAATTTCTGAAATTGTAAAACTATTTACATGCTGCACAGTTGTTTAAAGAAAACTGTCACAGAGAGAAAAACAGGGTTTGTCATTGCTGACCCCATTCTAAGAATGCTAGTTGCCCAGCTGCTTGTGGCTTTATTACTAAGTCGGTGTCCCGGTAAGGGCATGCAGTTTGGGATGTCACAATGTACATGCAGTACTGAAACCACTGTATCAGCATGAAAGCCAGCAACTGGCATTTTCAAGAGATGTCAGCAATGGCATATTCTCTTACTATGGGTTTCCTTTAATCTGGAAACTTCAAGTCAACTTGTCATGGCCTAAAGGTACTCATTCCAACACTCTACTGATGTGATGCAGGCAAGCACCTACTTTGAAGCAACTAAACCAACGTATGAGCCCATGTATCCTAGGCTATATGCACAAGGGCATGGACTTCAAGCCAAGCTGACATGAAGCCCCTGTCCTCTCTCATTCAACTGGCAAATGTCAGAGATTATCCTAACCACTGAGGCACTGCCAACTGACAGCGCCTTGAAGCGGAACTAAAGCCTCCTATCCATTTCGGCCAAGGAAGTTGCAATCTTATACTGTTTGTTCTGCAACTGCCATGGTGCTGCACATGGGATCCGGTATGACAGTTTGGTTGGGAACACAAGCAAATGTGACCGTTAGTATTCCAGGCATGCCGGTAATGTCATTGTTTTTTTAAACAGTTAAATCATAGGGTTTCTTTCCGCTTTAATATTAAATTTAGGCCATACTCACTCTAAAGGGTCAGTTTACCCAACAGTGATCTTTCAGTTAATGCTGAAATCTTGAAAGGCCAAGTCTCCAGCTGGCTTTGCATATAATTTGCACTTGAACTTCGGTGGCAAGGTATCACTGCCATAGTTTCTGGCTATGTTCACACTTAAGAGAATTTCTACTTCTACTGCTGCAATAATTATAATATATATATATATATATATAAAAAAATTCTAACAGGGAAAGGAGGACGATCATTTACTGGCCATGGCAGCCCTGGGAACTAGGAGACTTAAGAAACAGTTGTTTTATTCAACTTTTTAGCAGCTAACAAAATTGGCACTTGGATGGACTGACCATTTAAATGTGTTTTGATCTATAAACGCTACTTGTCAGCTGAAAGTGCCTCTTAACTCTGGTCTAAAAAAAGGAAATTTATTTTCTTAGATTGTAAGCTCCAAGGAGCAGGGCCCTCCTATCCCTCTTGTATTGAACTGTATTGTTGCTGTATTGTCTCCAGTTATATTGTAAAGCACTGAGCAAACTGTTGGCGCTATATAAATCCTGTATAATAATAATTTTCAAGTATAAATTCTTGACTAGGAACTATGGGATTTGTACTGTGCATAGAGCGCTGCACATGGCTGCAACAAACATGTAATGCTCGGTTTAAACAAACGGAAGTGACGAGGAAAAGGAGAGGTTTCTGAACTCAAGGGGGACGTTACAAGGAGGCAGAAAAATGCAGAAGGAAACAGTTTCATAAAAATAGTTTACAGTAGTCAGTGTATAGGAGTTATTTTTGGATTAAAAGGATACTGTTTAGTGTCATTTTAAAGGCTCCTTCACATGGGCACACAGCCTCGTATAATGCAAAAGCTATTTGTTTAAAGTAAAGCTGAAACTGATATGCATCTGTTGTATGAACCTACCTGCATAGCCAAAATTTGACAGGTAAGCAGGGAAGGGTGCACCGACCTGGATGCACAAGGTCTGGGAGCTTGCACTCATTCCTGCATACCTGTCAAACTCTGCTGTGCAGGTGTACAGCTGATTCATATCCATGCATATAGGCTGTCTACACACAGCTCAGTGCTAGTACAAAAAGTAAACCGTTTACGCTGTACAGGGATGAATGCACATATGAATGAGCCCTAAAACCTAAATCTGGGACTGGTTAAGCATATTTGGGATTTCCTCAAATCAGCTTAATCTATTTTTATGTTGAAATAATATGAATACATATTAGTTTAACTCTAAAGAAAAATGAAGGCTGTTATATATACTTAGAACGCATTACGTTTTATGCAAAATCTCTTATGTATTATAAAAAGCATGGTCTTGCACTGAGAGGAATATCATAGAACGGCTCTTTCAGTCATATAGGACAGTGACCCCATGGTCTTGTTTAAAGAGGCAAACTGGCAGCAGGATCCTAGAGGTGTCTACATGTATGATGACCCACTTTGTATAGCACCAAAATGAGCCCTAAACACAGAGAAACAGCTTTAGCAATAGCCAAATGTGGTCCAGCGTCTGAGTCAAGACCTTAGACCTGTCCATTCCTGCACATGCTGGATTTTATTTTGAAGGGAATCCTCTATAGCCAATAGCATGGCACAAACAGCTATAGGTCCAAGTTCTCAATCACAGTCTGTCATTATTCTAAATACCTGTTTGGGAAATCTCAGATGGAAGCTTTCACTGTCCAACTTAGATCCTTCATACTTATTAAAGGCAGTAGCAGTGATGCTAAAGAGATGTCCCATGGCCAGGAATTAGTTTACATCTTGAGAGACGGACAATGGCACCTTCTAACAGTCCATATTAAAACTGATAACAGCTTTAGAAGGAAAAATACCTTTTGCACAGCCCAACATCACTAATTGTATTTAAAGTCATGAAAGGAATTTAAAAGAATGGGGTCCAGGAGCAAGGTAATTTTAACTAGACAGATACAATGGTTTTATGAAATTAGACATTATAGGCTGGAGAAAGGCTGAGAGGTTACCGATCAAGAGCCTAGCTCTACAAAGAAAACAACTCTCCTTGTATTCACACCTTATAAATACTGATTGATTAAAAAAAATTGTTTCAGAGCATATCCTCCCTTGGATTCTACTATATATTATGGCTAGAATTTGTTTGGTTTCCTACATGTATGAACTCCATTGATATGAAATATCTGTTCTGATTCAGTCTTATTTTCTTTTCATTATCAAAACCCCTACAGTTTGCAGTTAATGGGTTTCCAGAGGCGACTGGTCGACATTTAAAAGACAGGCACAGCACTCTCACCTCAGCATCTTCTAATTCAACATCCAGAAAATCAAAGTCCTTGAAGACACCAAACTGCTGTTCACTGCCGGTGTCCTCAACAGTCACTTCCTCCTCTTGAATGGCTTCCTCTGTGCTCAAAATCAGGCTGGTCTGCTGATCTCCACCTTCCAGATCTTCATTTGATGAGAAGACCACCTGTGGAGAGCAGAGATTGGAAAACAAGCTTTCTAAACACTCATATTCTCTGTGTGTGGCTGACTTGTGACAATTTACAGGTGCCGAGGCTCTCTCAGCAAAGTGTTTATTATGCTACAGCCAAATGACATGCAAGGAGCACAATTACAGTGAGTTTAATTAGTGTCTGCAAAGACAAGAAGTCACACTTACGGATGGATTTTTGGGGAGACCTGAGTCTGGCCCACACAGAGACAGGACATTCATTAACTTTTCTCGAGTTCTCCTCTGGAAAAGAAAGGTCATAATGGAGAAGAAAATTAGCATAAACAGTGTGCATCTTCTTATCAATCAGATAATCATAAAGAGAAACAATCAAAAAACAACATCAATTAATGGCAGGCAGAACATTTACTTTGCTCAGATGCTCTTAACACCCCAATTTCTTATAGCAGCACAATGAAAGCAATGATTGTAGGTTACAGTCATGAGTTATTCTAAATTTTTTAAATCTACAAGTTGCAAGCAGACTGCACCATTTAGAAAGATCTGAAGGAAATATAAACTGTGGAAGCTCCTAGAAGAAAATCTGGATGCTGCTGGAAAAATCCCTTCATGTAAGCTCTGACCTGCAGGATGAACCAGCTACTCAGCACAGATTAAGTAGAAGATCTGACAAATCACAGCAGGGTAGTAACTATTTGTGTGCCAGTGGAACTTTCTCTTATTTTAACTGGTAACTCCACTTTTGTGGGGAAAGAAAAGCAAATGGAAAAAAAAATAATAATATAATATAACATATACAGTACAACTGCTACACAAGCCATATTTGTAAATTAATGTTATTAAAAGTGACCTTTTCATTTAAAGCTCTAGCACTGTAATTGCCTGTAAAATGAAATGCAATAAGGCAACCTGGATGGTGTACACAACTTATCCAGAGATGTAATTTTCTGCTTGTGTCTTTGGCTCACTGATTTTCCCAGAAGTCTGCACTTAGATACAAGTAAGATTTTAGACATCATCTTCAGCAAAAATGTAATTTTTTGAGAGTTACTACCAAAGAGCTATTCACTTCTAAAGGGATTGAGACTGCAAATTGCATCAGCTGATTGATGATGAAAAAAACACACTCCCATTTAGATTCACTCTGCACAAACAAATGGCTTTTTCTTCAGAGCAGAAACAGGAATCTGCAAGAAATGTTGTTACAATGTACACTGATCATCCAGAGGGGATTGGTTTTTTCTCAACATAAAGTGGATTTACTCTTTAGGGTCTTCTAGTGGGTAGAGGCTGCTGTGTGCAGTTTACTGAATAAATCCCTGCTAAACCTGAATTTTACTCGGTGTGTGGCTATCCCTACATGACAGAAGTTGATTGTTTGATCAACTTCTGTTAGAAGGGACGCAGAGAAAAGCAGACAACACTGCACATCGCCCTGAACACACCATGTGCACCGTGAAACATGATGGTGGCAGCATCATGTTGTGGTAATGCTTTTCTTCAGCAGGGACAGGGAAGCTGGTCAGAGTTGATGGGAAGATGGATAGAGCCAAATACAGGGCAATCTTAGAGGAAAACCTGTTAGAGTCTGCAAAAGACTTGAGACTGGGGCGGAGGTTCCTCTTCCAGCAGCAGGACAATGATACTAAACATACAGCCAGAGCTACAATGGAATGGTTTAGATCAAAGCATATTCATGTGTTAGAATGGCCCAGTCAAAGTCCAGACCTAAATCCAATTGAGAATCTGTGAAAAGACTTGAACATTGCTGTTCTCAGACACTCTCCATCCAATCTGCCAGAGCCTGAGCTATTTTGCAAAGAAGAATGGGCAAAAATGTCACTCTCTAGATGTGCAAAGCTGGTAGAGACATCCCCAAAAAGACTTGCAGCTGTAATTGCAGTGAAAGGTTGTTCTACAAAGTATTGACTCCGGGGGGCTAAATACAAATGCACGCCACACTTTTCAGATAATTATATGTAAAAAACCTTGCAAACCATTTATCATTTTCCTTCCACTTCACAATTATATGCCACTTTGTGTTAATCTATCACATAAAATCCCAATAAAATACATTTACATTGGCAAAATGTGGAGAATTTCAAGGGGTATGAATACTTTTTCAATGTACTGTATTGTATGCAGCTGTGATTGGCCCAATATAGTGACAGCTTTCTGGTAGGCTTGCTCACAAGGGTTCAGACTAGGATCTGAACAAGTCCAAGCTTCTCCTCTTCTATGGGCCAGACACTGAGGTACTTCAGAGGTAAACTTCGGGTTAAAGGTGAATATTGTAGCCTAAGTTACTTTTTTTTTGTTATAAACAAAAATCGGCCCTTGATTTTTCACAGTGGTGACCACCACAATGAGGAGAGCGCAAACATATTCCTTTTCTGGGTACCTTTAAAGAGGATAACTTCTAGTGATTCTAAGCCTTTCATTTTTCTTTAAAAAAAACAAACAAGTTACACTTACCTGCTCTGTACACATAACAGCCCTGATCCTCTTCTTTTGGGGTCACCTGTGGGTGCTCCCGGCTCTTCCCCCTAGCAAATCAGTTAAGGGGGGGTACTAAGGGGGGCACTTATGTAGGCTTGCTCCTACAGTCATGGACACAGACAGCATGGCTCCGCTCCCTTGTCATAGGATTTGATTGACAACAGCGGGAGTCACTGCCTCATGTTGCTATCAATCTGCCCTGAAGGAGGGCGAGAGCGGAGAAAGCTACTACTCTTGTGCACAGCGCTGGATCAAAATCGGGCTCAGGTACATATGGAGGATGCTGGGGGGGGGGGGGGGGGTCCTGGACACGGAAGAATGTAATAAGGTAAAAAACCCCCACAGCGTTAGAAGCATTTTATTTTTGGGAGAAGAATTATTTTTACAATACAGCTGTCACCTGAATAGTTCCACTACCTGAGAGAGCTGTGGTCTTTTCCAGCTAACAGGGACAAGAGCATTGGAGTTTGAACCAGAGGAAGTGGAGGATGTACTTCGAGTTACAGCAATGACTTTTGCCTTCCCATTTCTTCCTGCTGCGCTGTGCTGGTCTCCATACTTCTGTCCTATTATTGGTGTCTACAAACAAATACAGGCCAATATAAGTGAGATCTGGCAATGTCCTGGAGATGGAGGCATGAAAGTAAATATGAACAAGTAATTCTGATTACACAGGATCTCACCTCTGATATGTCAAAATGAAAATCTAATGTTTTTCCAGGTAGCTCTTTTGAGGCACAATTAAATATTTTTGTAAATGAGATTTCAGGTGAGCTTATATCTCTGTAGGATTTTGGAGCGTCATTTGGCACTACAAGACAGGCTGAGCGGGAGACCACCAGTTTAAGGATATTCAGTGCTTCTCTCCAATACGCACTCTGACAGGACAAACAGTAAAATATAATTATAATAAGAAAAATACAAGCACAAAAACTATGGATGAAATAGAACATAGCAAAAAAGAACATGCCAAGTAGCAGGCAGCACAAAAATCAGGGGCTAAATACAATTCTTTACCTGAAAGCTGATCAGCCTGAATAAATGCTAATGGTTGAAAACAATACCCTGAGAAGAGTTAGTAACAAAGAAGAGAGCAGGTGTTAACTACTTCACACATCTCTCAGTATCTAATAAAGCACTGAAGCCAAATGTATAAAGTGTCTGTAAATCCTAAATCCGGCAAGACGGATTGAAAGTCTGCCAGTTCAGCATGAAATGGATGAATTTGATCCATTTCTGGACAGGCTGGTTTGTATTGAAGCAGGTTTGTATTGAAGTTGATCTATCAATTGATTTCAGTACAACCAGGCTGTTTTCTTTTTTGTACAATCGTTGCTGCTTGATATTGTATTGTGACAGCGTGAGGATTGTCTGTTTTGATGGGGGAATAGAGTGATTTTCTTTCCTTCAACCCATGGTTGTAGGAAAGAAAATTGCATAATGTATGGCCAGCCTAACAATGAACTTACTTAATTTGCTACTTTTTGGTCTGTTAACAATACCATTGCAAGCATTTTGTTATATCTGCTTCATGAGTCCAAAAAATACCCTGTTAATCTTGTCAAAAAATTCAGGGCTAGTTCAGTGCTCCCTGAATGTGTTTCTCAAAAAGACTATTCAGCCCTTCCTGTTCTCATCTTTGACTACAATTCAATTAGTCCCTATGTTACAGAAAAGAAGACAGTGGGAGTAGCAGAGTAGTTTAAAAAAAAAAAAAACAAAACTGGCAGGGCTGACACCACTCAGGCCACAAAAATGTTGTGTGTTGTAAGCCCATAATAGGAAATTAAGATCCGAGTTTATTTCTGGCAGATCAACAAGTACTGTTCTGTACCTTGCATGGTCTTTCAAGTGATAAACTGAAAAATGTGTGTGTATTCAACATGTACTGTATATGTGTTTTTTTTATTTTGCATTGACATATGCTTTAAATATATATTTTCTGATGCTCAGGTAAAAATACATATGTGGTTGTATCAATCGGACAGGAACCACTTATTGCATTGCCCACGGTGACTGAACTGAGAACCTATATATAAGCCAAAAGAATAGAAACTGCATTCACATGTTCCAAAATGCTTGGTCTATTTCTAATGATTTGGAGTAAATGGATGTAGTTTGGGAATTCCCTAAAACAGTCTCAGAAGACAAAGAGAACACATTAAGAAGTCCTTATCTCCCCAGGCTCATGCAGAGTCTGTAGATCTAGAGAACAGCATCAGACACCAGACACGTGCTCTCACAACTAGTTGCTAGTGTACAGAAATATGTCCACAACGGTGAACCCTAAAGACCAATCTGTTTTATAACAGAATGAACACAGAAATCCTTTGCAGATACCTCTCACCCATGGTAATTCAGATGTTTTGAAAGTAGGCACTTCAGTTGCCCAGAATGACCAAGTGTTCTAACATGCAGATCCTTTAAAGATGTATGGTTTCAGAGTCTACCCCAATACCTGCTAGAGCACACTATTGGCAAGTGATCCTGCCCAATACAGCAATGGCACAAAAGTGACGCTTACCAGAAGGACAGGGACTAGACTGTGGTATTAATACACATCTGCATAACTGAGAACATAAGGTGTGATACATTAAAATGTGGTCTGATGTCTACTTCATCCTATGTGCTGACAAAACCCAAAAAAAACGAATATTTTCTACTTTCCGTTAGAAAACATATCTAATAAAATCAAATTTCTTCATAAATTTAGGTCAAAATGTATCCTGCTACATGTCATTTAGAAAAAAAATATAGCATATACAATTATTACACAAGTCATACTGTATTTGAATGTTATTAAAATTTACCTTTCCTTTCAATTTACAGTGCTGTAATTTTTTTAAAAATTCAATGCAATATGGCAACCTGGATGTCTTCTGTAAAGAACACCGCAAGAAATGTACTTTCCTGCTTATGAGATTGACTCACTGATTTTCCCAGAAGTCTGTACTAAGATGCAAATCAGATTTGGGCATCCTCTTCAACAAATATTTCATTTTTAGTGAAATGCTCCCAGGGATTCAGACACTGCATTCTTTTAAGTCTTGATTAGAAATGTACACTGATCACCCAGAGGGGATTTTTTTTTTCATACAAGTGGAGTACCTCTTTAAAGATTAGTCAGCTGCAATATATTACATTTTTTGGTTTTGTGTTTAATACTGCTTTAAGCCTGTTCTTCTGTAGAATACAAGCAGACCTTGAGACCTGAAGCGCTGCTATGTACATCTCTACAGTCACATTTACTTCTGAGAATGGTATTGCTGGTACTGCTAAGCTGACCTCATTCACTGTTTTCATTTCAGTGCTCCTGAATAAAGTGTTCCAGCCAAGCACAAAGATATATAGAGCAGTTTACAGCAAGCTGGCTTAGTGCTCTAGGGCATTCCTGCACAGAACCTTGAATTATAGAATGTTGTGGTTTTGACGGGAGCCAAAAAAGAAATGCTTCTGTCAGAGCAGGATATTGGAAATTAATTACAAGTCATAAAACATCTGGCTTTTATGGATAAAAAAGGAAAAAAAGAGAAAAACTCCACTTGGGCACATTAAATGAATGACATTGTGAATGCAACCCAGTTCCTTGCTCTGGGGACAATGTGCATTGCACTAAAGAGAGGAATGCACATACAACAATGAAAATCTTTGCTCTGTGTGGAAGTGTGAGTGTGTGCATATATATAATATATATATATATATAATATATATATATACAGTCATGGCCGAAATTGTTGGCACCCTTGATATTCATGTATTTCTCACGAAACGTATTGCATTAACACATGTTTTGCTATACACATGTTTATTCCCTTTGTGTGTATTGGGACAAAACAAAAAAAGGGAGGAAAGAAAGCAAATTCGACATAATGTCTCTGGACAAAAGTATTGGCACCCTTTCACAACTGCGGATAAATAAGAATGTTACAAGCATGTGATGCTCCTGTAAACTCACCTGGGGCAAGTAACAGGTGTGGGCAATATAGAAATCACACCTGAAAGCAGATAAAAAGGAGAGACGTTCACTTAACCTTTGCATTGTGTGTCTGTCTGTGCCACACTAAGCATGGACAACAGAAAGAGGAGACGAGAACTGTCTGAGGACCTGAGAACCAAAATTGTGGCAAATATCAACAATCTCAAGGTTACAAGTCCATCTCCAGAGAACTAGATTTGCTTTGTCCACAGTGCGCAACATTATCAAGAAGTTTGCAACCCATGGCACTGTAGCAATCTCCCTGGTCACGGATGAGGAAAATTTGATGAAAGATTGCAACGCAGAATAGTCCGGATGGTGGATTGTTCCAAAGACATTCAAGCTGTCCTGCAGGCTCAGGGAGCATCAGTGTCAGCGCGAACTATCCGTCGAGAAATGAAACTATGGCTGCTGACACAGAGACATAAAAAAGCAAGACTACAGTTTGCCAAAATGTACTTGAGTAAGCCAAAAGCCTTCTGGGAAAACGTCTTGTGGACAGATGAGACCAAGATAGAGCTTTTCGGTAAAGCACATCATTTACTGTTTACCGAAAACGGAATGAGGCCTACAAAGAACAAAACACAGTACCTACGTAAAATATGGTGGAGGTTCAATGATGTTTTGGGTTGTTTTGCTGCCTCTGGCACTGGGTGCCTTGACTGTGTGCAAGGCATCATGAAATCTGAGGATTACCAAAGGATTTTGGGTCGCACTGTAGGGCCCAGTTCCTTTTGCGTCCAAGATCCTGGGTCTTCCAGCAGGACAATGACCCCAAACATACGTCAAAAAGCACTCAGAAATGGATGGCAAAGAAGCGCTGGAGAGTTCTGAAGTGGCCAGCAATGAGCCCAGATCTAAATCCCATTGAACACCTGTGGAGAGATCAAAATTGCTGTTGGGAAAAGGTGTCCTTCCAATAAGAGAGACCTGGAGCTGTTTGCAAAGGAAGAGTGGTCCAAAATTCCGGGTGAGAGGTGTCAGAAGCTTATTGATGGTTAAGGAAGCGACTGATTTCAGTTATGTTTTCCAAAGGGTGTGCAACCAAATATTAAGTTAAGGGTGCCAATACTTTTGTGCCATTTTTGGGGTTTTGTGTGACATTATGTCATATTTGCTTTTCTGCCTCTGTTTTATATTTGTTCCAATACATACAAAGGGAATAAACATGTGTATAGCAAAACATGTGTTAATGCAATACCTTTTTTGTGTGAAAATATATTTTCAGGAAAAATATCAAGGGTGCCAACAATTTCGGCCATACTGTATATATATATACACACACACACATACACACACACACACATACATACACACACACACACACAGTCAGGTCCATAAATATTGGGGCATCGACACAATTCTAACATTTTTGGCTCTATACACCACCACAATAGATTTGAAATGAAACGAACAAGATGTGCTTTAACTGCAGACTGTCAGATTTAATTTGAGGGTATTTACATCCAAATCAGGTGAACGGTGTAGGAATTACAACAGTTTGCATATGTGCCTCCCACTTGTTAAGGGACCAAAAGTAATGGGACAGAATAATAATCATAAATCAAACTTTCACTTTTTAATACTTGGTTGCAAATCCTTTGCAGTCAATTACAGCCTGAAGTCTGGAAGGTATAGACATCACCAGACGCTGGGTTTCATCCCTGGTGATGCTCTGCCAGGCCTCTACTGCAACTGTCTTCAGTTCCTGCTTGTTCTTGGGGCATTTTCCCTTCAGTTTTGTCTTCAGCAAGTGAAATGCATGCTCAATCGGATTCAGGTCAGGTGATTGACTTGGCCATTGCATAACATTCCACTTCTTTCCCTTAAAAAACTCTTTGGTTGCTTTTGCAGTATGCTTTGGGTCATTGTCCATCTGCACTGTGAAGCAGCGTCCAATGAGTTCTGAAGCATTTGGCTGAATATGAGCAGATAATATTGCCCGAAACACTTCAGAATTCATCCTTCTGCTTTTGTCAGCAGTCACATCATCAATAAATACAAGAGAACCAGTTCCATCGGCAGCCATATATGCCCACGCCATGACACTACCACCACCATGCTTCACTGATGAGGTGGTATGCTTAGGATCATGAGCAGTTCCTTTCCTTCTCCATACTCTTCTCTTCCCATCACTCTGGTACAAGTTGATCTTGGTCTCATCTGTCCATAGGATGTTGCTCCAGAACTGTGAAGGCTTTTTTAGATGTCGTTTGGCAAACTCTAATCTGGCCTTCCTGTTTTTGAGGCTCACCAATGGTTTCCATCTTGTGGTGAACCCTCTGTATTCACTCTGGTGAAGTCTTCTCTTGATAGTTGACTTTGACACACATACACCTACTCCTGGAGAGTGTTCTTGATCTGGCCAGCTGTTGTGAAGGGTGTTTTCTTCACCAGGGAAAGAATTCTTCAGTCATCCACCACAGTTGTTTTTCGTGGTCTTCCGGGTCTTTTGGTGTTGCTGAGCTCACCGGTGCGTTCCTTCTTTTTAATAATGTTCCAAACAGTTGTTCTGGCCACGCCTAATGTTTTTGCTATCTCTCTGATGGGTTTGTTTGTTTTGTTTTTTCAGCCTAATGATGGCTTGCTTCACTGATAGTGACAGCTCTTTGGATCTCATCTTGAGAGTTGACAGCAACAGATTCCAAATGCAAATAGCACACTTGAAATTAACTCTGGACCTTTTATCTGCTCATTGTAATTGGGATATCGAGGGAATAACACACACCTGGCCATGGAACAGCTGAGAAGCCAATTGTCCCATTACTTTTGGTCCCTTAACAAGTGGGAGGCACATATGCAAACTGTTGTAATTCCTACACCGTTCACCTGATTTGGATGTAAATACCCTCAAATTAAATCTGACAGTCTGCAGTTAAAGCACATCTTGTTCGTTTCATTTCAAGTCCATTGTGGTGGTATATAGAGCCAAAAATGTTAGAATTGTGTCGATGTCCCAAGATTTATGGACCGGACTATATATATATATATATATATATATATATATATATATATATATACACATATACACACACATATATACATATATATATACACACACACATATACATACATTTACACATAACCCCTCCTCCAACCTGCTAAACGGACAATACCAACACACAATCTAAATCTAGTAAAATCCCCACCTGAACATATTTTCCTATGACTTTTATAATTTCAAGGTTGAACTGCTTCACTGGAGCAGTGGAGAGGTCAATATGACTGAGGAGGCTGTAGATAATCTGCAGTAATGACTGCTGCATGCTGGACAGGCCCTTCTCCAGGAGCTGCAAGACAAAGACAAGAAACACAAAAACTTATTACATGTGGAATAAAAAAGGGAAAGTCACTGACAACAAAAGGAATGCTGCTCGCCCCTCCAGCCCAGACTTTCCTTATAATGAATACAACAGGTATAAGCCTGGTTATTCAGATAGAGATTTCTCCACTAGAGGGAAGAAACCTACTTTCCAAGAGGTAACACGACTCTACTGCAGCTACCCAAAAAGCTGAATGATCTGTTATGGGTGGACTGAACCTGAAATTTAGTTTGCAATGCAGTGGCAGCCAGAGAAAACAAGATTTTTGGAATGGATCTCCAAATGCTTATCAATAGGATCCTTAAAAACAGAAGCAACCTCTACAGAGATTGTTAGCTCTGGGTAGTCTTAAGATGGCCATACACTATGTGAATTGGGACTGGATCCTCATGAAGAATCCAAAATTAAACCAGTGCATGGCTCTGTTAGCCACCTTCTACCCAACATCCCTTAAATGAACAATTGAAGGAGCCAGGCAGAAAATTGTGCAAAACGTTGGCTGCATGCAATCAGATGCAAGCACTGCTCGGGTATTTTGATATTTGGCAGGACCAGCTGTGAAAATACAACAGGAGCAGTGAGAGATTCATTCATCGAAGCCTGTATAAGAATCGGCTGGATCTATCAGTATATGGTCAGCTTTAGGGCATCAAAGTGATCCTAAGCTGAAAGCTGTTCTTCCAATTTCAAGGTGGTGTTCACAGTATCGGTAAGAGCTGAAACAGTATCTCTAAGCTTTGAATGATGAATAGCTGCTGCATGAGACTCCCCAGAAACCATACATTATTAACCATTAAGGATTTTTAAGACTACTTATGAGATGGTGTCTCTGTGGCAGAAGGCTCAGAGGCTGCAGGCAGATCAGACAGAGATTCTGTAGGGTTAGGAGTAGAAGTAACATGTTTGGTCTCTGCAATAATAGTCAGTGATCAGGTATGTCATTTATCCCATGAAATTCCCTTAGGAGAGAACCAAGGAGGGAGCCATTTTTGATGGAGTTCAGAAAGATTCAGAGGTGTGTAGGGACAACTGTTCCGGCTGTAGGTATCAGGCACCTGGGAAACTGCATTGAAAGCAATATCAAATTGGTTAGTGGACTGGGAGCTGGAAGGACCTGTTATAACAACGGGACTGTTCCCTGTGTGTCTGGGATCTGACAAGGCAGGTACAAAGCAGATCAGGGTATAAGGCTAAGATCCTTGGGAACTAATGAACCCTTTCCACGTAAAACAATGGAAAAGAGGATAAATAAAAGTGCCCAAAGACCCCAATATTTAGCCAACTCTCGGTGCTCTGCCCACATGGCCTTTTCACAAAGTGAGCTAACACAGGTCACGTAGGTACTAACACATTCCAGGCTGGTCCTGCAATCAACCAAGTGCAAGGTCCAGGCACAACCTACAAAGCTACTGCTGAGCAGATCCAGATCCAGATCCAGTTGTGCTCAAAAGTTTGCATACCCTGGCAGAAATTGTGAAATGTTGGCATTGATATTGCAAATATGACTGATCATGCCAAAAAAATGCTCTGTTATTGAAGGATGATGATCATATGAAGCCATTTATTATGAAATAGTTGTTTGGCTCCTTTTTAAATCATAATGATAACAGAAATCACCCAAATGGCCCTGATCAAAAGTTCACATACCCTGGAATGTTTGGCCTTGGTACAGACACACAAGGTGACACACATGGGTTAAAATGCCATTAGAGGTTAATGTCCCACATCTGTGGCTTTTTAAATTGCAATTAGTGTCAGTGTATAAATAGTCAATGAGTTTGTTAGCTCTTACGTGGAAGCACTGACTAGTCTAGATACTGAGCCATGGGGATCAGAAAAGAACTGTCAAAAGTTCTGCGTAACAAGGTAATGAAACTTTATAAAGATGGAAAAGGACATAAAAAGATTTCCAAAGCCTTGAATATGCCAATCAGTGCTGTTAAATCACCTATTAAGTGGAAAGTTCGGGGATCTCTTGATACTAAGCCAAGATCAGGTAGACCAAGAAAGATTGCAGCCATAACTGACAGCAGAATTGTCTGGGATTCAAAGAAAAACCCACAGGCAACCTCAAAAAGAAAAACAGGCTGCTCTGGAAAAAGATGGTGTGGTTGTTTTTAAGGAGTATAATACGGTGATACTTGAACAAAAATGAGCTGTTTGGTCGAGGTGCCAGAAAGAAGCCTTTACTGTACCAATGCCACAAAAAAGCCCAGTTACAATATGCCTGACAACACCTTGACATGCCTAACCAGGCCTTTTTGTGTCATTGATGCAGTAAAGGCTTCTTTCTGGCACCTCGACCATGCAGCTCATTTTTGTTCAGTGTCATCATATTGTGCTCCTTCAAAACAACCACACTGTCTTTTTCCAGAGCAGCCTGTATTTTTCTTGTGGTTACCTATGGGTTTCCCTTTGTATCCTGAACAATTCTTCTGCCAGTTGTGGCTGCAATCTTTCTTGGTCTACCTGACCTTGGCTTGGTATCAAGAGATCCCTGAACTTTCCACTTCTTAATAGGTGATTTAACAGTACTGATTGGCATAGTAAAGGCTTTGGACATCTTTATATGTCCTTTTCCATCATATAAAGTTCCATTACCTTGTTACGCAGTTCTTTTCTGATCCCCATGGCTCAGTATCTAGCCTAGTCAGTGCTTCCACATAAGAGCTAACAAACTCATTGACTATTTATACACTAACACTAATTGCAATTTAAAAAGCCACAGGTGTGGGACATAAATCTCTAATTGGCATTTTAACCCGTGTGTGTCACCTTGTGTGTCTGTACCAAGGCCAAACATTCCAGGGTATGTAAACTTTTGATCAGGGCCATTTGGGTGATTTCTGTTATCATTATGATTTAAAAAGGAGCCAAACAACTATTTGATAATAAATGGCTTCATATGACCATCATCCTTCAATAAAAGAGCATTTTTTGGCATGATCAGTCATATTCGCAATATCAATGCCAAAATTTCACAATTTACGCCAGGGTATGTAAACTTTTGAGCACAACTGCAGTTGCATACAGAAAATCAGCTCAAGCAGAAAATAGATGTCTATTGCTGAAAAAAATGTTTTCTTGAAGAAAACAGGAAAAAGAAAAAGCTAGCGAAAAAGAGCTAAACTTTTCTCAGTAGAGAAGAGACATCCATCCTTCTAGCAGAGACATGTTAGGAATGGGAGTGGTAATAACAGCAGGTCACTGTTGGTAAGTGTCCAAATCCTCGTCATCAACAATATAACCTGTCTGAAATCTGCAGCCCTCAAGGAATAAGGAAGAAATATCTATATATTTATTGAATATTTGAAATAGAAACAATTCAGTGGTTAGATAGGTTGCCACCTAAAATGTAAAAATGAAAACATTATATTTTGGCAACTCCACTCTCTAAGCTAAAAAAAGCTATGTGAGATAGGATGATTAGAACAACAGCAGTCTGGTTTCTGGAAGCACACTATCACCCCTAAATAGTGTAGAGACAGCTACTTTCGGACCAAAAAAAAGTCATGAGTCATAACACAGGCAATCATTTCACCGAAGCAATCATTGGGCTATGCAGCTGATGGCTATTCCTTAATTGAGTACTACTTCACAGTTTGCCTCAAGTATGTTTGAAAAGGAAGTGACATTTATCACATTTCCAGTGGTACTTAAACCGAAAACATCTGTCTGTAAGATCGCTCTTTTCAGTGAAAATAGATTTAAATATGGCATGGGGATGAATCATAAGTCTGTCATGATCACAGTCATTACAACATCACATTTCCATTCTTACCTCTGCAAGATAAGTGACCAGACTGAATGTTATATCCGAAAAGGAATCGTGGATATATCGACATACAACGTTGATCCAATTGGCACAGTCTCTGGAGTAACTGTGCGTGCTATAAAGGCTCATCATATGGGCCAAATTCGTTAAGGTGGCACTCTTCTCCTCCGCACAAACCTATTACATAAAACACAAATGGTGAAGATGGACAACCCAATACTCAGCTACAACCCCAAACAAGGGAGTTGGAAAATGTTCAAAATGAAATTTACATCAGTCAGCTACATAGCTTTACATTTCACAAAAACATAATATAAATAATACCAAATATTAATTTCAGGTGTAGGTGTAAAGTACAAGTCCACAGTTTATTTTATATTGGATTGCGCAGGAAAGGGTTATGACTCCTGCATGGCTGTGTCACTGATAAGGAGATATACTCCAAAATAGATTAACCAGTTACTGTCTGCCCATAGTACGCCCATGGATCACAGCGCTCGGTACCTGTCCACTATGAATGGTCGGGGTATTGTGATTGCTATGGCCAATCATTCTGGCCTCCATTCATGATATTACTGTTGTGGTGCTGCGATTGGCCTGCAGCTATGGTACCTGCCACCCTGTACCGTGTGATTATCTGTAGCCAATCACAGCATCATAATAGTAACCAAGCTGTTATGAATGAAAACCATTCATGGCTGTTAAAACTATTGATCATCACTGTTATAAGCAATAATATTGCAAAAAAAAAAAATCACTGCTTTAAAAAAAACGAATAAAAAAAAATTAAGTTTTTTGTTTTTAGTATCCCTCATTACCGCCAGTCAACAGACAATGCTGTACTGCACTGGCGAAAGTATGTAAAAGGGAAAAAAAAAAAAAAAAAGAAAAATCACATTTTATTAAATTTCTTCATTTCACAAAAAATTGTGACAAAGAATTACAACTTCAAAAAGTTTGCCATGCCTCTAACCTTGGATTGTCAACTTTACAAAAAGGAGTTATCTGGGAGGGGGGTATTTGCACTGTTCAGACATTTAAGGGCCTCAAGAAATGAGACAGGTTAACAGTACTGATCAATTTTCTATTTATAAAGAAAGATTATTTGTAACATTTTATAACAGAAATGAAAAATGTGTTTTTTTGTCATAATTGTTTTCATTATTTTCAGGGTTTTTTTTATATAGCAAAAAAAAAAAAGTTGTGATTAAATACTACCAAAAGAAAGCTCTATTTGTGTGGAAAAAATTATATAAAATTTTATTTGGGTACAATGGTGCACGATTGAGCAATTGCCAGATTAAGTGGTTGTAACGGCTTAAGGCTTTTTTTTTTTTTTTTACATTCAAGCACCCCCCAGCCCCTCCTAATAATTACCTGGGCCCCATCATAATCCAGTGCTGTGCACGAGAGCCTCAGCTCTCCAGGGACTCTCCCTCCTCATTGGCTGAGACAGCAGTGGGAGCCATTGACCCCCCCCCCCCCCCCCCCCTGCTGTCAATCAAAGTCAGGGAGCCAATGAGTAGAGAGAAGGGGTGGGGCCGAGCCAAGGCTCTGTGTGTGAATAGACAAGTAAAGCAGCTCGGGAGCGAGTCTGCTAGGGTGCCCTTATAGAAAGCTGCTTGCTCTGGGGGCACTAGACAGAAGGGAGGGGCTAGGAGTGCTGGCAAGGGACCTAAGAAGAGAAGGATCGGCTCTGCTCTGTGCATAGCCACTGCACTGAGCAGGTAAATATGAAATGTATGTTGTTATTATTACCATATTATTATTATTTTTTAATTGCCTTTAATATCACTTTAAAGTAGTGCAGTGCTGAATAGCAAAATAAATGCCCTGGTCATGAGGTGGTAAAACTTTCCAGAGGTAAAATGGTTAAAACGTCACACAGTGTATGTTAACACTTTCCCATTCTATCAAATGATTTTTGGCTGGAGTTAGGCTTTGAGAGGGAATCTTGCATTACATATTGCAATTTATAGATCACAGGATAGATAGAGAGAACACAAAATTGAATTCAGTTTTACAGGCACAGGGGCATGGCTGCAAAATCTCATTATTTGACTAAGCACAACTATGCTCATTCGTCATCTAATATTTAACCAAGAAGCAGGGACTTTTTTAAACGCAAAATGGAGATGCTGCAGAAAAGCATGTAGTATGTTTTTTATGCATTTTGCGCTTTTTAATCTGCCCAACAACAGATTGGCCAATAAAAAAGCATAAAGAAAAACGCTAAATGCATTTAAAAAAAAAGAAAAATGCGTCAAAAATGTGTAAAAAATATGTGCACAAAAACACAAAACACATTGCAAAAAGCACTGCAGAAACAGACCAAAAACAAAGTGCATAGGTGTGAACCAAGCCTAATACAGGCTAATTGCACTGAAAGCACACTGCATTTGCCCATCAACACAAACCATTAGAGCTCTTTCATGTCAATAAGCTGCGCTGATTGTACAGCTACTGGTGTGCTCTGGGAATAAACCATGTCAATTCACTGATACTGGCTAAACTTCGGGTTTTTTTTTTGTTAGAACTTTACAGACAGCAGTGGTACAATGCAGTAGTTCGCATTTTCTTTATGGAGTTTGTCCCTCCCTATGTTCTAGTGAAGTCCAATGCGCTACTTCTTTGTGAGAGTTTCCTGCGGGATATTATTTATTTCTTTATCTCTTTTGTATTTATATTTATTTTTGGTCCAACATGGGTTGTGAATAGGAATGATAAGGTTCCTTCTTATATGGAGATTGTGCGCACTGCTTTTTTTTTTTTTTTTACCATAGACACATGTGGATGTTTCTCCACCATCATTGTGAAGGTGAATTATCTATTAAAAAAAACAAACCTCCTTTTTAGTAAGTCTAATGAGTGTTTATCTTTGTGTGTTTTTTATTAAATTAGTACTGCAGTTACTATGGTGTGAAAACATTCTCTGAAAACCCTAAAGTTTGTTTTGTGTTAAAATCCCAGCATATCAGCAGTTTTTGAAATACTCAGACCAGTCCATCTGGCACCAACAACCATGCCATGTTCAAAGTTACTTAAATCCCCTTTCTTCCCCATTCTGATGCTTGGTTTGAACTTCAGCAAGTTGTCTTTACCACATCTAGATGCCTAAATGCATTGAGTTGCTGCCATGTGATTGGCTGGTTAGCAATTTGTGTTACCAAGCAATTGAACGGGTGTACCTAATAAAGTGGCCGATGAGTGTGTGTATGTATATATATATATATATATATATATATATATATATATATATATATTTTGTTCCGATCATATTTTGATATAGTGATGTTTTATCTCCATTGTAGGGGACCTGACTACTATAGCTTCAGTAAACCAGTGTCAGAGGTCCTGAGGAAATGGTGGTAACTGTGAAACACATTATTACATGTTCTGGACGCTTGTTATGTACCACATTGTTTTTATTATGGCATCTAAGCATGCCTTTAAAGGTTTTGTATACTAAAAGGAATTGTGGTTTTAATTTTCTTTGGCTGATTATGTATGGTTCTCCAGTAGCATACAGTTAAAAAAAAAAAAAAATCCCTTTCAAATTCTTTAGTTTGCATAGCAACCCAGTGCACTGTAAAAAGCACGGCACAAAGAACTTCTTTTCAGTGTACACCTCAGCGACGCAGTGGTGTGAACCGCCCTCATAGGGAACAGGGCCTTTTGCCTTGGCTTGCACAGTGACTGTGAACAAACCCTAATAGGTCCTGTTCACCTTATGTGCAGTTACCTGCATTTTTTTGCATGGCAGTGCGATTGTATTCATCATGTTTGCATAATATCTCACTGCACAGAAATGCATTAAAATGCACCATAGGCACACCCCTCACCCACAATAGGCCAGATGAAACTTACCTTTAAAAAAAAAAAAATCTATGCATAAAAATGCACAAAAACACACATGGAAAGGCAAGGAAAAGCACCAAAATGCAATGCACTGCAGGCACATTAAAGTGTGAAAGGGCCCTAAATGTTATTAGAATGTAACTAAAGGCAAACTATTAAATACAGTATAGGAGGGTCATAATCCCTGTCAGGTTTTTTTTTCCCCATCTGTGTCCCGGGGGGAGATTTCCCTTCACTTCTTGTCTCATAGCCAAATAGGAAGTGAGAGGAAATCCCTCCAAAGTGAGGAAATCATGGCGTGTGATCAGAACTAGTATCCCCATTGGAAGATTTCCCCCCATGTTCCAATGTCAACCCAAATTTGGGGATTTTCTTTTACTTTACCATAAACAGGACAAACAGAGAGGGTACAAGACAAATAGCAGTAAAAACTGACAGATGTTCTAATCTCTCTCCACTCTATCCAAAACTAAAAACATAAGTTTGCCTTTAGTTACACGAAGTTAAAAACATAAATGTCAGAATATGCAATGTTGCATATTACCACAGTGACTGCCATGGGCTTTACATACGAAGAGCAATGGTGTCTAGAAATCTACAACCAAAATGTGGACGACTTAAAGGGAATCAGTCATGGGGGAACAATTGAGACTGCTTTCACTGACCTTCTTGTGACAGTGCTAGTTCCCCTACTGTCATTCTGAATCTGAACAAGTACAGAGATAAGGAACTGTAACACTCATTTACAGTATGCTTGTTCTGGGCCTCCGATTCAAAACTAAGGACATCAGACATATCAAACAACTTGCAATTTCAGTAGGCAGAAGCCCTCATATTTCTCTCATTGACAGAGTCACTTAAATACTTGCAGCATGAAACAGGCAATAAATCTTTTATAACAGGCAAGACCTAAGGCAGCAACCAACAGCAATTCATCAGAATCCATTTATTGCTTCTCTGTCTTCCATATATTGAAACTACATAATATGGAATATAGAATTTTCACATCCACTGCTTAAAAGCTTCTCGGAGAATTAGAATGTTTCAGATACCAAGTATGACGTCTCTAAAACCTGCGCAACCTAATAACCCTATACTCTGAATAATAAGTATGATTGTTAGAAATACTTGGGATAAACAAAGATCAAGCAAAAAGGTTCAAACAAAATAAGTCCTCATGTACACAGAGCGTTTCCGGTATTTTCATGTGGATGGAAGGCATAGGTCCCGCTTCCGGCAGACTGCAAAACTCTATGGGAGGCTGACAGCTGCTGCAGCTGGACAGTACACTAAGTGGTACTACATTTAGGGAAGTATGTGACCAGAGTTGAATATTCAGTGCAAGCAATCTTCTTCCCTGAGTGCATTCCCCCATAGAGATTTACAGGCTGCTGGCAGCTGCTGAGCTGGATGGTGTGGTAGACGAGGCCTAAAACAAATATGCAAATTTAAAAGTTGGCCTTTTTCTGCCACCATTCTTTTATATTTCCATATGAATGTGTATATGTTTACTCACCTTTGCTATCCTTTCGGCTGTTTCTTTACAGAATGGTGTTGGGTTCTCAAAATGCTGAATCAGATGTGGCAATAGGCACAAAATATTAAGAGGAAACCCTGCGAAAAAAAAGATATTGTCAGTCATGCTGGAAGATAACCACATCACTATATACAAAGTAATACTATCATTTATTAATTTATCTAGAAAGGATATACAAAAGTCTGCAGACTGAGTGAGATAACTCTATACCACTATGGCAAACCCTACAGGGTACCAAAGCTGGCCACACAAGGGTGTCCCTAAAGTCTGGACACATAGGAAATATGTGTATTATATATATATATATATATATATATATATATATATATATATATATATATACTATATATATATCACTATATAGGCTTACCAGACCTTGACTTATTTTTTTGGGGTATGCTAAAGGAGAAACTGTACTCAATGAATATCAGAGATATGAATCACCTGAAGAAACGCATCATGAATGAATGTGGAAATGGTGGAAATTACATTGAAGATGTTATTGAATAATATTCCAATGAAATAAAATGTTGTTGAAAAATGTATTGATATTTATTGAAAATATGTATTTTGCCTATGTGTCCAGACTTTAGGGACACCCTGTACAATACCCTCATATCTAGCTGAACTTGCACATTTTTTTTTTTTAAAAACTGGGCTGTGGGCCAGGTCATTCACACTTCACCTCTTTGTTTTGGCAAGATGTGGGATGGGAATGACCCAGACCGCAGCTCATTGGAGTACAAAAAAGTGCTCGTTTAGAGTTTGGGTAAAGATGAGCTCGAAGAATATCAAGTTCACCTCTACCCATGAATTGTTATTACATACAAACCTTATTTTAAATATTTTTACTAAATATAAAAAAAAAGAAAAACTTAAGAACCTGTGCTGATTTAAAAGTATGTTTTCGTGAACTGATAAATAAATAATATACTGAATAAATAATAATGAACTGATAGATAATTAAAATAAAACTGTACATAAGTGACATGCACTACAAAAAAAATCTTTATTTTTTCATCTATTTTTTAAATAAACAAATGCCTCAATATGTTTTAGGATAATGCAAAAGTGTAGTTAGGGTGTGATGTATGCCCAAGCATCTTAAGCCTCCGGTCACATTGACTGCGATTTGCATGCAAGGTGACTTGCAAATCGTATGCTAAATCACACCCTATTGTCCACAATTACAGCGGTCAAATCAGTGTGGTTCCAACTTGATCGGAGCAGCACCGATTTCTAAAGTAGTACATGTTTGCTGGCGGTATTTTAGAAATGTTCAAAATAACAATTAGAGCAGTGGTTCTCAACCTGTGGGTCGCGACCCCTTTGGGGGTCGAACGACCCTTTCACAGGGGTCCCCTAAGACCATCAAAAAACACATATTTCCGATGTGTAAAGAGCAGCTACTGTGTAGAATGCAGCTGCTGTGTTGAAAGCAGCTACTGTGTTGAAAGCAGCAGTATTGGAGGTAAAACGACGCTTCATAAATTATAATTACTGGGTAAATAATTTTATAGTTGGGGGTCACCACAACATGAGGAACTGTATTAAAGGTCACGGCATTATGAAGGTTGAGAACCACTGAATTAGAGGAACTCTGCACTGGTCAGAAAGTGAAAACTATACAATGTATCAGTGTAAAAATGTTCTCCTTTGAGCTCAGGAATGAGAATAAATTGTAACATTTCATCAGAGGGAGACCACTTTGTGAATGAAAGCACACTGCAATGTTTTCATACTTTCACATTACTGCTGTGTGCCTTCTGATGCAGTGTTAGCCTGCAAAAAAAACAAACTGTGAAAAAACAACACCAAAAATAACGCAAAATGTAAGTGCTAAATATCGCAAAACATAAATATTTAATGCATTCGGTAAATAACGAATATTTTTTAGTGAAATAGAAATTTAAATAAATACTGCATGAGTAATTTTAACTCAAAAATTCATGTGGTATTTATCTCTTAGTGCAGTGGTCTCCAAACTGCAGTCCGGGGGCCGGATGTGGCCTTTTGCTTGCCTTGATCTGGCCCTTGGGGCACTATTCCACCAACTGTAACCAGTGATGGAGCACCATTCCCTTTACTGACACCATCAATTCCTCCTAAAAAAAACGATGATGGGGCACCGATGCCGGGGCATTTCTACTCCCACCGGCTACAGTCCAGCCCCCTAAAGTCTGAAGGACAGTAAACTGGTTATTTGCTTAGAAAGTTTGGAGACCCCTGTCTTAGTGAATTGATCCCATAGTGCCCAGTCACTTTCCTCCAACAGCTAGTGCTACACTTTGTGTAAATAAGGGAAATGCTCGGCCCTGAGAACGCTAGATTCACTCACTGCTAAGAGAAGATTGCTAAGACTGATAAAACCCATGTCGTCTTTATTATACCTACACAAATCGCACTACAAGTACTACACAAATTGCTACATTTTACTTTTTTATGGCATTTCATATACAGCGGGTAAAATATAGAGTATTGAACACGTCACCATTTGGTTTCTTTGTATGTATGGATTGCATGGTTTGTTACCAAAATGTGGTGAAAATTTCATGTCAGTAGCACCTTTAGAACAAAGGTGACGTGTTCAATACTTATTTTATCCACTGTATAAGGCTGATGCTGTATGTCAAAAGCTGCAACCAGACACTTGGCTGAAAAGCTGCAGAGAAAAGAGTATAGGATGAAGCACCTACAGACTGTATTGTATTAAATTCCCATTTGTAAAGCTGGCCATAGATGATTTGTTTTATTATTTTTAGCCAGCTGGCTGATTTAAAAAAAAAAAAAAAGGAATGGATTACCTCATTCACACATTCGAGGTAGATGGAGGAATCCTCCATGCTGTTCTATTGTATTCTGACAGCAGGACTCCTCCACTGCCAAAATACACTAATCAGCGCTGCAGCTGATTGGCTGTGTGCACTGATCAAACACAAATTTTCCAACATTCCTGTTTGAGAAGTTTTAAACACTAGGTTGACTCATCTTGAACGAGAGTGGCTTTAGATTGATTAAAATTCGGTTGGTCCCTGCTGAACTGGATGAATTTTGACCCATCTATGGTCAGCTTAAAGGCTAAGTTCACCCTTTGTAGGTAAACAAATGTGCATTTATTTATTTATTATCCTGCAGACTCTCAGGATGGCTGTCTGTTCATACCTTCCGTTTGGGTAGGCGGTTATATGACAGCAGGAAGGTCAATGAACTAGGAGAGAGCTCACCAAAGCCCTCGCAGATCATTGAGAACTACAAACTGTCAGCCACAATGGCTGACAGTACTTGGAATCTATCCATTCACAGGAAATTGTGAAAAAAATGCGTCCATGTGAACACAGCCCTGCACGTCCAAGCCATTTTCAAATTGGGGTGGGGTGATCGGAGAGTGGGTGCTTGCTGAACATGGTACACTCTAAAGCCTTTAACACAGACCTAATGGAGTAAAACAGCAAAGCACAATCATGAAGAACTAATGAGCTGGAAGCATAGTACAGATATTTAATAAGCAAAATGTGGCTGTCTCATGGACACAATTATGAGCAATGTATATCCCAGAATTGATGTCCCCACTCACCACTCAGCAGGGGCGGATCCACTATGGTGTGCTTGGAAACGGTTATATAAGCTTGCTGAGCAGATGTACTGTCATTTCTTGTGTGGAAATGGAGGTAAAACCCTTCAAGAAAAGCTGCTGCAGACCAGGAAAGTTATTCCATTTCAGTTTGCTCTGCACCTTCTCGATCTTTTCCCGGCTTTCAGACTTATCCAGTGGCAGGTGAGTGAATAGCTTGTTGAGTAGCTTAAGAGCAAGCAAATACTCATACTCATAGTCTGATTCCAGCAAGGAAGCTGCTATCCAGAAAATAGTAGCCATGAGATTGGTGGGATCAGTAGCAGGCTGTAGATCATGAATCCCTCCCTCTCGCAGGGAGGAGAGGCTTCTAGTCCTTGCTAAACTTCCCCCATGGTTTATCCTGCCATCCATTATATCCAGTGTGTTACTTCGCGTCGGTCCAGTCTGCGGTCAACCATTAAACTTAGCCTCAAAGAGTTGCTTCTAGCATTGTTACAGTATGTCATGAAGTTGCCGCTACTAAGAGGACTTGTGCTTAGATTCAGCTGCCCGGTGCTCTTCCTGTTTGCAGCATTCTTATTGCCCATCATTGGCTCTTGGTATGAGGTGCTACAGCACAAAGAGTGAAAACAATTTCTTAGGACCTGTCACATACATCATCTTAAGTAAAAACAGTTCAATTAAAAAAAAAAAAAAAAAAAGACTACGTTTAAATAACATAGCATAAAGTTAATTACATTTCAACTTGCCCTGTATTTTTTGTATAATGTGATTTTATTATGGATTTTCCAAATGTAACATGTTGGAATTTAACAGTAAACATGTTCTGTAAAGAATATTGTGTCAATAGCTTTGTAGCACAATGATATTGAACAGCAAGTGCACATTTAGAAATTGGTTAAAGACCTGGTAGTTAGTCACAACTGTGAATTTCCAATACAACGTCTAGGATGACTTTTTGCTATAAAGTACATGTTGTCTGGGTAAAATTCTGATTTTTCTTGTTACATAGTCAGATGAGGATAAATCTTGTGTTGGGTGGGAGGGATGGGGTGGTAGCAATGGGTTGAGAGAAACTGGCCCTATAAATGAAATACTAGAAAAAACAAAAGTGTGAAAAAAGCACAAAACATACCACAAGAGGCATATGTGAAATATTGAAAGCTTTACATTGTTTAGGCACATTGCCCCAGAACTCTGTAGAACATGTGTTTTGATGAAAGATGTAGGTAGCAAGACTGCTAGATGGTAACAAAGAACACTCATCTGTTAAAGGTTTATACTGCCAATATGAGTGCAGATTTTCTTTAGCGGTGCCTGCATTCAGTGATTTTAACAGTTCATTTTACAATTTAAATCCCCCCTCACCCCCCCCACTTCAAAAAACAAAGGGTTTTTGGGTATTGCCATGTTTTACAAGGCATGTCTGTTATTTGTAGAATGCCCCTACCCACTAGAACCACTTTAGGATTTTTAGTGTAGAAAAAAAAATTCAAAACAATTTCTAGGATGTGCCTCCAACGCTCAGCTCCTCCATCCCTTCAGCTGAAAGTACCAGCTGTCAAAATGACAATTTTTAAAGTCTATTTTCTATTTGTCTATACATTACATAAAAAACAAAATTCGACAAGTCAATATTGCCAAATGAAGGCCCAGGGGCACTATTTACAAAGTAGTGAATCTGACATTCACCAAATATTTACTGCAGGTAAATCTTCCAGCCTCTGTGCCACATACTAGAAGCAACAATTATCCCACTGCTATGCTGTCTGTAATCTGCCGGAATTTACTGTGGAGAGGCCCATTCACCTTATTGGCCATTTTGCTTCCCTCCTGCAAGGACAAAAAATTCTATCTAAAGGATCCTGGTTGGTAAGGGATTGAGGGGAAATGACTAACAGCACCCAATCTAGGAAGTCTAAACAGGAGGCACTGATGGAAAAGGGGGAGGATGGGTTTTCATTAATTAAATCTAATTTTCTTTCTTTGTTCTGGACAGAGTGAGGATGGATAAGAACCTCTGTTAGATTTTAATGTTGTCTGTTTCCCTGCTGGGGAGATTCAACCTTTGTACTGATGATTAGGGTCATTGAGACAAAGAGTGAAGGAAAATCTAAAATTTAGATTTTTCCACAAGAAAAAGAAAAGAAGGGAACTCTTCTAATAAAGACAGGAATAAAAGGTAAAAGAAACTCACAAAACAAGGCTGGACCCTTAAGAGCGGGAATAAAAAAACTTACTGAGCAAGTGCAGACAGGAGGTCGTAATGCTTCATGGTTTCTGACAGTGTGTCAATAGCTGACTCTAGTGTTAGAAGAAGCTCAATGACAAAACCCTAAAAAGATGAAAAAAAAGGTCAATATTTCACTTATGCAACTCATTCTCACAATCACTGCTAAACAAAATTGAGATTTAAAATTGCAAACAGCTTGTATGTGTACATTGAATAATAAAGAGTTACAAAAAAGGAAGAAGAAAGTGAACAGTACCATCGATTGGCAAATAACTCATCATGCACAATTAGGTGTGAAGAAAAGGATCTGAAGTTCTGCCATGTGTAACACAAAGGAGGAAAGAGCAATAACCAAGATATGTACTATTCCGTGTCATACTATCAAACTGATCAGAACATGTACTATTGCGAGGTCATAGAATCATTTTCAATAACATTCCGGTAGTGTATCATACAAAAAATATCCATCATAAATGGTCAATTTACCTGTGCTTCTTCCCCAGCATCTCCCACTGTCTCTACCAGCCTGGAAAGAACATCTGATAGCGTCTGTGCAGAGAGAGGCTGCTTGAGGGCCCGGAAGATCTGGAACGATCTTCCCGCATAATGGCGAGATGAGCAGGACAGAGCCGTCTGCAGTGCAACCTCGCTGAGATGGTGCTCAAGCTGGAACCCTATAAAACAGGATGAAATAATTTCCAGGGTATTGAACAGAGACCTATGCGTCTGTGACATTTAGCTGTATAAGAACTCAGATGCACATAAAGAAAGTAATTTATGACGGTTCTGCAGAGGTGTCATATCTGCCTAATGTAGACTATCACTGGTGCGTAGCCTGTGCTCTTTGACCAGTTTGGTTCCCCTAATTTTCAATTCATTCCACAACAAACTGCATGAGTCCCAGAACAAGGCTAGATAAGCATTGGAGAATTCATATGGATTTCCTTAACTGGAGACTGTAGCAGATAATAACTAGCAGCCCAGCAATACTCCTATGATAGAATCACCTCTTTTACACAGAAGTGTTACTTGTTTTTTTTCCCTAATCTTGCTAAGGATATTGTGACAATGGCAATATAAGTTTATTTGCCTATATTTTCACTGACAATTGTAAAGAAAATCTGGCTGGTAAAGAGAAGCAAAAGTCACATTTGCCTCTGCTTCTCATAAATCTAGCCCTACTGTCAATAAAGCCAAATCCTGCTTCAGGAGTAAAAAGTGCTGATTCACTGAATAGCAAAAGGCTGAGGTCTACTGGAAAGGATAATAAAAGCACATTTGTTTTTCTTACTATAACCAGCCTTTTCCACAAAAATACAAACGTTAAATATGTTCAAAATCAACTGAAATGTTTATTTAACTCAGTGTATAGACCTATACAAGGTTGATAATGTGTGATCACAATACAAAAACAATAGTCAACTGCTGCTTGTGTCAATGCTAAAGATCAATTGTAAATCAGAACTTGATGTAAGTACATCTAATCCAACCCTAATAATGAACCTAGGATAAAAATAAGCACATGGATATAACCAGTGCAAAATCAAAATATCTGGAACAGTTTACAGAGCACCATCTATAGTATTTATAAGCAGAGTTTACTGTTTATTATTTATATACAAAGAAAATGTCAAAGGGACAGTGAACAATTATTCTGAATTACTGAGTACTTTACAAAAGTTAATTTGTTTACATCTATTGCGGTGGGGGTAGAGAAACACTATACACTGATCCTCCCAGTGAATGGTTGGGGGGGGGGGGGGCTGTCAACACACAAGTCTGATCATTGGAGGAAAGGTAGCCTGTGTTCCCAACACAGCCAGAAAAGAAAACTGACCATGCTGGGATGGATGCGCTTCTATGCCTAGAGTGGTCAGTTTGAAATAGGAAAGTAGGGGGACTGGCAGGATCAGCAGGTATTTCACACAAAAGAAGCAATGCAAAGAGAACAGGATGTTATTTAACACAAGTACATGGTACAACAGGTACATATCAGGAACATGAAGTGTTGGGGTAATATTCTTTAACATGATAACCAAGAAAAATCAATTTTGGCAAACGTGTGAAAGAAAAAAAGAACTCAATTTGCACTTCTCATTTTCTTTTTCTCAAGATACAGACATGGCTATGTAAATTCTATTGTTATTATATATATATATATATATATATATATATCTACAGGAGCATATTTATAAGCAGTTAAAAATAACTTTTGACAAACATTCACTGTTAGTGAATCAATCGCTGTCATTTAAAAACACATGCATATGGAAATTCCAGTGAATGTCTGTTGAGTGTCAGATTCACTGCCTAATAAATATGCCCCTAAATGTTGGATCGAACTGACAGCTAGCTGTTGAGAAAATAAATGCAGCCAGCCTGCACATTTAGAAGTCATCCAGAGAGTTTCAGGAGCCCAAAACCTCAGGCACTTTTCAAAAACCTAACCACATATAAGATCAGAATTTAAGCTCTACTTTAGACTTACCTGATCTACAGTGCTTGAAAACAGAGACCACATGTTTTAAAAATGCAGTAAGTTGCTCAGCACTTTTAATGCTGGGATTTTTTGCAGAAACATCTTCATGATTCCACAACGGTCCTCTTTTCCTAGAAGACAATCCACAAATGAAGTCACAAGGAAAGTATAACATTTAGAGAGCATACTGTCAAGCACAGGAAAAGCAAAAGATGTACCTTGATGTAATGAACTCTATGAGGGTTTTCACCTTCTCATCTTGCTCTACAGAGAGATCCACCTCATTGAGGATAGTGGTCTGGAGGTGTGGAACCGCAGTGCTTGTATTCCCTAAGCTTATGCTTGAAGAGGTAGAACTTGAGCTGAGCCCTGAGTCCGTCATTGGGGAAGGCTGGTATTCTGGTATAAAATCATTAATACCTGCATATAGGAAGCACATATTGCAGCATAAAGCAGCTTTGCTTGTTAACATTTAAAACGTTCATGCTTCAGGATTTTTTCCCCTTCACAGTGTTTTTAACCCCTTGGTACACAGAAATAATTGAAAGCCTAGATGCCCAGGCCAAATATAGCTACGTCAGTATATCCTGGTTAACTGGACTATACCTCTATGACTATTTCACATTTCTAAATATGCGATCGCGGGTGCAATACAGGGCTCCTGTTGACTGTCAGTGTAAGATGTCTGCTTGTACGGGCAGGCAGTTACACAATGTCAAGAACCATCAACGAACTACCTAGTGCACTCACCAGCACCTTGGTGGTTCATTGAAAACTATAAGCCATCAGCTGCAAAGGCTGTAAGTAGTTGTATTTAATTCATTCACAGAACAAATATTCGCAGAGCCCTGCACCATCGCACTCTTTTCAAATAGTGACAGCGGGTGCAAAGAGAAGATCCCAGGCCCGCTATTCCAGGGAGGGGTGTGTGTGTGTGTGTGTGTGTGAATGGCTGCAGGAGCGGGAACATGTTCGTACTCCACCTTAAAAATGGGTGGAACATGTAACATGTTTCCAGAGGTGAACTAATACACGTCTATAAAAAATACAATTTGCATACAACCTTTGCTGCCTTACCTCTGCATCTACAGATTATTTGGCCAAGCAGTTTTAACAAAAGGTAAGCTCCACCTAGGCATATTCTTACTATATACTCAGTATGAATTTTTTCACTTTACAGCAAAACATTAAATAACATTTTCAGCTAATTTAATTGAATTGAAAAAGATTGTAGAGGACAAGGAAAAATGCAAGCATCCCTCTCCAGCGATCCCTATTTATGAAGAACACCACTAATTAGACAAGCTGCTTCTAGTTCTAGCCTCTTTGATCAGTTTTTTCCTCAATAATCACTTGGTGAAGATTTCAGCTGCTGTCTCTAGACAAATCAAGGCTGGATCGTATCATGTACTTGGCTAGCTCTCTTTGCCTTAGATTTACTCTTGCTTTTTGTCCCAGGGACAGCTGCTAAAGAGCAGCACACTGTTCAGTGGTAGAATCACACTATTTAAGCAGTGACCACTTACAGAGGGAAAATTTCCCAATATGGACATCTGCGCATTGATGACTGTTGTGATTTCCCCTCACTTTTTAGCCTGCCATGTCACTAGGGAGGAAGAGAAGGGAAATCTCCCCAGCAGGGACATAAACAGCAGTAAAACACCTAAAAGTAATTTTAGGCCCCTTTTACATGATGGGTCCAAGCAGGTCTTCCTGTCAGTGTTTCACATGGACATGATTGGACCATTCACTCACTCCTATGGACCGGAGAGAGTAAGTAGACTTTTTTCCATTTACACCCGCCTACCTTCAATCTGGTCTGCTAAAAAAAATTGAAGGTAATCTGTCCCTTTGTGTCTAGGTGGATTGAATCGGAGTGTAGGTGACTGTAAACAGACAGGGAAGTTGATTTACATCTGGCCTCCCATAGAGCAGAGAGGGCTTGGTCCATGTCTACTCAGCAGAAGCTGAGCAGACACTGACCTGTCATCTGCCCACTCTGCTCAGATCAGCAGGTGATCAGAAGCCAGGTCCCCTGCTGATCTAAATGGAGTCCGCCCCGTATGAAAGGGACCTTACACTTCCCCAATCGAACAATGTGGAATAATGTTCTAGCTAGAGCTCTAATGAAATAGAAGCACACGGTGGGACATTTATCAATTCTGTCACACAGCAAGGCAAAGCTAAACAGGAGCAATGAGATAAATTATGCAACAAATTTACTACAAAGTTACAGCATGAGTCATAATTTCCTTCATCAGCTGCTTTGAAGTAGCACTGCAACAGAACAGAACCAGATCCTAACCACCTCTTAGTTACTGTATGTATCTGCCTACAGTGTAAATGTGTCCCATCTTGGTGCTAAATTTGTCAAAGACTTTTGCAAACTGTTGCATTTGGCAGTTTACAGTATAAGTGCAAGGGTTGCAATTAGACTGCAAAACTGTTGCAAAGATTTTGCTGAACAAAATACAGCCTGATTGGCAAATTACTGTGTTGCTAATTTGCCTGATAACTACCAGTGACCCCAGATGTATCTTACCTGTGAAGGAGTACTCCAGGTGTGCATTGCTTTTGACAGTCAGCACTCGTGGCTCATTACATTCCCTGTTCCTGAGAAGGATAGATGCCACACTCTGCACACTGCTGTTGGGTCCAAGAACGATTAATAAATGTAGCAGGAGGCGCTTACAATGCTCATATACCTCAGGATGGTAATGATCAAACCCTATAAACATTAAAGCATACATTAAACATTTTTCGTGGTATTTTGTCAGTAGGTCTGCTAATTGTTCTTGAAAGCACAAATGTAACATGAGTAGAAGAGACCAGCATTACCAATGAAGATGGCGTGCAGCAAGAGATGAAGGTATCCCCCCCACTCCACTTTTACACTATGATCAATGATGAGGTCTGTCAACAGGATCACTGCAATGTTGCACCTAGATAGAAATTGTAAGTCAATTATATGTTACAAACAGAATTTGGATTTAACATGTAATAAGAGTTCTTAGGACCAGATAATAGCACTATTATATTATATGATGGATACCTATGCAAACATGTGCCAGGAGACGTGGTTTCTGGCAGATAATCCACAAGAGGTGACCAGCAGCCTCCTGAGGGTGGAAAGGGTAGTGGTTCTCCACGGTTATATTCCATCACTTTGAGACGCCAGTTAGAGAACAAGGGCATTGCGTCGCCTGCAATACAAAAGGAATACTAATGTAACTACCTAATCTCAAGTTTTTAGCGATACGAGAATCAAAAATACACCCACTGCTTTTCTGTCTTTCTTAACAAGGTTTTTTTCTTATTGTATGCTTTTTATTCTCCCTCAGAAAGTTTATCCCACTTAAAGCATTTGCCTGAAAAAATTTATAGTGAGAATTTGGTCTCCAGTTCTGTCAATAAACACAAAACAAGTATTCAATCAAAGGGTTTTTCTTCATGGTCTGTAGACTCATGATCACACCTCCCTGTCCTCTCTTTCCCTTCTGTATTATAGATGGTTTGTCCGTTAGCGGTCATTGAGTTTCTACACAATCAATAATGACTAAAGCAATGCTTTTTCTTAATTTGATATCAGAGTTGAACACTTCTGTACGTCATAAAATAAGAACATACGTAGAAGAAACATTTCTAAGTCTAACTACAACTAGACTAGGCAGCACTGCACAGTTAAATGTCTACAAGACAGTAATGAGATTACTTTTCTCTTCCTCGTAGGATCCTCCAGAGCTACTGCTGTACCGAGATTCCAGCCTGTGGTGCTGGCGATTCAGGTTGCTATTCAAACCGCTGTAGATATCAAGATGGGGATAACTGTTGAAATCAAACAAATCAGACATTAACAATTCAATGCAGTTAGGAGTTTTGCTTTATTTTGTCCTATCTGCTGTTGTTCATATAGTCTAAGTAGACTCTTTGCAAGAATGTAGCTGCAATGTCAGTACACTGTATTCTAGATGGTAAAAAAAAAAAAAGGTTCTGCGGTATGATATATAGGTGGGAGAAGGAACACAGCACAAATAATGGCAGTATATAAAATCTGTTAACTTACATAACAGTACACACTTAAAGTAAACCTTTCACAAGAAAAATCCAGGGCCACCATTGTTGACTTTCTTCTGAAAATGCCAGCTGACTGGCAGTTAAAATGATCCACTATATTGATCACACAGACAGACTTTGTCTGGAGCTGTTGGCTTACAGTCCATACCAAAATCCAGGGGATGAGGTGGCTCTTCCTTTTAATCTATATATTAGCCAATTATTAATTGTGCAGCAGAACATTCTGTTAATAAGTAGTTATCAGTTTTTGTACACTAGCAGAGTAACAAGTCAAGGCTTGGTTTCCAACTCAATGTGAGTCAGATCTGAATAAAGCGATATGCACAAGAGCAGAGGCTCTCTCCCTCCTCATCGGCTCAGACACAGCAGCGGGAGCAGAGAAGTATAACACATTTGTTAGTTTAAAAACAAAAAAATAAAAAAACAAAACAAAATCAAACCTTCACAACCACTTTTATACTGGTGTATAATGACAGGAAATTACATTTACTATCAAAATCAATAATTTTCAGAAAAAAAAAAAGTGCATTTATTTGGGGTTTTTTTTTGTTTTTTTTTACACAGGAGTCTGCTGTGGTAAACATTTTCTCCAACTCTGTGTCTCTGTACGGGCTTTTAGTTGGAGAGCTGGAGGGAATGTCCAAGGACAACGACGAGTGGGCCGATTACCACACTCATAGTTCATTGACTAGACTACTAATCTTTCTGGCACAATGGCAGACAGAGCTTGTAGTTCACTCATTCACAGAACCCTAAAACTGACAGCGGGTGTAGGGGTGAACTGGCACATGTTGTCAAAAGGGAGGGCGGTATAAGTGTGTGTGTGTGGGGGAAAAGGTTGGCATTTGTACCATGTTATACATTACACCCTAAATATGGGTGTAACATAACATGGTGCTAAAGGTGAACATAGGCTTTAGGCCAAAGCATATGCACTGGTTAGATCTTGTTGCGCTTTGGCATCCTTTGCAAAAATATACCTTTGCAAGAGCCATAGAGCAACATGGCATCGCTGTCAAAATGTAATTCAGAAATCTAATAACCCTTTCTGTGAAAAAAACAGTTGCTCTTAGTGAATCCCCCATGCCTAACAGGCATGTATGAAGGAACTCAGAAAATACCTGTTTGTGCATCTATTCCTACTCAGCATGTCAGAGCCAAGCAGGTTTGAGTCAGGCAGGACCTTTCTCCCATGGTCCAAAAGAATCTTGCCATATCCTCAGTCTCCCCTATGTGGGCTGGGCTGTAATATCAACATGTGAGCAGAGAAATAGGTCAGATCCTAGAGATCTAGACCACTCTCGCCCGTTGCAAGAAATACAAATATTCTATTTCATAATTTAAGGACTGCAAATTTAAAAACCTGTGCTTTCCATTAAAATGAAAGGCTTCTTAAAATTAAGCTATATATAAATAGCAAAACAAGGTATATGGATTGAGAAAAAAATGTCGTCACATCCTACCGTTAAGCAGATATGTTAGAATAATGCTGTCCATTTACGGTTTTTCTAAAAGGCTTATGGCATTTGCTATACTATTCCTGATCTTCTTTTCCATTGAATATACATTTATACCAATCCCAGGAATTGTTTAAGACTCACACTACAGCATTTGCCATCTGTTAAAGGATTTATTATGTGGCATTTCATCCCCTGATCCAATTCCTACTTCATATTGGCTTCTGTATTATAACTGCTCTAAATTCTGTACACATTTTGTAGATTAATATTTTAATTTTAGAAACAAAATACCAAAGAGCAAATCCATGGGTATTAATATTTTTTTTTCTTTTCTAAGTATGAACGAGACACAAAAGGAAAATTATGACTGGATACCCCTTGCCAAGAAACTAAAATTTTTTCCAATGACTGGTAAGGTTTTGGGAGTTTTATTTGGTGCGCCACTATTCTACTTTAAGTGTAACAAGAAAAAAAAATAATATTCATAAAAACATCACTTACTTATCATCAGCACCATCTCTTGTATGTTTGTTGTCCAGATTGCTATCAGTTTGAGCTACCATTGTATTGCTGCTGGATGTGGTTCCTGGCAAATGGTAAAACTCAGTTAGCAACAGCACTGAGCAATTATTATGTTACTACAATCATACACATTGTGAGCTCATCAATGTATACTACAGAAATTATGTCACAAGGAAGTGCAAAGTGCTATGTAAAACATTTGATTGAAAAACTAAAAAGTCAATTAATTAAAACCAATACAGATCATAGTAAATAAATTACTAATAAAAACATTATCAAGCAATACTATGAAGGTCTTCATTCAGATCATTGGGGGACATTGAGCCTAATTTGAATATCCAAAATGTCTCTCTTTTGCAAAGGAGTATTGGTTTTAATTAATCGACTTTTTAGTGTTTCAATCAAATTTTTTATATTTTTATTCATAGGCGTATGTATCTAGTGGAGGTTCGATTAACCCCACAGTCCTATGTTGATGAACACCAGTAGTAAGTGCCCTTGTTTTATTGTAATTTATATTAGAACTTTCTAATTCAATTTACAGTTCATTGTAAAATAGAATGTAATTCATTTCAATGGTATAAAAATGTATTTGTAAATGTCGCTGTATACTATGTTATATGCAAAAAGGGGATTGTGACAAGTATTGAAGTGCTGTGTAGGAGGAATGTCCGCTCTAGCTCCTTTTCTCTCCCCCCCCTTCGCTGCCGGGTGCTGACCTTTTTGTTCACATATTTCATATAAATACAGCTGGAAACCACATATTTGCTAGGCTTGATAAAGCGGATGCACACGAAATGCGTTGTCATGGTTACCAGACAAGCTTGCGCCTCAATCCCAGGGCTCTACTACCACCTCCGTCTCAGTTGCAGTGATTTCACTTCTGGAGTGACGCAATCCCCGGCCGGTCCAGGAACACTCAGAGGACTAGCGTCTCTTCCCGGTACGGGGACACAGGTGAGCGGACACTCCATCTCACAAAGTCCTGGGTCATCATTGTACTGCAAGTTTGAGGCACTGATTCTTCTACAACTCTTATACTTTTAATCATTTGACCAATAAAGATATACTTCTAGGTGAGGTGAATTTTGACTCCCTAGCGCTGTTCTTTTGGGCTTACATTCTACACTTCTACTAGTGATATTCAGCAGCAGTGGACAAGTGGTCCCCAAGCCCTTTGACCCATTGTTCCAGTAATGCACTCTGTGAGAAGCTCACAGTATGCAGTGAAATCAGAGGAAGCAATTTCAGTACGAGAGGGTCCTGTACAACTGTGCAGGGCTGATGGAAAAGCTTGAGTTCATCTTTAAGGATACCACCATAACAGAACATGAACAATGGAGGCCCAAATTATGCCTATTTTGTATACTTAGTAGTATAAACACCATTTGTCTAGTAGACGTATTAGCCTGTTAATGAACACATGCTGGATGAAGACCAGGCACATGATGGTTTCTTGTGTTTATAAAGGGAAGCTAATGGAATATCAATTGACTAATTTTCTCTTACCTGAGGTGACAGAGGGTATTTTATAGCTTGAAGTGATGCGGTAATATGGTGGATTGTCCATATGAGTTACTCCAGAGCTCACTGGATCTGTGAGTTGTAGCTCACTAACCAGTTCCTCCAGAAGCTGCATCGTCTTATCTCTACCCAGATACACAATCACCTTCTTTACCTAGGAAAAAAAAAAAAGTACCATAAGCTTTGTTCTACACAGAGGAATACAGTACATATCTCATGTTTTTTAAATGTACTCATCGGTGTGCATTTTTGGAGTGTATTGAGAGCTCCCTACCAGTCGAAGACATCTCTTATTCAGTCAGATGGCCCAGTACATACAGGTGATCAGCCAAATATTTGTTGCTCATGAACAACTGCAGAGCCTTTGAGCACATACCCTGTAGTCAGTGCCACCTTGTTTTGTGGACCAAAGTGGTCACTGGATGATTTTAAAGGTCTCCAATACAGTTTTCATTTATTTTAATCTAGTAATAAAAGTTAAGCTTTACTTGATTGAGCTGAGAGATACCGACAATGTATCCAGGTGGTGATATTTAAAGTATTTATTTATTTTTTTAAAGTGGTATTGATCTGCTTGAGTTCATACTACACAGGTGTATCTTTCTTATGCTGGATTTAGGAATATCAAAGATTACAGCATGATCCAAATGCAGATCACATACAGCCAATGACATCTAAGTAATACTACTTCATGATTATTAGCCAGAACTTAAATGGATAACACAATGACCGAGATATTAGGCACACAAAGTAAGCAATCTAATAAAAAAAAAAAAATATTTTTTTTCCTAAACTGCTCTACCAGTCCTTACATATGTACTAAAGAAAGGCAAGTCTGGGCTTATACAATGAGCAAAGCACAGGACAGTTACTTTTAGCAACCAGATTTTCACCTTTTTACTGATCTAACAGTAAACTTAACTATGACTACCTATCACAAGTTGCAAAGGCTTATTAAATTAGTCCAACTCTGTATATAAACAAATTAACCACTGGTAAGACTACGTAAATAGCTAAAAACCTTTTAATTATATACTTACATAAGGCAACAAGCTCGGTTCACTGTTTACACCACAAATGCTTATAAGAAAGTGCAAAATAATTTTCAGATTTTTTGGCCAGCCATCTGCAAGGGTGGTCCACACATTTTCAATTTCAGACCAGGCCACTTCATCACCATACTACAAAAAAAGAAAGAAAGAAAAAAAAAAAAATCAGATTTTACAAATTTGATGGTACAAATACAAGTTTTCAAAAAGTGTAATCTATTTTAGACCTTTTTCACATGGGGTGTATGAATCCATGCCCCATGTGATGGCAATGTTTACCTGCACAGGGATGTACAGGTGACATGTTCCGTGCATCCCCATGTAGGCAGTCCCAGAGCTGTCAATTGGACACAATAGCTGCATGGACACTTCCGCTGCTCCCAATCTGACATCCATATGGTACGTTTGGGGATATGCACCTGCATTGTTGTCACACTGGGAGCAGCTGCTGTGTCAGTGTAGTCACTGCATCCCAACTCATTGGAATCCCTGCTTTGCCTTTGAATGAAAATCAGTAGGTTGGGGATAAGGGGAGGTAAGAGACTGTTCTGTGCATTGTTTCTCTTATTACAAGACAGGAACCATTTCAATCATTATAGTAGACAGACCCCCTCCCAGTGTCTCAGTACCCCAAAAAAAAAAAAAAAAAACCCAAGTGAGAAGCTTTAATTGATGTTGCTAAAAATCCATGCAATGTATATAACTTGCCTGGAAAGGAATCTGTTTCCCTCAACAAAAGAGAAGTTTCACTTGTACAAAATGTAAAATGTTTGCAGAAAGAACATTTCCTGAAAAAAGACATTTTGACTGTAAATGAAAAAAAAAAAAATAATATATACAGTCATGGCCGAAATTGTTGGCACCCTTGATATTTTTCCTGAAAATCAAGTATTTCACACAAAAAAGGTATTGCATTAACACATGTTTTGCTATACACATGTTTATTCCCTTTGTATGTATTGGAACAAATATAAAACAGAGGCAGAAAAGCAAATATGACATAATGTCACACAAAACCCCAAAAATGGGCTGGACAAAAGTATTGGCACCCTTAACTTAATATTTGGTTGCACACCCTTTGGAAAACATAACTGAAATCAGTCGCTTCCTATAACCATCAATAAGCTTCTGACACCTCTCACCCGGAATTTTGGACCACTCTTCCTTTGCAAACAGCTCCAGGTCTCTCTTATTGGAAGGACACCTTTTCCCAACAGCAATTTTAAGATCTCTCCACAGGTGTTCAATGGGATTTAGATCTGGGCTCATTGCTGGCCACTTCAGAACTCTCCAGCGCTTCTTTGCCATCCATTTCTGAGTGCTTTTTGACGTATGTTTGGGGTCATTGTCCTGCTGGAAGACCCAGGATCTTGGACGCAAACCCAGCTTTCTGACACTGGGCCCTACAGTGCGACCCAAAATCCTTTGGTAATCCTCAGATTTCATGATGCCTTGCACACAGTCAAGGCACCCAGTGCCAGAGGCAGCAAAACAACCCCAAAACATCATTGAACCTCCACCATATTTTACCGTAGGTACTGTGTTTTGTTCTTTGTAGGCCTCATTCCGTTTTCGGTAAACAGTAGAATGATGTGCTTTACCGAAAAGCTCTATCTTGGTCTCATCTGTCCACAAGACGTTTTCCCAGAAGGCTTTTGGCTTACTCAAGTACATTTTGGCAAACTGTAGTCTTGCTTTTTTATGTCTCTGTGTCAGCAGTGGGGTCCTCCTGGGTCTCCTGCCATAGCGTTTCATTTCATTTAAATGTCGACGGATAGTTCGCGCTGACACTGATGCTCCCTGAGCCTGCAGGACAGCTTGAATGTCTTTGGAACATGTTTGGGGCTGCTTATCCACCATCCGGACTATTCTGCGTTGCAATCTTTCATCAATTTTCCTCATCCGTCCACGACCAGGGAGATTAGCTACAGTGCCATGGGTTGCAAACTTCTTGATAATGTTGCGCACTGTGGACAAAGGCAAATCTAGTTCTCTGGAGATGGACTTGTAACCTTGAGATTGTTGATATTTTGCCACAATTTTGGTTCTCAGGTCCTCAGACAGTTCTCGTCTCCTCTTTCTGTTGTCCATGCTTAGTGTGGCACAGACAGACACACAATGCAAAGGTTAAGTGAACGTCTCTCCTTTTTATCTGCTTTCAGGTGTGATTTCTATATTGCCCACACCTGTTACTTGCCCCAGGTGAGTTTACAGGAGCATCACATGCTTGTAACATTCTTATTTATCCGCAGTTGTGAAAGGGTGCCAATACTTTTGTCCAGCCCATTTTTGGAGGTTTGTGTGACATTATGTCGAATTTGCTTTCTTTCCTCCCTTTTTTTGTTTTGTCCCAATACACACAAAGGGAATAAACATGTGTATAGCAAAACATGTGTTAATGCAATACGTTTCGTGAGAAATACATGATTTCCTGGAGAAATATCAAGGGTGCCAACAATTTCGGCCATGACTGTATATGGGTTATTTCCAAATGTAGTTTTACCTTTGCTGTCATGTACAGCAAGTTATTTAAAACCATAGCAGTGGCTTGCGGCGATCCCCATCCTTCTCCTCTGAGCCAGCGCCTGCTGTTAACCATCACATCACGGTCTTGCAGTGACTCGTCAACATCATCCTCATGTCTTCGCACAGTAGGCAAAGGCTTCAAATCTACCAGCTCAATATTATTCATCCATGGTAGCAAATAGTGCAACATCACCTGTCGACCAGCAGGGTGCGCTGTTTGTATTCTCTGGCTGATTTCTGCCAAGGAGAAATATAGTAAAATGTTAAAGGCAATAGGCACACTTTGTTAAATTGGTCATACACAATAAAATGTTGGAAGCTTTGTGTAAAGCCTTGCGTAATGTTCTGACCATGGAAAAGACCTGTAAGCTTACGTCCTGATGGTACAACACCGCAGCCAGAATTGCAGGGTGTCTCCCTACTTATTCTTCCTCCTGTTTCTGAGGCTGTTTGGAATTGGGGGATATGAAACATAATTGATCCCAAAGTTTGGACATTGTGGATACGGGTATACATCATGGTCAATACAATACTTCATATAAACCTGCAAAAGGACCCCTGGCAAGGCTATTACAACGACCAATCGCTCATGTCACCCATCAGAAACGCACAGTAATCACTTGTATTTTCATGGCGACGAACCAGACGATAGCGAGGGTGTGGAATTCGCTGACTCTCAGCTTCGATTAGGTAAAGTGCTACATTCAAGGTACAATCAGTAATAAAAAACTCATGGTAAACCTCAACAAGGGGAATTACAAATTATTACATACCTAGCATCCTTGGCTCGACCACTTTCTACCCTCACAGTTGACTCTGCACTTTCCAGAGCTTTGAATATATGCCATTCACTGTGTTATATACAGCGTAAGCCTTTGGGGTTCCCCCTATTTTACTCCCTCCCCCTTCCCCATCGTCTTTCCACTTATATCTTTAGCCTGCCTTTCGCTCTATCTTACCATTCTCCCTCTTTTTCAGTGAACCATTTTTTGGCTCCCTCCGCCGGTTGGCTGGCCTCCCTTTTTCCCCTTTTATCCGATGGTGAATGACTACCAGCTGGTAGCTACACCCTCCCCATTTTTTTCTTTTTACACATTACGGGTCAGGATTGCAACTAGCTTTGCTTTTGCTTGTTACTATACCCATGACCCTTCTTGGCTATACTATTTGGCTAAACTGCCTTTGGGTGTGTCCGCACATATTTTTGGTACCCGAGGGCTTATGTGCCTGAAGTTATCTGCCCTATATGCCTTTGACTGGCTGCGACAGCGAGCGGAGTATTCTGTGTTGCAGAATTATCTACTATGTTTCTAGTAGAACAATCATTTATTTGGGCTGTATTGCAATCATGAATGTAACTACTGTTGGTTGTCTGTATATTTTGTTTTATTCTTTTAATAAAAACTAAGTGAAAGAAAATTGGTCATACACAATGATGTTCGTGCATACAGGCGGCTGTAAACAGAGCTTGCAGAGGTCGCACTGGCAGAGTGTGTTAAATGCATCCATTGCCAAGTGCACTAAGGCCCATTGTATCTAATATGTACTAATAAGGGAACCACTTATCAGTACTCTACCTGCCGTAGATGCAAAAATCCTAATAGCCAGGTTGCCCAACTGTCTGCCTAAATTCTTGGTGGCTTTCAATCACAACAGCCTCATTTTTAGGACACTAGCAAAGCAGAGGATTCAACCCCACTATTCCGAAAGAAAAGCACACAAGTACACACTGTATATCAGCTGCTTCATTACCTGAAAAAATTGGAAGAGTAAGTTCTGGGTATGTCCGTGCTAGTTCTTCAGAAAGCTGGTAGTAGGATACTGAGTAAAGGTGTGGCAGAGGGGATGGGTGACTCAATATTCCATCCGTTCTGTGTACTTCCAATTTGTGAGCATATCGGAACATCTTGGGCTCCAAAATCTGCCATAAAAATGTAAACGACTGAACAACCAAACAATGGTACACTAGGACATAACTAGTTAAGCAGTATATTACAGCAGCTTGAGACAATCAAAAAAGCAAAAAAAAAAAAAAAAAAAAAACCCTTCTGAAAACAGACATAACCCATGGATTCAAATATCTAGACATATTGGTTTGATGTATCAATGTCTGCATTAAAGGATAAGTTCACCTTATTTTTGCAGAAAAAGAAAATGTGCAATTATTTTTTCCTGCAGGAGCCTGGAAAGCATTGCACCCATGACCAGTGGATCAGGGGTACAATGTCAGGCTTCTGCAGACAAGCCCTGCAGCTTTCTGCCCGTAGCTTCACACAGGCTGTCAGTTACAAAGCTGCAGGACTTGTGAATGAAGTACAAGGGCGCTCATCAGTTCATTCAGGAGTAAAAGCCATCAGCCGCACTGGCTGACAGTAGTTGTAGTCTATCCATTCACAGGAAACTGGGCAGAGTCCTGCACGCCACGCTGTTTTTGAATGGTGATAGCAGGTGAAGGGATTGGATGTCCCGCCTGCTATCACACTGAGGCAGGGATCAGGGGTAGATGCTGCAGGAGCTGGAACATGTTACCCTAAAATACAGGTGGAACATATAGCAGGTTCCAAAAGGTGAAGTTATCCTTTAAAATTACCTACCCACAGCCATCTGTTCTGAAAGCCAAAATGTAACTGCAAACAGCTGTGTCGGGTTGGCCTCTTTAGACTTCTGCCAGTTCATAGTATCAACACTTTCATAGTTCCTATGCAATGTGCACTAGTAAGACTTATCATTGGAGGCAGTGAAGTCTTTACCAGTTAAAGATTATTTCTCCACCTAAAAATGGGAATTAACTTTTTCTGGCATCCTCAATTCAATGACTGATACATACTCTTTGCACAAATTAGTACGTCTAATATATGGGAAATGCCATTTTAGAAGTAACAGTGTATGCAATGTACTAAATGGGTGAGTTCTGGAATAAATAAAGAATGCATATTAAAAATAAAAAATACAAAAATAAAGGAGTGAAAGTTGACCTGCCACAAGATGCATATAAAAGCTGTTTGCGAACATTACTGAAAATGATGGGGTCTGAGAAAACCCTTGCACTGGTGGGCAGACACCCAAGTGGGAGATTATGAACCTTGTTTGGTTAATGGGTTTATCAGCAATATTGATTAGATTTAACATACAATGAACACTTTACAAACCTGCAGCAATTGCATAGCAACTTCATAGATATCTCTGGCAGAATCAGCCGCCTTAAACAGTATCAGATTAAGGAGTGTAACTGTGTCACACTGGTAATCCCTGGAGAAAGATTAGAGATGAAATCATATTAAGAGGCATTTGTACCTATTTACTAAGGCAAAGAGCAATGTGCCAAGTACCCCAAAAAACTAATCAGTATTCAAATATTGGTCTGAGTGCTTTAAACTGAAATTGCATTGATCTCTATCTGTTACTACGCTTTGGATCTCCGTACTAGTTCTTGCACGATTTCACTTGCATTTAGGTTTTTCACAATGTAATAAGCCAGAGAATGTCAACTGAGAGGAATAGGCTATACCTGTTCTGGAAAACACTGGCAATGGCTTTAAAGCAGCCTGATGCCACCCTCTTGGAGCCAGTGTAGCAGCGATCCACTGCCCAGTACATGAGGTTGCTCTGGTCAGGGTTAAGCTCCAGCAAAAGCATGACGGCTTCACATCCCAGCTGATGAACCTTGTAGAGAGAATAAAAACAATGGTTTGCAATGGGTATTTTTTTTTTAACAAAGGTTTTCTATTTTTTTCTTGGATTACATATAGCTTTAAACACATGGGTTCGTCAGGTTCACCCAATTAGTATAAATTCTGACAACAGGCGTAAATTATAATTTTGTCTTTAAAAAAAAGAGTAACCCTTAATGTGCTAATGCAGGTGTCTCCAATCTTTCTAAACAAACGACCATGTTACTGGCATTCAGACTTTAGGGGGGCAGGATTGTGGCCGCTAGGAGCAGAAATTGTCCTGGTGTCAAGGGGAGTATGCAATGCATCTTCTGCATTAGGGGAAGGAATAGTGCCCCATCGTTGGTGTCAGTGGGAGGAAAAGTGCCCCATTGTTGATGCCAATGGGAGGAGTAGTACCCCATCATTGGAGTTACTGGGGAGGAATAGGGCCCCATCGTTGGTATCAGTGGGAAGAATACTGCCCCAACGTTGGTGTCAGTGGGAGGAATACTGCCCCAACGTTGGTGTCAGTGGAAGGAATAGTGCCCCAACTTTGGTGTCAGTGGCAGGAATAGTGCCCCAACCTTGGTGTCAGTGGGAGGTATAGTGCCCCAATGTTGGTGTCAGTGCGAGGCATAGTGCTCCATCGTTGATGCCAGTGGGAGAAATAGTGTCCCATCGTTGGCGTCAGTGGGAGTTATAGTGCCCCATCATTGGTGTCAATGAGAGGAATAGTGCCCGAATGTTGGTGTCAGTGGGAGGAATCGTACCCTATCGTTGCTGTCAGTTGGAAGAACAGTGCCCATCATTGGTGTTGAGGGGGGGGGGGGGGGGGGGGGGGGGGGGGGGGGGGAATAGTGTCTGTTGTTGATATCAGCAGCAGGAATTATGCCCCATTTTTGGTGTCAGTGGGAGGAGTAGTTTCTTGTATCAGTGGAAATAAAAGTGCCCCAAGGGCGGGATGAAGGGAAGTAAAGGGCCAGATAAAGGCAAGCAAAGAACCATATAGGGCCCCTGAGCCACAGTTTGGAGACCACTGCTCTAAAGCAACCAATCAGATCAAGAAATTACAGACTTTACCTGAGACTGGCTGCTATGCTGCAATCCAAACAGTTCTAGTTACAGAAAAACTTTGAAAGGAGGCACAGTGCCAACTATTCCACATGGTAAAAATGCTTTTCTGCTTGGCTTCATTTGTTTCTCTGGAATAACGCTTAGTTCATGGTGTAAAGTGTGGCACACTTGTCAATAGGTTCAGAGTCATACTTAGACATCAAGCAGCCCTAAATGTCCCTGATTGTGCACTTTTGCACCTCCTGTATCAAGTGATTATTCTAATTACAAAACTGATTTTACAGTGTAATACTGGAGGCTTAATGGGGTAATGGGGTGTACTTTATATGCAGAGCCACTTCTCAACTGTAAAAAACACCAACTATATATAAAAAATGGTTTCAGCAACGATAAAAAGCCTTCTAACCCCTCTAAACATTCCCTGTACCTCTTTCCCCTACAATTCTTTTATTGAATTCATCTACAAATTTTCAGAGAAATCATGAACACAATTTGTACATTCTGCAGTCAGTTAAGTGCTGCTCTCCCTTGTAACTCTGCTGTAATATGTACTGATCCACATGTGCCATGTGTGCACATACAGCTCTGATAAGTTCTCCAAACGTTTTTACCATTGGATCCCAAGATCTGCCTATTGGAAGCTATAGATGAGGAGTTATATGCTCCACATGTCTATAGAGCCGTACTATATACTATAGCCGTTTGTTGCTCGGAAGCTCATAGCTCAGAAATGGTTGTCTCCTACCCCTCCTTCCCATATCCAATGGATTAAAGCTGTTAATGATACCCTAATTAGAGAGAAACTAGTTTATCAACATAGAGGATGTGCCCGAACATTTATGACCATTTGAGATGCCGAGTTAGGTACACCGGGATTAGCACCAACCCAATTAGTTAAGGATATACTGTTAAGTGGCGGAGTCTCTCCAGGTCTACTTTGATATAACTAGTGTCCCATCAGCTCCTGGATAGGTATTAGGGACATATATATATGTGCTAAAAATTTGCTTCTGGCAGGGGTTGAACTTCTATCTACGGCATTACACATGGATAGGCTGAGGCAACTTGATTTTCTGCGTTTATTTCGGTGGAAGAATGGTTTGTTTAGATTATTTTAGTTTTGTATTTTGTGCTTATTCTTTTTGCCTTCTTTTTTGTTTGTTTTGAAGTTTTATAAAAAAAAAAGGGAAGAAGCATTGTATGGATAATATTGTGGTTTGGGATCTGTACTTATATTTTTTTATACATGGCTAGGTACCCCTTTTGTATTGCAACGCTGTAATACTACACCCTGTTGGAGATTGGGGTTATATAATTGTATGTGTACATGGATCCTAACTTTAATAAAAAAAAAAAGATCTGATTTAAAAAAAAAAAAGTTTTCCAGAAGTTTTTGGAATCTAGTGAAGGAAAAAGGATTTTGGCTGTTAACAGAACTGCTACTGAGTCTTTCTGCACAATATTAAATCAGGGCTAAAAAACCAAATAGCTTACAGAGCGACTGTACTAACTTGGAACTTTTTAAACTTTGAGTTATTGGGTATCAGAAGTGCATATATATTTCTAAAGAGAAAGAAAATGTATAAAACAGACAAGAAACATGAGGTGGTTTCAACAGCTTTGCTAACCCTACACTAGTGGCGAAACTACCAGGGTTGCAAAATTCATACTTGCGACCAGGCCCTGGTGTTCCACTACTGTGGGGGGCCCTAAGACAAAACGCGTGCCTGCTGCAGGACTGTAATAAAGGGCTTTGAGCCTCCACAGCAGCTGCACACAGGCAGCCGAGCACCCTACAGAGCTACAAAATCTTTTGGCAGGAGTGTTTTTACAGTTCTTACAGCTTTCACCCCACCAGGATCAGCTGCTTTACACAGGCAACCCGCATCTAAAAGAATCATTGTAATCTCAAATGTTACTTTGGATCCTCCATCAGTAATATCCCTGGTACCCTGGTGAGGTGACGACATGGAGGGTCGGTGTGGACACTAACCTGATCCACACAGGTTGGCATTTGCAGAACTCAGTCCACTATGGATTACCACACAGTTGTGTTGGCTCCCTGCCTAGCAGCACATACTGATCTACAGCGAGCTCATCCCATCCTGGATGCACACATTATGTGCAGGCTCCCAGTTTCATCAGCAGCATCAGATCTACTCCAGCTTGTATCCGGTTACAGCTCATTTCAAGGCAACAAGTCCCTGGGAGGGGTAAAGATCTGGTAAGTCCTCTCAGCATGGTTTACAAAAGGATTGCAGCTCAGCCATCCATCCAGTTCATAGCATTTCAGCTATACACCTATAGGAGGGCAGCTGAGCCATTTTCATTGCACACTGTGAGCTTACTGCTGCATTTCACTCAAAACAGTACAGCTGAGCCATCCATGTCACTATGGCCAATGTGCAATATATTCCACACTGGTGGATGGACTGCTATCCATGTCACTATGGCCAATGTGCAATAGATTGCACACTGGAGGATGGACTGTTATCCATGTCACTATGGCCAATGTGCAATATATTCCACAATGGTGGATGGACTGCTATCCACGTCACTATGGCCAATGTGCAATAGATTGCACACTGGAGGATGGACTGCTATCCATGTCACTGTGACCAATGTGCAATATTATTATTAATATACAGTATTTATATAGCGCCAAAGGGTTTGCTCAGCGCTGTATATTCCACACTGGTGGATGGACGGCTATCCATGTCACTATGGCCAATGTGCAATATATTCCACACGGGTGGATGGACTGCTATCCATGTCACTATGGCCAATGTACAATATATTCCACACTGGTGGATGGACTGCTATCCATGTCACTATGGCCAATGTGCATGGCACACTGAGGATAACTTTTTGGCATGCCATTTTTATATTCACACTGGTGGATGGACATCCATGTCTTTTAACTCTACACCACTTATGTTTTAACTGAGACTTGTAAATATCAAATATTTTAAAAAATGGTGCGCTGTCCCTTTAAATAATATATCTCCCTACAACAATTTTCAAACAAATACATTCAATTTACCAACTAGTGCATATATCTTCTAGAAACATTTCCAATATAAATGCATAGATAACACAAAATCACACATATCAGCGCACAAGTTTACGTTGCATACTTTGGGACTTATATACAAAATTGTTGCCCCATTTACTATTCTAACAGAGGTATTTGCACTTATGTATTGTTTTACTGTCTATTTTCCATGCAGATTGGTTTAGCAGGGACCATAGTAGTGGGTCACTGGGTGTCACTTGAGGTGGAGGGGGGGGGGGGGGGGTTAGGAGGGAGCTGGAAGAGTTCCTTTCGATCTGACCCAGGGTAGTTTTTCATTTATTTTCTGATTTTTCCTTGTGGTTTTGCTATTTTGATCACATCTATTATTGTTGAGTATATGCATGGTTATTTGAAAATAAACTTTTTTACATTTATAATACAGGGTAGCCTTGGTGTCTTGCTTGCCACGTTTTATGCACTTTTGTTGTTTACTGTAATAAAGGGCCCTGGGACAAATGGAGGGGGCCTCGAGACTAGGTCAAGGGGGCCCTTCATCATCGTTTCTTGCACCGGCGCCCAAAGGTTCTAGTTATGCCTCTGCCTTATACACACTTATCTGCCATTAAAATGTAAAGCTGCCTGCACTCAAAACAAACACAGCTATTACACTGAGCCGTTCTAATACAGCATTATAGCTAGATATATAGTACTGCATTAGGCTAGTAAGCTAAACCTACCCATTAATGGATGGTCTATTGTACATTGATGACATACTACATGTTGTTAAACAGTAGTACAACAAACAAATAATTTTCTGCACACAACTTTTCTTTTAGAACTCCTTTTATTGTGGTCAGTGTTCCCATTATGGTGATTCACCATCTCTTGTATGTAATGTTTACCGTTATCATTAAAAGTGAAATTAAATCCCACATTTTGGATTGATATCAGAACACTAATCTTCCAATGGGGACACTAATTCTGGTGACATACCAGGATTCTCTCATTTTGAAAGGATCCCTTCTCACTTCTGGTTTTGGCTATGAGACAGGAAGTGAAGGGAAATCTACTCAATGTGACACAGATGGCAAAAAAAGAACGACAGGGGTTATAACCCTCCCTTACTCTATCTTAAAAAAAAAGGTTTTGCCTTTAGTTACACTTTTAGTGCCCTAAGATTCTTGCACAGGGCTCAGCAAACTCTTTCTTAACTCAATGTGGCAGCACTCAAGCCTGGAAACTCTGGCAATTCAGCTAGCAAGAACTACAGGGGAGGCAAAGAGAGTGTCCAATTTTCCCCTTCTTTCAAGGGTTCTGGGTATTGATCATGGATCCAGAAGTTAGGTTCTGGTCATCTTTTGGTACTTTGCAGCAAACTGGCTTCTCTGACTGTTAACGGCAAAATCAATGTTTTCTTTAAAATATTTTCGTTTCTCTACAACCTTGGGTGCATATCTGTATAAAATGTCTGTAGATCTCTAATACATTCTGTAAGTATTACTTTGTTCTACTGGATGCCTTTCATTTCCCATGAAAAGCAAACATACCAAAGCTCTTGTACACAGCGGTTTACTCTTGCTGCACTGCTAGTGCTCCCATATTCAAAAGGGGTTCAGGAAGTCACAGACATCAAATTTTAATGAATTAGGATTGCATTAAAAGCTTCTAAATGATTAGGCTCTTAACCCAACCATATTACTCTATCCTACCTTCTTGTCTTGGGAGTCCAAAATGTTATCCAGCCATTTGTATAAATATCCATCAGGTGACAGACCCACGTTGTCAGCTACAGGACCACAACATAACACAGCAGACATCGCCTGCAGGAAAAACAGAACTGTGTTTAGGAGTTCACACATTATAGCAAATACTGCCTGCACACTATAGCATTACTACTGGTCTAAGATGGCATTTTGGACAACATCTTGTGGTACACTTAAACAGTAACATGGTGGTGTAGGTCAGATACAAAAATTAATGCAGTGATGTTTGCATTTTTAATGGCAATTAGTATATTTGAATTCTGTAATCTCTCGCAGAAAGGATTTAGAGTAGAAGGAGAGTCAGCACTAGAAGCCATTAGAGATGTGCTAACATCCAGTGTCGCACCACTTCGAAAAGCAAATAGGCCTACTGGTTCAGGGTCATCCCAGATACTTGGTGGTGGAAGGTCAAGTCTTAAAACATTCTGATGCCATGTGGTCACTCATACCCTCCTGATGGCCCCCCTTGTCTTTTAGTCTATCTATAATTTAGCCCAGACATTATATCCCAGAATATGGATTATTTTAAAGACTTCGATCTCCTGCTATTATTTGCATTAAAAAAATACATAAAAATGAGTTCTTAAAGTTCAAATTGAGCAGCAAATATGTCTTGAATAAACAATACTGTATAGGGCTGGTTGTATCCAAGCCTCTATTACGGCTATTATCATCAGTGACCTAGAAACAGATGTGCTCTCACAATCTGTCTCTGTAATCCTCTCACTGCTGGAAAAGCATTCTGTACTACCCAAACTACAGCCCTAGGAATGAAAGCCACAAACCAGCACTGAATAAGAACAGGCCTAAGATTAAACATTTTGCTTTTATTAGTTAAACCCTGGAATTATGAAAGTCTCCAAGTTTAGAGCGGATACAATCTGGACGTTCATCACAAAGGGTTATAAGAATGACATGCATTCATGTTATGCATGTTCAGATATCACTACAACAGTATACCTTTAATGCACAGTACTGATGTCTATTGATCTGCATGTTCCGATCACTGTATCTGTCCAAAGGTGTGAACATTATGCTGAATGGTCCGGCCCAGTGGCTGAATAACATGAAAAGACTGTGACGTAGACTCTGCTGAGGAAATATACTTCTTCTCTGGTGCACTGCAAATAAACATTCATTACATGAATTAATTATCACAACAAAAAGTAACAGCACACATTTAAACTGGCCATGCATGGATCAAAACTTGGCCACTTCAGCAAGGACTGGCCAAATTTCAATCCATGTAGGGCCAAGTTTGTTGTATTGATGTCAATCTACTGATCAACTTCTGTACAACCACCCTGTCGGGGTTTTCCTGATCAATCACTGCAGCCAGCTATAGCCGCCCCTCTGATCAGTGTATTCTGACAGCAGAGAAGTCTCCCCACTGTCAGAATCCACTATCTCAGCGGGAGTGATTATTACCATCCACATCAAGTATGTGGATGGGGGAATCAGGTAACTTTTTTTTTTTTATGTTCAACCTGCTAATTAATTGAAAAACATGACCAATGTCTGGGCTGTCTTATTGAGTGCACCAAATAATATATATATATATATATATATATATATATATAAATAAGAGAGGTATTATCTAGCTATAATAAGCATAATAAAACCAAATGCATTCAAACAATAAACTTTACGTTTATTTAATTGGTCAAAAATAAAGAGCAAGCAAATACATGCAGGCCACCCAACCAAAAAACTGCTAAAAACCAGGTCCTGAGATTGGTAAGTCTTTGTGTAGCTACAATGTCAATCTACCTGCATTTGCCCCATAAAAACTAAGTATACAGCCTATAGCTTCCATTTCTGTAAAATGTACAGAGTCGTATGTTTCCCTTATTAACGTTTGTGGATTCCTACAGACTTACACATATTTTCAACAGACCCTGTACACTCCTTACACACCTGCCTCAGTTGAAGAGCTAGGCGAGACTATGCAAACAAATGCTGACCCAAGAGTATCACTAGGCACTCAATTCAGTCTATTATGGTGGAAAACACAACATATCAAGTCAGATAAATCTGAAATAATACCTGGAACATTTTGAATGATATTCGCCACTAAGGCACTAAAATGGCACCGGATATCTTTCAGGGTATCAGAGTCCTTCTCATTCTCTGCTTCAAGTAACTGTCTGGTTAAATCTACATACTCAAGCAGAGTATTGTTCAGGGAATGTGTTTCATTATCCAGGCCTCCACTTGCACTTGAAAATACGAGAAAACATTTCAAGATTGTAAAAAAAACACCTTGTGCACACTGGCATATATAATCATCAATACAGGTTGTACTTTGCATGTTAGATCTGGGCTGCATTCTTTTTTAAATAATAAGGCTTATTCAGTGTAGCTGAGAGTGCAGTAATGAATACACCTGAATGTTCCCACATTTAAACAGCACATTAACATACACAAACAACTGCAATTCTATTTCAAGTATATTCAACAAGAAAAGAAAGCAGAACACTGTCAAGATACCAGTGCTTTGTTCAATGGACTGCATTGCGTTCTGTTTTGTCTAATGGTTAATTTATGTCTATTTATTTTTTTACCTTCTTCCATCACCTTTAAAAGAATGTGTTGTCAAAACTGTTCATTCTAATAGTGATTCCAATAGACAAACTTTTGTTTATTGATAACTTAAAAAAAGAAAAAAAAAAGGACTGTCTGTGTTGCTCCACAGAAACCCATCAGAATCTGCATTGGCATGTGAAAGCTGGAGATTTAAGGTTTGGTTCTATCTTTTTAATTAGGAAAGATGCAATGCACAGGTTTACAGAAACAATCTTTTCATTAGCATATATGCTCAGGCATCCTATTGGGGGGGGTGAATGAGACAGTGTGCACACATACCGACATTAGCCTAATTTCAGAGAGAATATGAACAGTGGCTCAACCACCAGTGTTGCCAATAACCAATGGACAGATGCCTGCTGATATCAACAGATAGGTTGTCTAGATTGGGCAATAATCTGCTCTGCTTTTATGAGTATCATGAGCATTTGACCATTTGACCATTTAAAAGTATTAAAGGAATTATACTGGGAACAAAGACATTAAGTACACCTACAAACAAGGCTGAAACCCAAACTTTCTAAACAAAAGGCCAGTTTACAGCCCTTCAGACTCTGGCCAATAGGAGAAGAAAATGCTTTGGTATCAGTGGGAGTGATCAGTTTCTCAGACTTGGTAGTCAGTGGGATTACAAATACATTAAATAGCATCTGTGGTCAGTAAGAGAAGGAGTAGCACCCCACCATTGGTATTATTGGCAGGAATAGGGCCCCATTGTTAGTGTCAGTGAAAAGAATAGTGCCTCATCAATGGTGACAGTGGAAGGAATGGTGCCCCATCATTGGTATCAGTGGAAGGAATGGTGCCCCATCATTGGTATCAGTGGAAGGAATGGTGCCCCATCATTGGTATCAGTGGAAGGAATGGTGCCCCATCGTTGGTATCAGTGGGAGGAATAGTGCCCATCGTTGGTATCAGTGGGAGGAATAGTGCCCATCGTTGGTATCAGTGTAAGGAATGGTGCCCCATCGTTGGTATCAGTGGGAGGAATAGTGGCCATCGTTGCTATCAGTGGAAGGAATGGTGCCCCATCGTTGGTATCAGTGGGAGGAATAGTGCCTTATCTAAGCGGGAGGAATAGTGTCCCAAGAGATGGCTAAAGGCAAAGACTCATGGGCCATAGTTTGGAGACCCCTGATCTACATAATAGCAATACTGCTGATACAGAAAATTCGCTTCAGGAAGACCTACCTGTGACTGATGACACCAGCATCTGCCAGCAGTTCAAATATACGGACCAGTTGTACTCGTAAAATATCTCGACGCCGGCGCCGCTTCATGTTCTGAAGGTAAGAGAAGAAATTTAAGTTCCAATTTTTTTTTTTTATAAATCAAAAAAAAACATTATATACATCCATCTGCAATTATAAATGAGCATTAGCAAACTTCAATACACTGATAATTGTACTGAAAGCTATCCATTAAAGTTCAAAAACATTTTTGGACAGAGTGGGATAGGGACAGAACCCCTGGTCAGGTTTTTACAGAGATCTGTAACCCCACTAGAGAGACTTCTCCTCTATCCCGTCAGACAGGAAACAATGGGCAATCCATCCAGTGGGTACAATGACTGAAACAAAACACATTATTTCAGGAAACAAGGGAAGAGTGAAAACCTCTTTCAGAATATTTGTGTCTTCCTGTCCTGGACAACTGCTCCAGTAAATTCAGACCTTTTTGTCAAACTGACATCAAACCGAACATGAAAATCCAGAATGAGGACAGCATAGTGTAGAATTTGGAGGGGGTGGTGGTGGAGGTCATAACCGCACTAGTAGTGTACTTAAAATACCTCTGTGCCTATGCACTAATGAGCTGTATAGAATATTGGTCCCTTTGTAAGACAAAGCTGTATGTGCCCACGTACAATAAATTTAGCGTAAAATAACTTTTCTCTTAATGTCTCAATTTCATACACTATTCTAGAGGATTTTTTTGTTTTTTATTCTGTTATGTAAATTTGTAAAAGTGAAGCAGAAGTTATACAGGATTTGTATAACAGCAACAGTTTGCATATACCTCTGTGCCTATGCACTAATGAGCTGTATAGAATATTGGTCCCTTTGTAAGATAAAGCTCTATGTGCCCATGTACAATAAATTCAGCGTAAAATAACTTTTTTCTCAAGGTCTTAATTTCATACACTATTCTAGAGTTTTTTTTATTTTTTATTCTGTTATGTAAATTTGTAAAAGTGAAGCAGACGTTATACAGGATTTTTATAACAGCAACAGTTTGCATAATGCTTTACAATATGAAATTGACTCCAGTTTAAGGGAGGCCTGAAAAACAAATACCAGGGTACCAATATTGGGGATGCTAATATGACCCCAAATGTACAGCAACACATATAATCTAGGTGATCCCTCTAACTAATGGATGTGGCCACCTGCAATGCTCCTATTTAGCTGCATGTTAACCTTTGCTTTCTGCACACAGAGGAAAACAACGGATTTACTCAATTGTATCCCTACCCTGTGGTACAGATTTGCCTTTATTTTGTAAAGAACAGTCCTGTGTTTGCTACTAGTTTCCAGAGTTGTAAATTAAACATGGATACTGACTTCCTGTGTGACAGCATAGATTGGGCCAGCACAGTCACATGGTGTAGGTCACATGCTCCTCCTCCCTACTGGGTATTTCCCTTGGCTCCCAGGACTAAACAAAGGAAAGGTCAGTTTATGCAGGAGAGGGGTGGAGTACAGTCAAAGCTTAGGCCATTTATATGCCTTTAGGCCTAATAAAGTGGTGAACCTACCTCAAATTCCTTTTTTGTAGATTGTGTATATTGCAGTGCCTAAGTGCCAAACTAAACAATTTATTCAATTTGAATTCCATCAAGTAGGCCGTTAAACTAAAATCTGTCAGTAGATCTAAAGGAGTTTGTACATTCACATTATAATTTGCATGGTAAGCCTAAAATACATTCAATCAATTCTATGGAACAAGCGACTCCAATGCTATAAACATTGCATACAGCACATGTAATTGTAATACAACTTTACTGCTTTTTTTATATGAGAAATAACAAATGATCTGGTCAGTTATTTTTGTTAGTGAACCCTCACCATGAAGGCAGTCTATCTACTAACTTGCAGGACAAACAAGCAGCAGAACAGAACAAACACTGAAGTAAATGAAAAGCATAAAGAGCCACGTTTTTTTCACCATACAGGACTTTTATCTTTTCATTATCAAGAGGTTCAAGAGACGTCAGGATACATCAACGGATAGAGCCAAAAAGATCTTGAATTTTCTGTGTTACAATTTGCAGCAAGAGCTGGAAGCAAGGCATGTAATATAAACAATGCAGTGTTGACATGTAATATAATTACCTCTGGTCTTCTATCAAGTGCTTCTTTAATTATGGGGTGCAACTCTTCTATTAATTCCCTGGATACAAATAACAGATAGCAGTGTAAGACACCTGTAGTTTAAACAGCTGTTCAGGCAGCAAACATTATGGTGTTTACAAAATATTTACAGGCGCGGGTTGTAATTATACCAACGTGACAGAACGCACCAGTGCTTTTTGGCAATCTGCATCTCGGTCATTAATGAGCTACATGGGATGTTCACTTCACGGGATGGAAGAAGGAAAAATGATGATACTATTCAAGTCAGCAACAAACCCAGTGTGATACTCTATTTAACATTGTACAGTAACAGTAGGTAAATCATTGCAACAGATACAAAAGGGAGTTCAGTAAAATAATTTAATTTAAAAGGAACCAAGGCAATGAGGGAAACATATGAACATACTGTATCTAGCAAAGCTGGCCCACACACAGGCAGATGCCTTACCGGGAGAGACAAGTGGCAAGACATCTGCCTGCACCTACATTACCATCATTCACCATAACCTTCCCATTAGCTTGGATGGCATGTGGATGCAGCACATGTGCAGTGAAAGATTCACCCCCATAAATCAGGGGATGATCAGTACAGAGAGATTTTTTCAGCATATCATTATTTATTTATTACAGGTTTTTATATAGTGCCAACAATTTTATGCAGCACTTTACATATTGTACATTCACATCAAACTCTGTCATCGAGGAGCTTACAATTTAGGCTTCCTACCTCACTCACATACATATAATAGAGCCAATTTAGACAGGAGACAATTAAAATGGTTTAAAGGAAAATGTTTTTAATTAAAATAATAAACATGTTATACTTACCTACTTTGTGCAAAGTACAGAGCTGCCCCCCTTCTACTCCTCTGAGCAGTGTCAGGGCGGTCAACAATCTGTATGTAGTGTCTGGGCAGTTAGTGATTGGCATTGTAATGGCATGATAGGGCAGTATGTAGTGGCAGAGCAGTCAGCGAGCAGTATGTAATGGCAGGGCAGTCAGCGAGCTGTATGTAATGGCAGTCAGCGAGCTGTATGTAATGGCAGTTAATGAGCAGTATGTAATGGCAGTCAGCGAGCTGTATGTAATGGCAGTCAGCGAGCTGTATGTAATGGCAGTCAGTGAGCTGTGTGTAATGGCAGTCAACGAGCAGTATGTAAATCGCAGTCAGCGAGCAGTATGTAGTGGCAGTCAGCGAGCAGTATGTAGTGGCAGTCAGCGAGCAGTATGTAGTGGCAGTCAGCGAGCAGTATGTAGTGGCAGTCAGCGAGCAGTATGTAGTGGCAGTCAGTTAGTGATTGGCACTGTAATGGCAGGATAGGGCAGTATGTAGTGGCAGAGCAGTCAGTGAGCAGTATGTAATGGCAAGGCAGTCAGTGAGCAGTATGTAATGGCAGGGCAGTCAATGAGCAGTATGTAATGGCAGTCAGCGAGCTGTATGTAATGGAAGTCAGCGAGCTGTATGTAATGGCAGTCAACGAGCTGTATGTAATGGCAGTCAACGAGCTGTATGTAATGGCAGTCAACGAGCAGTATGTAATCGCAGTCAACGAGCAGTATGTAATGGCAGTCAGCGAGCTGTATGTAATGGCAGTCAACGAGCAGTATGTAATCGCAGTCAACGAGCAGTATGTAATCGCAGTCAGCGAGCAATATGTAGTGGCAGTCAGCGAGCAGTATGTAGTGGCAGTCAGCGAGCAGTATGTAGTGGCAGTCAGTCAGCAGTATGCAATGGCAGTCAGTCAGCAATATGCAATGGCAGTCAGTCAGCAATATGCAATGGCAGTCAGTCAGCAGTGTGTAGTGGGAGGACAGTCAATGAGCAGTATGTAATGGTAGTCAGTGAGCAGTATGTAGTGGTAGTCAGTAAGCAGTATGTAGTGGCAGGGCAGTAAAGAAGCATTATGTAGTGGCGGTCATTGAACAGTATGTAGTAGTAATCAATGAGCAGTATGTAGTAGCAGGGTGGTCAATGCGCAGTATGTACAGGCAATCAGTGAGCAGATGCATGAAATTCCTCCTGGAGGAGCCTCTCTCCATTAGCCACTTCAGCTGCTGGATCAGCCATAGCAGCCAACTGTGCGAGGAGGGAAGGAGGTGGCCACACCCCTGGTCCCACACACTACCTTGATCTTCTCATGGAGAAGCTGCAGAGTACCCCCTTGGCTTCTGGGATACTTCCACAGGGCACAGGGAGGAGAAATCATATATGAACTTCAGGGAGAGGAGGGAGACACAGACAACACCCTCCTGCCCGCACTGAGCTGTACCTCCCTATTGGCTGTGGAAGTGAGGGGAAACTAGGATGCTGTGTGGGCGCCTGACATGCTCCTTAGCAACCAATGATGCCATTGTTTGGTAGGATGCATGCGGGCCATCCAGCACAGGGTCAGGGATCCATGTGGTACTCTATCAAATGAGGCAGGCTTGGATTAAGCTACTTGATCCACCAGCCTTTATTGGTATACTTTTTAAGAATTTTGCTATGGTACCTCTGAGGGGCCCAGACATGGAGGGATGAACTTTAGCAGGAGCACTGATAAACCCAAAACAGAACTTGCAGGACAACAAAAGGAAATAGGACTCTGAAGTTTTGTATTTGCCATGAATATAGTAAAATGCTAAGGTGTTTTAATACTGTGCTTCTGTAATACAATTTAGTAATAAAACTATATAAAATAGTTTTAAGTAGCCTGAATGTAGTACTTATTTATTAAAACACAGAAGCAAAGACAAAATAGAAGACCTGTCGGTCTTGATTTTACTTTCACTTTTAACATGTAGTGGAAGATAAAAATCAAAACTTTACTGGATGATGCAGGACAATTGTTTCATGTTCCCTTCATCCATTTTCATAATTAAAGTTTTATTAAACCCAGGACCCTGCATTCACTATATCTGGTCTTCCACAGTGCACAGAATATGGAAATGCAATTATTTTAATAAATATAAACTGCTAAATACCTTTTCTCATCAGCCGTTAGAGCAGTTGTGTGACTTCTATCAATGTCCAGCTTAGCACAGGTTAAAGCTTGTAGGAAGAGTTTTCATTCTGCTCTGACTGTCCTATGAGGCTGAAAAACCCCTGACTCTGTGTGCTGATCATATGCACCCTCCTAAAGAAAAAAAACCCCCCAAAAAAAAAACAAACACTTTCTAGCAATAAACACTACGCTGAGCATGTGCAGAATGACTTCTAGAGCTCTGTACTATCAGCAGATGGATTGTGGACAGTAGAAGAAAGGAAGGATCAGAGAAGACAGGCTCAAACAGCCTTTTTTTACACAATGTGGAGGATTAACCTCTTAGGTTCCGCAGTGAGTATAGCAAGCATGCTTTATGGGATATATAGACTGATTTTACTGTTGTGGGTTTCGTAACACTTTAAGCGAAGTTTTCCCACATAAAGCTCAAATCAGATGTACAACACTCTTTTCCACATTTCCAGAATAAAACAGGTTCTGTTTAAGTAAATGGCAACAAACAAGCTGTATTATTAAGTGTTTGGAACATTAAGCCCTAGTTAATATTGCTGCGACTTCTCATTCGATTTGCTGTGATGTGCAACACAGAAAGTCACATGACAAGTCAAAATCACATTATTTCAATGGGTGCCGTCTTAATTTCTGCGACCCAAGCTTGCTTCTTCGTTGTGACATGAGTGCCATAGAATTCAATGTTAAAATCATAAAAGTTGCAAGGAAGTTGTTTCCTTGTCTTTGCGAGTTTGGTTCCGACCTCAGGTATTGCAAGTTTAATAATATGTATTATATTCTGCAGTGTTATGATTGGCCAAAGTCAAAGTGGCATGAAAGTCACACTGAAGTCTCATCAAATTGCAAGCAAGTCGCAATGCAAAGTCGCGCGACTTTGGGGTTGCAGCAATGTGAACAAAGCCTAATTTTCTGGGTATGAAAAGTTAGTTATAACATTAATTATGTGACAATTTCTCAGAGAAAGAAATAAGAAACTTACCTAAAAGCTCCAGGGTTGGTCCTGCCAAGGCCCAGAACTAGAGATTCTGTGATTTCCATGCTTTCAGAACGCATCATGGGTACTATGTGCTTGAACAGAGATGAGGGAGATGGATTGCCAATTATCTGGAAAATAAAACAGCCATTAAATCCCATTCTGCATTGCTCCCACAGCTCTCCTACCAAGTTCAATCAATTATCCCTCTACTAAAGGCTCAGATTTTCTTTTTTTTTTCAGTCAGTGATTCTCAACCTCTTGCTTTCCTAATAATTTTTCAATTTACTCCTGGGTAACTTCAGGTATAGGTGTGTTTCTCTGTAGCGACGCCACCGTTTCTTCCTTATTTCTACCTTATCAATTCCCTCTGTAATCTTTCCAATCCCTTTCAAATCATTGTTTAAATATTTTTCAGGTTTTTCATATGCATTGCGATATACTTGCTTGTTATTTGACTATATAATTTGGTACTTGACTTCCTCAATTTGTTCAAGACTCCAGGATTGTTTAAGCTCACGGTTTTAGTATACCTAGGTCATAAGCATTTTGTTATTCCATTGTGCACCATATCTTTAAAACCCAAAAAACTAAATATTTAATCTTAAAACCAATTTTCGATCAAAAACAGTAGCAACTGCTATTTTAGAAAAAAAATATTTTACTTGCAGTACAGCATATAATAACATTTTGTAGCCTGGTTGACTGAAATCCAGATATTGTTGCGGTGGGTTTTGTCATACAGGCTATAGGTATCTTCAACAAAGAGACTGCAGTACTGTAACTGGTGTTTGTTTTAAGATAATGTATATTGTTTTTGTATGTATTTTTCTATTATTTTTAGAACAAAAAAAAAAAAAAAAAAGTAGAACAATTTTTTTCAAAGGGATGTTTGTTTGGTTTACCATTCTGCTGCCACCTTCAGGTGATTAAACACTGAAAAAATGCCAGGAAATCCTCTCCTGAGCATAGCCTCCAGTCAAAGGCAAGGCTTCAATGTTCGTAGTAAGCCATGAACCCCAAAAGGAAGAGAGGTGGGAACTCTTTCTCCTGTGATGTACTCCAAGAAAAGGATTTTATAGGTAAACCTATCTCGCTGACCAAAGGATGCACCCTCTGCAACGCAAACACTTTGAACCGAAGACCAGGCCTTCCAAACTTGAGCTACTGAAGCCTGATGACGAATAGCCCATGAAGTACCTACACTCCTGGTGGAATGAGCCGTCCTCGAAAACAGTGGAACTTTTAGATTGTAAAAGGTCTCAGCAATAAGTTGACGGATCCATCAAGAAATTGTAGACTTGGAAGGTGTGTGACACTTCCTTGGGCCTTCAGGAAGCATTCAACTGACCTATTGCAGTAGTTAACTTCAGGTAACATGTGATAGATTGAATCACATCCAAGGTATGAAGAGCCTTGTCCCCAAGCGTTTGAGGATTAGGACAGAAGGATGGCAACATAATGTCCTAGTTGACATGGAACAAAAACACTGGTTCCTTACAGTTAGTAGTAGCCAGGTCTCAGGGAGTCTTAACCGTATTGCATGACGCCTTGTGCAAAGGCAAACACCAAGGAATGTGAAGCAATCGGTCTTTGAAAAAAAAACTGCCAAGGCCAAAATCTGACCCTTGATCATAGTCAAGGAGAGTCCCAGATCAACACCAGACTGGAGAAAATACAGGATGCAGCCCAGAATATACTTGTGAGGATGAAATTGCCTAGCTTCACATCAAGCAAAATAAGACCTCCAAGTTTGCGGTAAATCATTCTTGAAGTTGCCTACCGAGCCTTTAGCAGGGTAGGAATGACCAAATCAGAGACTCACCTGCCTTTCAGGACCCTGTCTTTAACAGCCATGCCGTTAAAGCCAGCAACTGTAAAGAAGAATGGAAGAGTTTGGGCCAATCCGGAAAAGTCCAAGGGTTGTCTGCCAACATAATCACAATGTCAGAGTACCACATTCACCTGGGCCAGGCTAGAGCAATCAGGATCCCCAGATTTCCTTCCAAAACCAAACCCTGTGAAGCAGATGTGGCAGGAGCTGTAATGGAAGGCATAAATTACAAAGAACTGGTCCCACAGTGTCACCAGACCATCCATTGCAAACGTTCAAGGATCCCTGGTCCTGGGGAAAAAAATAATCTGTCCAAATTCACAATAAAGCGGGACACCAGAAAATCCACATCTGAGGTTCCCTACCATCAGAAGGTTCCACGAACACCTCTGAGTGAGCAGCCCAGTTCCCCGCAAATAGTTATTCATGGCTGAGAAAATCAAACTTCCAATTTTATACAGCTAGAATGTGGACTGTGAACATTCCTGCTAAGACAGGCTGAGATCCACTTCCTCCTGAGTAGCCTGACTTCTGGTGCCTACTTGATGATTTACAGTATGCATGCCACCACCATGGCACTGTCTGACTGACCTCTAAAAGGGAGGCCCTTCAACTGCATAGACCAATGAAGCAGAACAAGATGAATCACCCTCAATTCCAGAATGTTAATGGGCTACAACCTTTCCTGCCTTGACCAAGTTCTCTGGACCGAGAAATTGTTCAGAACTCCACTCCAGCCAACAAGGCTGGTGTCCATCATCAGTACTCTCCAGGGCAGAGGAAGAAATGATTTCACCAACTACAGCATCCATGAGATCCACCAGTTCAGAGAATGTTTCTTGCTGTGGTGTAAAGGCATCAGGGAATCCAACTACTGAGTCCTCCTGTCCCATGCCACTCAGATATTCTGTTGGAGGAGCCTGGAATGAAACTGGGCAAAGGGCACTGTCTTGATGAAGGTTACGATCTTTCACCAAACCCTGTCTTCTTGTGGAAATGAAACTGGGGGTTTTGGCTCTGGAGCCCAAGGCTTGAAATTGGCAGGCTTTTGAACTGTAGGCTTTGTCTTCTTTTAAGCTGTAACAGAGTACTTGTACCCAAACACCTTCTGGACTCAATCATCCAAAGCAGGACCAAACAAACATTCCCTTGAAAATCTAAGTGCTCCACATGCTTGCAGGGTAACCCTGCTGACATACACTTCCACCATAAGATCTTGTGCATGTGTATGGACTGGTTCTCTAGACAAGAAAATTGTTGAATGGAATGCTTCAAGGTATCCACTAAGGTGCTAAGAGCATGTGGGAAATCCTCCATGTTTCTGCTCGTTTTGGCATCTCCACTAGTAGGATCCCTCTCGTCACTCAACGGCCCAGACCTTAAGGCTATGGTACACACTTTACAACCACAACTGCAGGTTTTTAAGAGGCACTTTACCAGAACAAATGAGGCTTTAAATAAGGCCTCCAATCGTCCACAGCATCTTTAAACACCAGGAACAGGGTTTGTCGAGATAGGAGACCACCGGATTCACCAAAGGTATAGTCTATTTCTTAGTGAACTTACTCTCTATGGGATACTGCTAAGCAAACACCTTGTCAGGGTGAGCCCAGTCCACATACAAAATATCCTTCAAATAAGGATGTATAAGAAAAGATTGAGGATGCTGTGGCAGACACCATGATCCAAAACCTGTGACCTATGGGGCAAAAGATTCAGGAAGCAGCAGCTTTACATTGTCTATAACCAGGTTCCTCACTACCTGAAAAAGGTATTGGGGCCTCACCTCCTACATTTCCTCCTCTCTGTCGTCAATGAGACAAAGGACACTTTCTGGTAACAGCGGTCCTAGCCAGCCAAGTTGGCACTGTGCCACTAAGCTGGTTACACCTTGAAAGATGAACCTTCTAGTTGCCAGTGTCCCACTGACCCAAGGAAAAAATGTTGCGTGGCCTTTTAATATTTGTTGTGACCTGTAGTTTCACCAAAGCAATTGCGCTGCTGCAACTTGTAAGGAAACCGCTCTTCTGAACCTGTAGTTCCACAAGAGAGCCTGCTCTGCTGCCTCACGTGTATCCAAAACGGCCAGTGGCAGTGTGCTCTGCTACACTCCTGATGACACCGGCCCTACTGCACATGTGTGGATGGCCTAACTCATTTGGAGTGAATGCAGGGAGCGAAAAGAAAACTAGAGAAAGGATAGGAAGGGTACCACCAGGGACTACCCCAGGGCACTCATCATTTTACTCTGCAGGACCCCCTGGAGGGTTCAATCTTCCCCCATCATGGCGGGCAATGCCATAGGTACCTTCAAGGACTCGACTTTTCAGCTGGTGATCACTTTCCTAGACCTGTGTAGCAGCCTACCGATCCGCAAGGTTACATTGAATTGCTCAGGGTCCTGTTCCATAGGGACAGATGGAACCATTGAGAAGCTAGCTATTTTTGTGCAGAGACTATGCAGACATAGCCATAACCTAAGACTCTAGTTAAAAAAAAAAAAAAAAAAATATGAGGCCTTGCCTAATGGGAGAGCTTTGGCCATAGATGGGATTTTCTGTAATTTATGCCAAAGTCAAATCACATGAAGGTGGCAGCCTAAACGCATTGTAGTGAATACGAAGATACCCTGTGTCTTGGGAATGTACGGTAAAGAAAAATGAAACACTGTACATGATTTAAAAAAAAATATTTTTCCATGAGGTGGAGCTCTCAGCAATGTTTAACAACCTTATCTGCCTATTCTTACAGAGATGATGTTGCCTTGCCCATTTAGGGCAAAATGATAATGTTTTCACAAATGCCACCGTGACCCCACTGATGCTCATCTTGCCAGTGATCCTCCATCATTCCTGCCTTCATCACATCCAGCACTAATACCCCCAGTGTCGGCTGGTAGCTAGGGGAAGCAGTAACATCACTGCCTCTATTGGGGTACAGTGCTTAGACCTAGGAATTGGCTGCTAGACCCATGCACGTTTACACCAGAGGACAACATTTTTAGTAATAACAACAAACAAAATAAATAATGTAAAGAAAAGAAACACAGGTAGATTCCCTTACATTGGTGGTCAATTAATACATTTCTCCTGATTTTGGTGTTCATCTATGTTTCATGAGAGGAAGAAGGCCCCTAAAACTATTCACCATTAGGCTGAAGGTCAATCACCCACTGCTGAAGGAATCCCTTAGCAACCTCTACAGAGGCTGGCTGAGAATGATTGCTAATAGCCAACAGCACAGCCTGGCTACCTACCATATGATCTTTGCATTCTGTTTTTTCTTTACTCATGTTTGACAAGGTGGCCAAATAATAAGGTAAACATATAGAAAAACACACAAAGTAAGCACCACACCAATTGATGTAGAGTCCAGAGAACAAAGTTTTTAGTTCTTACCCTGAGATGACACTAGATGTTACAGTGAACTGGAAATTGGGTTGTGTTTGAGCAGTCATGCAAATAGCTTTTGGCATGACTACTGAAGCACAACATAAATAACAGGTCCTGATGAAGGGGGACCTATGCAACCCCTAAACCGCACTGCCTGTAATCTAGTTGGCTCTAGTTGAACCAACTAGATTAGGGACTAAAACTTATTTCTCAGGACTATATGACAGTTTGTGTGGTTCTTATATATAATATATATTTTGTTATTATGTTTGGCTTTCTCCTGGGGATGATTCAGTGTCTGTTACATGAAAATTGATATATATAGTAAATGTTTCAGCATTTCCCATCCATAATCCAGAAACATAAGGCAAGTCTACAATTTAGGCTACAACCTTACCAAAGAACATTACTAGGACTAGTGACAGATCATAGTTCTCATAGGTTATGCCATGTAGAGGAAAACTGCATCAATTATTTCATTCTTGATGACATATAACAAAAACAAGTCAAATAGGGCAGGGGCATGAAGAGTAACAGTACATGTAAAGTAGCTTACTTTTGGATCAATGCTATATCCACTATCTGGGGTAGACGCCAGCGTCTCAGGAGGGGAACATCGTACGGAACCAGTAGATGCTGAAGAAGAGGAGGACGTTGCTGCACTGCAGCAAAGAATTAAGTAGTTCCTCCAAAGTCCAATGTAGGAGTCACTGCCGATTACTGCAGTCACTTTCTTTGCATTAATAGGGCTGCTGGAAATAAATACATTCAAGCACATAATTAGTACAATATACTAACACCCTGCAGATTAAATTCTTGACCAGTGATTTATATTTTCATGTCAAAGACCACTAGTCTTCACTTAAAAGGAACTCTTGAAACTGTAAACATGCGTATCAACGTGAACCTGACCGTAACTACATTTTTAGGGTTACAACAATGCTAAAGTGCTTAGTGCCCACAATAACCTGTATTAGTATTCAAATCAACTCCTATGTTTTTGTGGAGCCTCACTGGATCCTAGGCCCAGGAATGTACATTTGATCATAACTCCCCAAAAAGATTAATCCCCACCCTGTTAATGTAAAACCCAATGATCTGTAATTGGAATGTCAAGTGCAAGAATTAGTTACATGAATGAAGGCAACAATTAGGCAGCAGTTGAAATTTCATGTACAAATTGAGCACAGGAATAAAAATACTCCATAGTGACAAAGGGACTGATCCTAGCACAGGCTGTACATGGTTTCTATTAGTGTTAAACCCCTTTTGTTATTTCACTGTCAAGTTCAGAAATAAGGCAAAACTAAAGGCAATATACTTACCTCCTTTCTAACGTTCTGGGTCCCTCGTCAGTGCCGGCATCTTCTCCCCGGTGTCAGCATTAAAGATTCTGTGGGACATTTTGTGCAGCTCAGCAAGATAGAGAAGGACTCCTCAAAAGTGTCCGGCTCACCAGTTTTTTTCATCTGGGGTATCCAATGCTCCCTTCACCCCATCCAAGTTCAATGTTATAATAAAACCCTAAAAAAGACACCCCAAGATTGTTCCATTTGAGCCAGTGGAAGAGTGAAGAAGATGCTGTGTGCCTGGCTGTTTGAGCTCTAACTGGGAAAAGAGAGTCAGCTCACCAGCGGCTCTTTAGCAAAGTGCATAAATAGTGCATTTAGTGCATAGCTGGAGGCAGCAGTCGAAACCTTATGTACAACCTGAGCATAGGAATTAAGTGGTTCCATAGTGCCAAAGGAGTTAATTAGAAGCCTATGAAGTTAAATACAAGCACCACAACGTGACTGTACAGTTGTTACCTTAGAAACACTTCAAGCCTGGTTTGGTTCACCTAAAGCACAGCGGAACTTTTAGCTTTAAGCAAAGCAAATGGTGTGCAGTTTTCTTTAACCACTTCCCGTCCGACCCATGTATATAAATGGATGGACAGGAGCAGTGCAGGGGCGGGTGGCTGTTTATAAACGGCCTCCCCGCTCCCTGCTTGTGCGTGCTCCCTGGGAGCGCGCAGCACCGCAATCCAATGCCCGCTGTGTCCTCTGGACACAGTGGAACACCGATCATTGAATGAGTCCCGATCATGTGATCACTAACTGGCCAGTGATCACATGAAGAGTGGTAAGCAAGATGTCACTTCTGACATCATTGGTTACTATGTGTGAAATCTGTGAATGATCACAGTGGTCACCTGGTACGAGGCTATTCACAACAGCCTGGTACCATGTGACAAGCTATGACCAGTGGGTGACAGTATGTAAAAAAAACCAAAACAAAAAAAAAACAAAATATAAAAAAAAAAAATTAAATAAAAATTTAGAAAATTTATAATTTTTGCTTATAAACTAATTTGGGGGGTTTTTTTTACTAAAAAGATAACTGAATACATTTTGGCCAAGATTTATGAAGAAAGATTATTTATTTGAAAACTTTTATAAGAAAAACACTTTTCTTCAAAATTTTTGGACTTTTTCATTTATATAGCAAAAATATAAAAAATACAAGTGGTGAATAAATACCACCAAAATAAAGTTTTATCTCTCTCAAAAAATGCTAAAAAATTCATATGGGTACAGTGTTGCATGACCGCGCAATTGTAATTCAAAATGTGATAGTGCTGAAAGCTGAAAATTGGCCTGGACAGGAAGGGGGTAAAAGTGTCTAGACTTGAAGTGGTTAAAGCAGCCACAGCCTAAGTAGAAAAGGCTGTCCCTGCCTTCATGCTGCACAAAATGACCTATGCTCTCTGTGTGGAAGCAGTAGTCTCTCTGTAGAGGCATGACATGGCCTGTGCTAATTCAGAGCTAGAGCTCTTCAATCAAGAAGGAGCATGAGCGTTGCTGATTGCAGAGCTATACGTTTGACTCAGCAGGGGATGTGACAACCTCTGCTGAGAATACAGAAGCTTGGCAGCAACAGCCAAAGACTGTCATAGTGTAGAGCTACTGACTGTATAAATGATAACAAAATAAACATCTGTATGTTGTCTGTAGTGAAAATGGCACCAATTTCATAGCCTTCTACCTTAAATGACTAATAATGCAGGAAAAATTTTACATTCTGGGGACAACAGACTGGAAGGTCAAAGTTCATTTTGAGAAGCACCTGTTTCTGATGCTCCCACTGCAGAGATATGAGTTTACCAGAAGAAATAAACATCTTACTTTATATCAACTTGTGGAGACAGAAGCTGCAAGCGAGTATAGGAAAACATCCAGGCATAGCTGACAGCTGTGGGGCAATACTTGGGCAGATTATCTTGTTTCATGAAGCTAGACAAGCTTATTATCCATGGATCCAAACCCTGTGTAACGTGTGCAAAGATCCATATATGCGATGGGCTGACAACATCAAACTGATGGCTGATTGGCGAGGAGCTCCACTCTGCAAGTGTCTGTAGATCTATCGAATTTGGACAGTACAGCAAAGTGGTCTAAACATAAAAAGAAAACCAGGTTAGCAGTTAACTTGATGTACCATGTGTTTGGGTATCTCCATCTCCAGTATGACCAGCCTTTTGTATGTTAGATTTGTCCTCTTTGGGTTGTGCTTTCTTAGTACATATAATTAGACTCTTGTCACATTATTAATAACTGTGCAACAACACTTGCCTGATCTGCTCCTGTAAGATGTATAAAGCTTTCTAGAACAGAAGGACTAAGCCTGTCCATCACATCAATAGCCAGCTCTTCATCACACTGAAAAAAAAATAAAAGTTATAAAAACCAAAACACTATGTTATTCTGTTTTCCAACCATCATCTACATCTTGTAATACAGTGACCCTCTCCATCAAATTAATACAAATACAGTGCATGCAGACATGACTGTTTCAAGAAATATTTTCCTAGAAGGCACAGAAAGTCACAATTTTCATCAGCATATTTTTCTTAAATTTGTGATCATATAAATATTTAGGATACAGCTTAAACTGATCATTTGGGATATTCTAGCATAAAGGAGAAAATAAATAAATACAAATTCCAGACTAGATAAAATGTCTTCTCTTACCTTAGGAAGTTCTAACACAGTATACAGAGTCCGTATCTCCCGCAGCACATTTACAGCAAGTCTCCTTGTGGAAGATCGGCTGTTACATAAAATGACTAGTGCAAAACCCTCTACAACATGGAACACATTGGAGAATGGGCTTCTCTCTAGCGGGAGAGTATGGGATCCTCCATTGGCCAGGCCCCGCTGTAATCAGAGATATGGAAACAAAAATGAATGTTTGACGGTTAATGGTTTTTATAACCAAGGATTTTCCAACTTGCTTATAAATGTTTGATGGCTCTAATGTCAGTACAATCAAGAATCTCATTAAGTGTTTTAAGCGAGCTAGCTTACAATCTGGTCTTATAAAAAAGGAATTCTTGTTTAAAATCTAAATCACAAATTAAAACATGTATCTTAGCTTTCACCTTTACATGAACATACAAACAACTGGGTAATGTGTAACTGGCTATCTCTATATATATATATATATATATATATATGCATCTCTCTCTCTCTCGCTCTCTATATATCTCTCTCTATATATATCTCTCTCTCTCTATCTATATCTCTCCCATATATATATATATCTATATCTACTATCTATATATATATCTATATCTCTCCCTCTCTCATAAATATATATATATACACATACATACATACATACATACACACACACACATACACACAGCCATTTGAATCCTCCTATTTTCCTGCTGCATGAAAACATTTTCTGCTGTAATGATTGGCAGCCAGACACCCTGTGAACGTGGCTGTACAAGAACAAGATACTTTTTTTTTTTTTTTTTTTAATGGAACTGGAAAGCAACTGGAGCTTTTTTACAAATATCAGCAAAAGTCACGTAAATTGTGAGGAAATCTGGGTAACCAATCTTTCTACAATGTGTAGTTAAATCCTTAGTCTGTGATTCCTCTGGATGGTCAGGCTTGAGGATAGGGTTGGTAAATACCTGTGAATCTGTGTTTTTATTGTGCATCTGAGCAGCCTGCTTCCACTGATTTATTAGCTGGACCAACATCTTCACAGCATTGTCTAAAAGAGTGGGGTGCACGTCAGTCACCTCCCGCACAATGAAGTATACAAATCCAGAAAGAACATCCTCCCGCCAGTCAGGAAAATCAAGCATTAGTGCCTGTAAGGTATTGAAAGCAAGCCCACGCAGCTCTTCATCCATATGAATTGTGAGCCTAGAGAGAAAATGAACAGACATTTAACACAGTGAGCTTCACCAGGCATTCTTTATCTCGGAACAGGAGGAGAATGCTAACAGCTGCTTAAAATGTTTCCTATTCTAACAATATATTAATTATTTCTATGTTTCGTGCATATACTGTATGTGCACTCTCATGTCTAGTACAAATCAATACTCTGTTTTGGGAACTGTAAGGTGCCAGCAAATGCACAGCATTAACAACTGATGAAACTCCCCCTGCTGTGCATATAACACACTGCATAGGCAGCCAAGCCATTTACAAATTGGTACAACACTTCTGAATTCAATTATTAGCATTCTTTTACAAAAGGGTAAAGTTAATTTCTGCTCTGAAGCATCTGTAATTACAACACAGCTGCATTTTTTAAAAGAGAACTTTCCATAGCTTAAAACACCTGTGTGAATAGCCTCTAATGGAAGCTGCCATTCTTCAACACCGGTTACATTATAATTCAGAGCAGCAAAACCAAACCTATTCACCAAGCAATATACAGGGTTTTATCAATAACCTTTGTAGTTACATGTATTCATACAACAGAAATAAGACTCTTGAATTAATGAACTTACATGTGAATTGTTCCAACCGCTGGAATTTGATAAAAGGTTGGTCTGAAGGACCATTCATTTTATATGGCTCAAATCGAACTGCAAATTGCACTATAGCTGTAAGAAAACCGTGATTCTTTGCAGTGTGATTTGAGCCCATTCATTTTGTATGGGCTCAAATGGCATCGTAAAGGTATCAGTAATAGGTGTCGGCGAGTACTTGAGCACAAATGATGGTATTCATACTCGCCGAAAATTTTTTTTTTTATCAGTGCAATTCTACCTTTCGTGTTTGGTGACAGAGCTTGCAAGAAGTAGACTTCCTAGCTTTTGCCATTATTTGGAATCACTGATTCAGAGGTGCTCTTTTCTCTCAAAACCTGGTCTTCAACAGTCATCCTTTTAAAGCTAGTAACCTTGTAGCAAGATAGTAAATCAGTCCTCCAGACAAAAGATTGGATCAATCTGGAAGAGCTCACTTGGCATCCATTAGGAGTCTTACGAGGTTAGAGTACCATATTCACCATATTCACTGGAGCCAATCTGGACCATTGAGGATTATCTAGATGTCCTCCGTCTCGATTTTGTAGATGAGGAAGTAGTGGAAGGGGGAGGAAAGAATATCAGAATTCACTAGTGAAATGAAACCACCAGAGCATCCACTACTTTCACTAGAGGATCCCTGTACCTCGAGCCAACTCGGACAAGTCTGTTGTTGAACCTGGAGGCCAGGAAGTTCACATCCAGAGTTCCCCTACCTGTGATCCCCCCAAGTGTGCTTTCCAATTACCCACGCTTGGGACATAAATGCTGGACAGTGCTGAAAGTTCTGTTCAGGACAAGTCCTGCTGTAACTCTCCTACTGCAACAAGACTTCTGACTCCTGCCCAATGCTTAAAGTAAACCACTGTTGTGGCATTATCTGTCTGAATAAGATGTCCCCTCAGCAGGATGGTTCAGTGCTGCATGGACAGCTAAACTGCCCAAAGCTTCAGGATGTTGAATAGGAAGATGAGATTCCTCCAATGTTCAAGTCCCTGGCACTGAGAGGGTGCCCAGGACTCCTGGAACCTGTCGGGAGGATCAGAAGGTCAGAAGATAGGACTTGACCAATTCCAAGACTTCATTCTGGAGCCACCAGGCCAGGGACAACCTAGTCTTCAGTGCCAAAAAATACATTGGTCTGTACAGGGACTGGACTGACTTGTCCCATGATGACAAAATGTAGTATTGTATAGGTATGAAATTGGGGAAATAGAACTGGCTTGAAGAAGGTTACCAGCAGAACCATGAGTCTCATACAAAACCAGAGAATCCAACGACTCCTCGATTGAAAAGTATAAGGTTGGGATCAGAGAGTTTGTAGTTTCTCTCGAGAAATTAAAACTCTAGCCTGAGCTATGACTAGGACTAGACCTAGTTACTCCAAGCGATATTGGACAGTCAAAGCTACGCTGTCCTCCAGAGTGTGTGCTGACTTGTTTTCCCAGGAGATCATCAAAGTACCCCTCAATGGGGATGCCTGGAGAATAAAGCAAGCAAGTACTGGAAAAGCTGAAAATTTAAAGGGACCCAAAAGAAATAATGTAGCTCTTGGTGATGAGCCTGATCTGCCTATCATCAGGGCAAGCAGCAAAACAATGCCAACAGCTCTGGACCTGGACAGTGCTCCAAGGTTAAAAAAAGAAGTATGCGCAAAGCCTTTTTGGCTGTAGTTCTTTTGAGGGTCACAGGAGTAAATTTGTTTTGTTGCCCTGTGACCCAGAGTCAGTTTATAATGGGCAATTGCCCGCTATCAGCTGACAGCACAGAGCTGAGCCATTCTTGAGAAGGATCTCGACAATATCTTTGGGATCCACCCAGCTGCCTGGCTGACAGGTGGCTACACCTTTCAAGACACAACTGAGAGCTGGAGCCAGCCATGCCCAGCAGAAAGCGGTGACTGACAGGCACTGCTCCCCCCTCAGAGCAGACCGAGAGTTGAGCGATCAGTGGACATGTGATCGCTCAGTTCTCTGTCTTATAAATGGTGTGGGATAGCTGCAGCCTTACATAGATGCTAAAGCATGGAGGTGAGCATGTATTTTTTCTTTTTATAATCCCATACTTCTCCTTTAACTCATCACCAAAAGTAGGTGTGGAAAATGCCCTAGGCAAAGCCCAGTGTTGTATAAAGGTCACTTCCAGGCTAGTCCTGAGATGTCTACAGTTTTTTTTTTGTTGCCATTGTCCAACCCTCTGGTAAGTAGTAGTATGACCTAAAGGTTTAAGACTGCCATTGTCATTCAATAGATGAGAAAGAAAAAAAACATTTAAAATGAAAAGCAAAAAGGATCTGCATGTGCACAGCATACAATACAGCAGAAGAAAGATAGATGCTACTATGAACCAAGTTATAGAAGAAAGTTTACCTTGCTAGCAATTCGATGAGATCAGCCCTGCTCATACCATCAGGGATAAGCCTTGGAATAGCAGCAATGCAAGTCCTAAATAAATCAATCTTGGGTTTCCTTTCACCCCTGTAATAAAAGAACAGCAAGAAATCAACCGCCATGAACAGTAACACTATGAAAAATGTGTGATCTTCTTATGTATGATCTCTTCCTCTGCTATACTGTTTTAAAATGTGTGCAAGTTAACCTCTGAAACATGACATAAGTCTAAAAGTGATACTAAAGATAATTTTTTAAAAATCAAAATAATAAACATGTTATACTTACCTGCTCTGTGCAATGGTTTTGCACAGAGTGGCCATGAACCTCCTCTTCTGGGGTCCCCCGCTGGCAATCTCAGATCCTCGTCCTCTCTGTGTGCCCCCACAGCAAGCAACTTGCTATGGGGGCATGCACTGTGTGCTGTCGCTCCCGACCTGTGTGCATCTATGGAGGCACGCTCCATAGATACACACAGTGTGGTTTGGCCCTGCTCGCTGCTTCCTCCTCACAGCATTTGATGGACAGCAGCAGAAGCCAATGGCTCCTGCTACTATTCGAGTCCTTATGTGAAGAGAAAGAGAGGGGAGAGATAAGATCCAGCCATTGCACAGCGCTGGATCGACTGAGGACTCAAGTAAGTATTTAGGGAGTTGGGGGAGGACAGAAAACTGTAAAACGTTTTTTTTACCTTGCAGGAAATGCATTAAAGTATTACTAAACCCAGGACCCTGCATCCACTATTTCTGGTCTCCCACAGTACACAGAACATGGAAGTGCAATCATTTCAGTACCAGAACACACAAAAGATGCTGATGTTAGGAGTTTAAATATAGAAGATTGACAGCAGAAAACTAACTAAACCAAGTGGTCCATTGAGTCTGCCCCATTTTTTTCTTGATTTAAATTTTTTTTTGTGTGAGTATTGATCTATATTTGTCCCTAGCATGTTTCAATCCACTTACTGTTGACTGACTCACTACCTCTCCTAAAAGTTTATTCCAAAAACCAACAACTTTTTGATAAAATAATAATTTCTAAGATTAGTTATGAACTTTCCTCCTTCTAGTTTGAGGTCATGTCTCCATGTTTTTGACCTTGACTTCATATTGAAAATATTTCTCTCCCGAACCTTCTTCACCCCCTTTGGTATTTAACGGTTTCAGTCATATCTCCCTTTTCCCTTCTTTCCTCCAAACTGTACATATTAAAGTATTACTAAACCCAGGACCCTGCATTCACTATACCTGGTCTCCCACAGTACACAGAACATGGAAGTGCAATTATTTTAGTAAATATAAACTACTAAATATCTTTTCTCCTCAGCAGTTAGAGTGTCTTGTGGCTTCTACCAGTGTCCAGCCCGGCACTAGCTTGTAGGAGGAGTTTTCTTTCTGCTCTAGGAGGATAGAAATCCCCTGACCTCTGTCTGAACAGTGCTGATTGGCCCTGTGCTGATCACATGCAATCTCCCAAGAAAAAAAAAAAACCTCTCTAGCAATATACACCAACTGAGCAAGTGCATGCCCACGGTTCAGTCTGGAGATAAGTGGTGGTTGCTTGAAAAAGGGAAGGAACAGAGAAGAAAGGATCAAACAGCCTTTTTACACAATGCAGAGGATTAACCCCTCAGGTTCCACAGTGAGTATAACAAGCATGCTTTACTGCATATACAGACTGATTTTACTATTGTGGGTTTAGTAACATTTTAAGGGTAATAACGTTTTGGCTTTAGCGCCATTTTAATTGTGAATTTGTAGGCTTATTCCATTAGGCAGTGCAAAAGGGCAATAATGACGTGAAAATTGCAATAAATAAAAAATCAATTTACATCAGTAGGAACTAAGAAACATGTTCAAAACAGAAGAAAACACAAAATCCTTCCCATATAAAATCTTGTTTCTATATTGCTTCATAAGTCTAAACAAACACCTCAGCATTACCATGCAGCAGTTTTTCAATTACTGACATTCGTAGCTTTATTAGAGTAGGCCCTAATGCTAATGAACCATTCAAAGTGATTGCCATTCAGGGGGTTTTGACATGTCTAGGGAGTCACTGCTATTTGTACTGTTTTTTTTTTTTTTTTTTTAATATATAGCTGACAACCATCCCTGATTTCTGGGGACAGTCTCAGGTCCCTTGAAAGAACTTTGATTTGTAGAACTGAATGTGAAACAAATGCCTTTTCCATGTAAAACAGACTGTAACTTTATTATCGGTTAGCATTTCCTAGACTATTGATTAAATATTTCTTGCGAAGCAACATAAAAAAAAGATAGAACCAAAAATGTTCTTTAACTCATGAACAAGTTATTATTATCATTGGATGTTGTGTGGACCTTCAAGTTTAAATACCTTGACTAAGTAGTACAGTGCTCTTGGATTTATTGGCTAAATGGTTAGCACTTCCGCCTGGCAGTACTAGGATTGTTGGTTTGAATCCCAGCCATGGCACCACCTGCCTGGAGTTTGCATTTTCTCCCTGTGCCTACGTGGGTTTCCTCCAGGTACTCCGGTTTCCTCCCACCCTCCAAAGACATGCTGGTAGGGGAATTGGTTCCTGTCTAAATTGACCCTAGTATGTGAAGGTAAGTTAGGGACCTTAGATTGTACACCCCTTGAGGGTTAGGGACTGAAGTGAATGTACAATACATGTAAAAGCGCTGCGTAAATTGACGGCACTATATAAATACCTGAAATAAATAAATAAAAAAGTGACAATGATTTAAAAAAAAAAAAAAAAAAAAAAATGTGTGTTAGCTTTTGTTAACACAGTAAGAGTCACTTCCACAGGGAAATCTGATGAAAAAGGGCAAGTGTAAAAACAATATTTTCTCCAGAGGAATTTCTTTGACTCATCAGTGCAGGACATCCAATCATATTAAGGGGCCTTAAAGTGTAAATTCCAGGCACCCTGATCTTAATAACAATAGAAAAGCTACAAAATAGCTTCCCGTGCTGTGTGATTTAAATAATTGTATTTTCTGTTATCAGATGAAAAGTCTGCATTCTATGTGCTACTATTTGTACAGCTGCCACTGTTTTACCAGTTGCGGCCAACACTAGTGATGCAGCTCAGATTGACATATGCACTGCTGTCAAATCTCTCCTCCTTTGTGTATACTCGCTAAGGCTGTGCTTACTTCATCACAGAGGCAGTATTATGACATAGTGAATTTCATGATCACAATTAGCCTATAAATGCCACGCCTCACCTTAAATAAGTGTCTATGGGAGTTTAATGTGAAAACTGCTTTGGAATGTGGAATGCAGAAAATGAATTTCTTGCAGAAAAAGTAACATTATGCAAGAGTGTTGTATAGGTGCATGATGGCAGCTCGGAATCAGAGTATAGTAAAAGCAATCTAAACATGTATGTAAAGTAAATTAACAGTTTTAGTGAAAAGTCTCTGCTCTGCTGCCATGGAAAATAGCAATTGCCTTTGTTTTTGAGACTGGAATTGAGCTTTACAATATCATCTCCTCCTCTCCTTTTTAGAAAATTAGCCTAAACCATAATCTTTCTTATTTGTATTGTATTGATTTGAATGCCTTTAGGTACTTTTTCCAATTTTATAAGAGCTTGAATAATTAAGAATGTAACAGAATGTGTCAAATTTCTGTAATTTGTTTTTATAATAAATACAGTGCCTTGAAAAGTATTCATACCCCTTGAAATTTTCCACATTTTGTCATGTTACAACCAAAAACCTAAATGTATTTTATTGGGATTTTATGTGATAGACCAACACAAAGTGCCACATAATTGTGAAGTGGAAAGACAATGATAAATGGTTTTCAAAATTTTTTACAAATAAATATCTGAAAAGTGTGGCGTGCATTTGTATTCCAGCCCCTTTACTCATTACCCCTTTACAATAGCCTTCTGAAGTCACCTAAATAGTAAATAGAGTCCACCTGTGTGTAATTTAATCTCAGTATACAGCTGTTTTGTGAAGCCCTCAGAGGTTTGTTAGAGAATATTAGTGAACAAACAGCATCATGAAGGCCAAGGAACACACCAGACAGGTCAGGGATAACGTTGTGGAGAAGTTTAAAGAAGGGTTAGGTTATAAATAAATATCCCAAGCTTTGAACATCTCACTGAGCACTGATCAATCCATCATCCGATAATGGAAAGGGTATAGCACAACTGCAAACCTACCAAGACATGGCCGTCCACCTAAACGGACAGGCCGGGCACAGAGAGCATTAATCAGAGAAGCAGCCAAGAGACCCATGGTAACTCTGGAGGAGCTGCAGAGATCCACAGTTCAGGTGGGAGAATCTGTCCACAGGACAACTATTAGTCGTGCACTCCACAAATCTAGCCTTTATAGAAGAGTGGCAAGATGAAGGCCATTGTTGAAAGAAAGCCATAAGAAGTCCCGTTTGCAGTTTGTGAAAAGCCACTTGGGGGACACAGCAAACATGTGGAAGAAGGTGCTCTGGTCAGATGAGACCAAAATTGAACTTTTTGGCCTAAATGCAAAATGCTATCTGTGGCAGAAAACTAACACTGCACATCACCCTGAACACACCATCTACACTGTGAAACATGGTGGTGGCAGCATCATGTTGTTAGGATGCTTTTCTTCAGCAGGGACAGGGAAGCTGATCAGAGTTGATGGGAAGATGGATGAAGCCAAATACAGGGCAATCTTAGAAGAAAACCTGTGAAGAATCTACAAAAGACTTGAGACTGAGGCAGAGGTTCACCTGACAACAGGACAACGACCCTAAACATACAGCCAGAGCTACAATGGAATGGTTTAGATCAAAGCATATTCATGTGTTAGAATGTCCCAGTCAAAGTGTAGACCTAAATCCAATTGAGAATCTGTGGCAAGACTTGAAAATTGCTGTTCACAGATGCTCTCCATCCAATCTGACAGAGCTTGAGCTATTTTGCACAGAAAAATGGGCAAACATTTCACTTTCTAGATGTGCAAAGCTGTTAGAGACATCCCCAAAAAGACTTGCAGCTGTAATTGCAGTGAAAGGTGGTTCTACAAAGTATTGACTCAGGGGGGCTGAATACAAATGTACGCCACACTTTTCAGATATTTCTTGGTAAAAAAATTTGAAAACCATTTAGCATTTTCCTTCCACTTCACAGTTATGTCTTTGTGTTGGTCTATCATATAAAATCCCAATAAAATACATTTATGTTTTTGGTTGTAACATGAAAGAAAAATGTGGAAAATGTTCAGGGACATGAATACTTTTTCAAGGCACTGTATGTGTCTGTATGTATGTATAGACACACACACGCGCATTAGGTGGGTCAGATATAAACAGTGCCTGCCGGATCTCTTTGGTAGCCAAACCATACAGGGGTACCACTAGTTGTGTGAGAACAGTCCTGAATGCTTAGCACACACTGATTACAGCTCATTTAAGCACACTATGCACTGTCAGGCAGACTGCACCCTGGAATGATGCTCTCTAATCCTCTACTTTCTCAATACACATGCTTTCCAGCTAATTACCAGCACTGAGCAGCTTTATGTGGTACAGTAATTGCTAGCAAACATAAGCTTCAAGGATCATTATTGATCACTGGGTTTAAGCACATCAAACATTCAAACGGCTCACTTCTGCAAGAAAACAGAGTGCAAATAGAGGCATTATCCGCTTATACATACGTGATCATATCCTCAGGCTCTTTATTAGACATCTGCACACTTGTCATGCACATTGGCCTGCCAACTTCTTTGTCCAGATGCCTTAGTATACTGTCCAATGCTTTTCGGACTTGGGGGTGGTAAACAGACATGCCTGCACAAAAAGGAGCAAATTCTTAAAAGCCTTGCAATATCAGGTAATTTGCAGACAATGGAACACAAATGGTAAAGACTCAGTGACTCAGACAGAATGTATTCCAAATAAAAGATTGGAGAATAGGTGCCTAAATAATATCAAACTATAAATTTCTATGTAAGCCAAGTAAACAATGAAAACACTAGTGTGGCAAAAAGGAAACAAGTGTAAAATGTGGGAATAATTAATATTATTACAATGCATTAGCAGTAGAGTGTTGCACCAGGGTTAAACATCAAAAAAGTAGAAGTCTTGATTTAGGGCGATTCCTTTTTGTTTTTTCCTTTACTGTTGGACAGAGTGCAGAAGATTTAAAATCAAATTAAGATGACTGTACTCAAACAGAACCAGCCATAGATGGATCAATATTCTTCTGGTCCCTGCTGAACCGGTCAAATTTCTATCCATCTCTAGTCAGCTTTACAAAATATGCATTGCAGTGTGCTGTAAAAAATGCAGCATGACTTATTTTTTTTCATGACTTGAGGTGCGTCACAGCCAATATAATCTGGATGAGCTGCCTAAGACGGCACACAGCAATGCATGAAAATGCATGCTCTGCTTCGCACTGCATTCAGGTGTGAATTGCCCTTGAATATGTCTGAATCTAGTTCAGTGTATATGTAACAAAAACTTTTAAACCCTAAACCAAAAATGTAATATACTGCAGCTTACCAATCATTAGAAGTTTTTTTCCTTTCTTTTCACTTGGTGCTCTGGCCAATAACATACCTCCTGCATTAGAGTGCCTCCACTATGTATGAAGGAGCAACAGAGACACCTTTGCGCAGCAGTATGGTCAGTCTGGGGGAAGGGGGGGGTGTTAGAGGGACTAGCAGATTTAGATATACTAACAGATTGAAGCCAAACTGCAGCTAACACGTTATAAACAATTAGTCAGTTTTGTTCCTTTTGGGATAAAGATTTTACGGAAAAGCTGGTCATTGAAAGCACCCCTGACATTAGTAAATGGTTTGTCTCAACACTCTGATACATCTGCAGGGCAGCTTGTTCTGTTGAAAAACAGCAGACTTAAAGGCAGTATCAGCAGGTAAAAATAACAGAAAGAAAGTCTAAAAAAGAAAACTAATGCAGCCTTCACAAATAAGAATTGGTAAGCTGCAATATAATAAAAGTTTCCTTTTGGGTTTAATACCACTTTAATTCCAAGCTCATAAAAGACAATGAAGACAAACCTATGCATTTGGCTTCTTCGTCTGTGAGTGTTTTATTTAGAAAGATTTTCTTGACACGTAAAGTGTTTCCTGAGGGAAGAACAACTCCAGTTGTGGGGGCATGGGGGGCTCCCCATCTTTCTGCTGCAAGCTGTCTGCTATGACAAGGAAGACTCTGAGACCAATATTCATCCTCTAAAAGACGAGCAGATAGAAAAAAGCATTAGCACTCAGGATACAACTTTGCACTGACAACCCTTAGAGAAGAACTCAATCCACTCTGCCAAAACTGCAGCATCACCAAAAAAATATACCACCAAGCAGACTGGCAGAAATGGCTGCTCTCAACCCTAGAGATGGGCAGTCATAGCATTCAACAACACAGATCCACTTTCATTTCTCTATTCTGAGCAATAGTTGGCTATTTGCATTTCAGTAATGAATGAACTATAATTGCTGACAATAATTGCTGGACTATAAAACTCTTTACTCACAGATTGGCCAATACACCAAAGCGTAAGATAGTGTAATTGCTAAATTGCCAAAATGCATATCAGATTATTTTTTTATATATGGGTTCTCTCCCGCAAATTATGTCCTCTGGGTAACCCTCCTACTGAGCAAGTTTATACAGCATTTTGGAAATATAAGTTCCTAAGTATAAATTAAAAATAAATATAATGCTACTAGATATCAATCAAAAATAGAGCAACATTTCGTCAAAATAAAATATAAAAATACAGATTAATAGTTATATTTTCATTAAAAAAGAATTAAACATATTTAATATGACTTGTCTGCTTTACTTTACAGCAGAACTACTGCAGAAGACACTGAGAAAGGGATAGCACTAGAGGCTATTCAGGCATGCTACGTGAACATACGCAAAGATGTGCCGACAGCAGCAGAGCAAAGGAAGCAGGGGGAGGAGCTCATCAGTGAGCAGCTGTTCCCCCAATCACAAACTGGGGGCGTAAACGTGACCTATCTATAACCATGTAAATACAAGTGGACAAAAGTCAGGTCACCCCATTGCCTATGCTAAAGGGCAGGGGCTAAATAAACCTCAGGACTAGAAAGAAAGTAATACAACTCCTTTGACAGGTAAAACAGTTGTCTGACATTTAGCTTTAAAATATCTGCTGGAGTGGGGGAGGGTTGATAAATAAAAGGGAAAAAAATGCAATATAAATGTAATAATTTACCTCTGGGTTGATAGTAAATGTTTTTGAAGATTTTCCAACACTCAGAAGATCAAATATTATTTCTTTCATTGCAAAATCTAAACGTTCCTATAAAAAAAAAAAAAAAAAAAGCCACAAAACATCTTAGCAATAAGATTGAAACCTGAAATGAACACAGCTAACAGTGACTCTAAAATCAATCAATCACTCTATCTATATTATTTTTCCCCTCTTTGTAGAGAGATTTTGGCTTTTTTCTATATTTTCATCAAGCATTCTTAAGTCCTCATGCACACGGGACGTTTTGATAAAGCTGGTAACGTTAGCTGTGTAAAGTCACATTAAAAACGCAAGTTTTTCAGCTTTCTTTAGTGTTTCGCATTAGCGTTTAGCTGCGTTTTCCCGCGTTTTTCTGCAGATGCGGTTTATAGAGGTTTTTTTTGCCCCCCCCCATTTTTTTCATCAAAAAAAGTCCAAAAATGCCAGTTTGCGGCATTTTACCACATTTTGCCACGTTTTTACAAGAAGCTAAAAAACTCCTCTAGAAACCCACTAGTCCTGGCTTTTTTTCCTGCCAAAAAACATTGACTGGTCTATGTGTGCATGGACACATAGGATAACAAGCTGGGGGGTTACTGGCTGTAGAAAAAAACGTCAAAAGCCAAAAACAGCAGCTGTAAAAATGTCCAGTGTGCATGAGGACTAAAAATGGTCAAGGACGGCTACTGGATTGACACAGGTAAATCACTATTTCATGTCACAAGCTAGTCTGCAGAAGATGTCCATTTTGTGAAAAAGACTCAAGAGGCTTAATTAGTACTAAAACAAGTGTTCAGGACTCCTGATCTACATACTTTGGGGTCAGTTGTTTTGACCCCCGTTAACTGCACAGGTGGTGAGGGGAAATTTTTCTCAAGCAGACACAGAAAGTAATATAATGTTGACGGTACATTCAAAATTGCATTACTGGTAATAATTTTTTTCAACCACTTGCTGTCCTTTGGGGAATCACCCTTTACTTTCTGCTTTGACATCAAATACAATGGGAAATGTTTCCTCATTTTCTGCTTTAGCTCATTAAAGTATCTCAAATGGGAACAAAGACAGCAAATAAATCCTGATTGTGTTTTAAAGGATAAGTTCACCTTTGGAACATGTTCTACATGTTTTTAGGTGGAACGTGTAACAGGTTCCCATAGCCACAAACCCCTCCCTCTGACAGATAGTACTGGGAGAAGTTTCCCCATACTATCTGTCAAATTTGAAAACAGCGCGGCCATGCGGGGCTCCACCCACACAGCCACGTCACGCATTCACAGAGTTCTGTTAATGAGTGCCTACAAATCCCGGCAGCCTTAACAGCTGTCAGCTTGTAGTTTTCAATGAACTACCATGGCGCTGTGGAGAGCCGTAGTAGGTCATTGAAGCTTCCTGTCACAATATCTGATTGGTTGTACATCCCGTACGGCAAGCAGATATTCTGACAGGTCTGCAGGAGACCTGCATGGCATCAGCAATCTATTAATTGCTGGTGCAATGCTTTACAGGCTCCTTTGGACAAAAATAATAAATGCACATTTTTTTTTACCTGCAAAGAGTTAGAAATGCATGTGTAAACCAGTTTAAAGTGTCATGCACCTTGTTTGTGTGGTCATAGAAGTGATAATAAACACTTACATAAGCCCACTTAAAGGATAGGTTCACCTTTGGGAACATGTTACATGTTCCACCCGTTTTTAGAGTGAAAAAATGCAACATGTTCCCATAGCCGCAGCCACTGCCCTCCCTCTGACAGATAGTACAGGAAGAAGTCTCCCCATACTGTCAGATTTGAAAACAGCGTGGCTGTGTGGGGCTCCACCAACATGGCCGCATCATTCATTCATGGACTTCTGTAAATGAATGAACTGCAAGTCCCGACAGTCTTAACGGCTGTGGGCTTGTAGTTTTCAATGAACAACCGTGGCGCTGTGGAGAGCTGTGGTAGTTCATTAAAGCTTCCTGTTAGAATATCTGCCTATCCGTACATCCCATATGGCAAGCAGATTTGACAGGTCTACAGGAGGCCCGCATGGCATCAGCGATCTACTGATTGCTGGTGCAATGTTTTCCAGGTTCCTGTTGACAAAAATAATAAATGCACATTTTTTTTACCTGCAAAAAAATGTGCATTTATTATTTTTGTCTAAAAGGTGAACTTATCCTTTAAGTGACTGCACTCATGTGATGCATAGAGATTAGATCCTCCTACATAACCTATATCTCTGTTTATCTACAGCCTTCTAAAGTACAGAACTAGATGATATTTCTCAGCTTCCAGATAGAAAAGTGTGGAGATCTGATGTCATATACTGCACAGCAACCCAGCTCCCATACAACCACTTTATGGGTAAACATGTCCCCAAGTAAAGGTGATCATTATGGTCATCTGGCTTATATATCTACCTTCAGTGCACTAGTAGCTGACACATTGGGCCTCAAGTAAACAAATGACTGAGGGCAGCTTGCACATATGGAAAGACACCATCAATGCTAAAAGATATGATATATCCATGTTTTAGAGCAGCATGTGTTCCCATCTAGATGATGTCTTTTTTAGGGAAGGCCTTCCATATTTCGCCAGACTACTATAAGCAGCATAATGCATCTATAAACAGCATGGCTTTATAGTAGAAGAGCTGCATGGTCATGTTGCCAGAAAAAAAAAACCTTTACTTCACCAATGCCACAAAAAAGCCAGGTTACAATATGCCCGACAACACCATGACACACCTCACCAGGCTATTTTTTGGCATTGGCTTAGTAAAGACTTTTTTCTGCCAACTTGATAATGCATCTCACTTTTGTTAAAGTATTGTGCTCCTTAAGGCTGAGGTTACCTGTGGGTTTTTCATTGTATCCCGAACAATTCTTCTGGCAGATGTGGCTGCAATCTTTCTTGGAATACCTGTACTTAGCTTAGTTACAAGAGATTCCCACATTTTCCACTACTTTGTCAGTAATTTAACAGTACTAAATGGCATATTCAAGGCTATGGACATCTTTTTATATCCTTTTCCATCTTTAAAAAAGTTCCATTACCTTGTTATACAGGTCTTTTGACAGTTTTTTTCTGATCCCCATGGCTCAGTATCTAGCCTGCTCAGTGCAGCAACCTAAGAGCTAGCAAACTAATTGACTATTTATACACAGACACTAATTGAAATGCAAAAAAACACAGTTGTGGGAAATTAACCTTTAATTGACATTTTAACCTGTGTGTGTACCAATGCCAAATATTCCAGGGCCATGTAGGTGATTTCTGCTATTATGATTTAAAAAGGAGCTAAACAACTATGTGATAATATGATCACTATCCTTATTAAAAAGACAGTTTTTGGCATAATCAGTCATATTTTCAATATCAATGCCAAAATTTTACGATTTCTGCCAGGGTATGCAAACTTTTGAACACAGCTGTATATCAGGCAAGAATGGGACAGCATTCCTCTAGCAAAACTCCAGCAACTGGTCTCCTCAGTTCCAAGACGTTTACAAAATGCTAAGAGAAGAGGGGATGCTTTCCTTTAACACTGGATATATTTGATGTCTGACAGACGACTACCTTGAGGGTTACCTCTTGCTGTTCTTACGCTGTGGACCAAATGCTGACCTGTTTGTAACCTATGTTGTTTACCCTTTAAGCTGTAAAAGCTGCCTGATGTTGTAATGTTTCTTTAAGTTGTAAATTTACTGCCTGCAGAGTGCTGGCTGCCTTTCTCTTTTCAAAATAAAGATTATATATATAAAAAAAAAAAGAAGGGGGTATGGTAAACATGTCCCTATCCTAACTTTGAGACATGTAGCTGCCCTCAATATCAAAATTACTTTAATTCTTTCTAAAATGGCACATTTGATGTTTTCTTCTTTGAATAAAATATGGGTTTATAAGATTTGCATATCACTGCATTCCGTTTTTATGTAGATTTTACACAGTGTCCTAACTTTTTTGGACGTTGGTTGTAAACAGAGGAAGTAAGGTCATCATGGTCACAGAGGACACCAAAACTCATCGGTTAGTTGGTCCAGTAAAAGATAGAAGCTTTATGAGTATTTTTCTTGCCAATGGTGCCTAGCTGTCCTGGTAATCCTGTTTCACTCATTTCAGGTCTTGTGTCAGAGACAAGTCAGATATGACCCTTATAACACATCTTCACTTGCTTTAATATTAAAAAAAAATATTAGAATGGAGTTGAGCTTCAAAAACAGGCTGTAATATATCTCTATTTTATTTCTCTCAGGATAAGTAATTGGGGTCCAGGACAGTGAGTTATAGGAGAAGGATGCACTTGACTGATGCACATTGTCAGCTTTCCTTGTGGGCCACTAGGCATCTGCCTATGTAGCATTGCAGGTAAAAAAAAGCCCTAATACAGATATTTTTTTTTTTTTTTTAAACAATTGAAGTTTATTCGTATAAAGGCAGAACAGAGTTGAATCAATTAGCAGCAAGCAAGGTACACATAAAACAAAAATACACAGTTCGCATATACATGCCGTTTGATTCGACACAATACAGATATTATGGGTTTAAATACTTATATACACATGCAATAAATCATTCACAACTGGTTTATCCTACCAGACCCTAATTGGCATGACTTACACTATATTGCCAAAAGTATTGGGACACCCCTCCAAATCACTGGATTCAGGTTTTCCAGTCACCTCCATGGCCACAGGTGTATAAAATCAAGCACCTAAGCATGCAGACTGCTTCTACAAACATTTGTGAAAGAATGGGTCACTCTCAGGAGTTCAGTGAATTCAAGCGTGGTACCGTGATAGGTTGCCACCTGTGCAAAAAGTCCATCTGTGAAATTTCCTTGCTACTAAATATATATAATATCAACTGTTAGTGGTAGTAAAACAAAGTGGAAGCAACTGGCAATAACAGCAACTCAGCCACAAAGTGGTAGGACATGTAAAGAGACGGAGCGGGTCAGCGCATACTGAAGCGCAGAAGTTACCAACTGTCTGCAGAGTCAATAGCTAAAGATCTTCCAAACTTAATGTCACCTTCAGATTAGCACAAGAGTGCGTAGAGATGGAATGGGTTTCCACAGCCCAGCAGCTACATCCAAGCCTTACATCACCAAGTGCAATGCAAAGCGTTGGATGCAGTAGTGTAAAGCAAGCTGACACTGGACTCTAGAGCAATGGAAACGTGTTCTCTGGAGTGACCAATCATGCTCGTCTGTCTGGCAATCCGATGGACGTGTCTGGGTTTGGCGGTTACCAGGAGAACGGTACTTGCCTGACTGCATTGTGCCAAATGTAAAGTTACGTTGAAGGGGGATTATGGTGTGAAATTGTTTTTCAGGGGCTAGGCTTGGCCTTTTAGTTCCAGTGAAAGGAACTCTTAAGGTGTCAGCATACGAAGACATTTTGGACAATTTCATGCTCCCAACTTTGTGGGAACAATTTGGGGATGGCCCCTTCCTGTTCAAACATGACTGCGCACCAATGCACAAAGCAAAGTCCATAAATACATTGATGAGCCAGTTTGGGGTGGAGGAACTTGACTGGTCTGCACAGAGTCCTGACCTCAATCTGACAGAACACCTTTGGGATGAATTAGAGTGGAGACTGCGAGCCAGGCCTTCTCGTCCAACATCAGTGCCTGACCTCACAAATGTGCTTCTGGAAGAATGGTCAAACATTCCCATAGACACACTCTTAAACCTTGTGGACAGCCTTCCCAGAAGAGTTGACGCTGTTATAGCTGCAAAGGGTGGGCCAACTCAATATTGAACCCTATAGACCAAGACTGGGATACCATTACTGTTCATATGCGTGTAAAGGCAGGCAGACCAATACTTTTGGCAATATAGTGTAATTTGTTCAACATTAGATATTAACCTGTTAGATTATTTACATATAATATTTACATATAATACTTAAGTCATCTTACCTGAGCAATGAACTGAATAATCTTGACAAATATATTAAGAGGGGTGTCACGGGGCACAACGCTACGGGAGCCCTTGGGGAAAAGTGCGGATACAATGCTCATAAGGCGGCTAAAAAAAACAAAAAATAAACCCAATAAATTTAACTTTTATGATGGTGATAAAGTCACATGACAAAAACTAAAACACAGTAATTTAAGAATATTACAGAAGTTTCTGTAGCTCAGGGGACTTGAGTATGTGCCCCCCTGAACTCTTGATCTACAGCTTCGAAATGATATTACTGGCACATGATTAGTGGGGTTATATACAGACTTTTTAAGGTCCTTACACATAGCTGGGATTGCCTGCAGCCTTCCAAGGTTCTGAACCATGATTGGTGGGAATTGCTGACAGCCTTCTAAGGTCCTGACACATGGTTGGTGGGGATTGCCTAGAGCCTTCTAAGGTTCTGAACCATGAATGGTGGGAATTGCTGACAGCCTTCTGAAGTCCTGACACATGGTTGGTGGGGAATGCTTATAGCCTTCTAAGGTTCTGAACCATGACTGGTGGGAATTGCTGACAGCCTTCTAAGGTCCTGACACATGGTTGGGGGGATTGCTTACAGCTTTCTAAGGTTCTAAACCACGATTGGTGGGAATTGCTGACAGCCTTTTAAGGTCCTGATACATGGTTAGTGGGGATTGCCTGCAGCCTTCTAGGGTTCTGAACCATGATTGGTGGGAATTGCAGACAGCCTTCTAAGGTTCTGAACCATGAATGGTGGGAACTGCTGACAGCCTTCTATGGTCCTGACACATGGTTTGTGGGGATGGCTTACAGCCTTCTAAGCTTCAGAACCAGATTGGTGGGAATTGCGGACAGCTTTCTAAGGTTCTGAAACATGAGTGGTGGGAATCGCTAACAGCCTACTAAAGTCCTGGTATGTGGCATGGATGATTATAGATTGTTGTTGTTTTTTTTATATGATTCCCAAACCTTCTATTTATTGTAACCATTTCAGATTTTTGCCTTTACAACCATATACTCTCATTGCCTTGGAAACCAGTCTCAAAGTGTCAGGCCCCAAACTTATCAACTTATTGGGAACAGAGACCTGTACAAGCAGAATTATGACAGGAGGAGGTCATAAGAGGTCATGGCTCAAGCTTTTTAGACCCCGTCTGTGCCTTTTATGCCTATTTTAATAGGCTTGTACAATTTTAAGACTGTAAAATGCATCAGCTGTCACAGTTATTCTAAAATGTTACAAACTTTCCTAAGGAAACAGATCACAAATTCAGAAAATTGCACTGCTAGAACCTGACATCACATATACGATCAGTAATTTACAGGCTATACTAAGCCCCTTAGGCAGCTTCCTAATAAGACCATCTCTATAAATGGCCTACCATTGTGTAATTAACTGCTGCAAAGTTCCCAGCCCTCCGCTATCCAATATATGAAACCTGTCACATCGATCCAAATAGAAGCTAATTGTTAACAGAGTAAGACAAGCTGGCAATAAAGTCCAAATTACTTTCTCACATGACACACACCAGCAGCTGACAAAGTAAAACAGATCTAAGATACAATTTACTGGCAATGTAAGAAAAATACATTGGCATGTATAGACTTGAAACAGCACAAGGAGCTGGCAGGAGCAACAAGGGATGAAATGTAACTTTAATGCTTGGTCACAGCTAGAGATCCTGGTGTTTCCTTCTGTGCTTAACAATACAGATGATTTTAACATCAGCCACATACTGTAATGAGACTAATTAGCTTTATTTATGCTACTCTCATTAACAGCAGCACAGAGTAGATGCATAAACCAAACCCAGGACTTTACACTAGGAGATATCCAGTCACACACGGTTAATGGCAATTAGCAACATTGATTACATTTATATTTTAACAGTGACTGACACATGAACATATTCTGCGGTGTAAGAGGGACACAAAACTGCTAATATGGAAATTTAGACATGCCTCTGAGGACTTCTTGTCATACAATGGTGCAGTAGAACACAAAGCGAAACACTGTCTTTGTGAAGGACAGGATAACATAAATTTAAAAATAAACACCAATTTAAGCAGGTATATGTTTAATTAAAAGGAATGTTAAGTGTATTTTTAAAAGCAAATAGTATAGGTATCTAAAATTGCTGTGGGGGCACCCAACAGGAGGTAGAGGCCAGGAGCGCTGGTGAGGGACCTGAGAACAGAAGGATCTGGGCTGCTCTGTGCAAAACCACTGCAGAGAAAAGGTAAGTATGATGTATTTGTTATTTTATCTATAAAAAAAACTAAGTCTTTAGAATCACTTTAATTAAAGCTTGTTCTTACTAAGCTTTGACAATGAAGCCTGGAAGCGGACTGGTTTCTATGCAGAGCTGCACCAGATTTTGCACTCTCCAATTTTACTAAATCAACCCCACTGTATTCTCCCAAACTATTTTATAAGGGCATTTACACTTTCAGTCATTAAACATAAAAACCACATTTGATAAGATCCAAGGAAATAGGTAGTATGTTTTCCTCTGTAATTCTTAATTGGACTGCTGTAAGTGTTGCCTTACATAAATTAGGAAAGTTATGCTTCTTTCTAGCCACCATGCAAAACATATGTACATTGCTTTATAAAACTCACCTATGTGTTACATTGTTGCTTTCACATTTTATCCGAATAACGTAAACCCACAACAATCTGTACAAAGATTCCAGTGCAACGCGAGACATTTTAGGGTCTTTATTCTGAAGAAGAAAAAACGAAAACACATCTCAGCTATATTATCGGTATGCAAGTGCTGTGAACAATTCAAATATTCTACTGGTGTGGATAATTAGAAGTGAAACAAATCCATAACCACAAATCAAAAAAAAGTGTTTGTTATTGTTTTTCTTGTTATCATGATTACAGGGAAAGTTTAATGCCTTTTCAGAAAGCACATAACAGTAATTATTGCAATTTATCTTAAATTAATTATTGACTTTCACAATTATAAATGCTTGATCTTCTAAATTCGAGATTAGCCATTAGATGGTAGCTCTGAATATAACAGCATTTGCTCAGCCTCTCCACTTAAAGGGAATCTGTCATGTAAGAATCATGGAAGCTACCATTTTTTGGAGGAAGTTAATCACCTGGCTGTCATGCTGATGCTTCAAAGTTTTGACTTTAATGGTGATTGAGTAACTGACCCAGAACAAACAGAGATAATCCCCACACTTTTTACTGGCACTCATATACATATTACTAGGTATGTGATCCAAAAGTCAGACACAGCCGGTATCTACCAGGGGGGGCTGGAAATGTCCACATTTTGTGGAGGATTTTACAGAACTGTTCAGCCACAAAAACCTTTGGTCACCAAGGCAGCAAAAGACAATGTGGCCTTCCATTCATGAGTTCATGAGTGTATAGGTTGTCCCACTTCACCCATAAACATTTTACTGCCTTTTAAAACACCACAGATATCTGTGTCAGATATGAAAGTGTAATAACAACCAAACTTTACACTTGTATTGTATGTAGAACAAACTTTTGAAAGAAATTCCTGGGAAACCTGGATCTCAGTGTCCTCTGTGACAATCATCTGTGCAGATATGTTTATAATAAGCAAGTTGATGTTACCCAACCACACCCATACAAAAGAAGTACGGTAGATAAAGGTCCCTTTCACACGGGAGATTCAATCAGGTCTGCCAGTCAGTTTTTCTGGTAGTGCCGATTGGAAGTTCCATGCATTCCTATGGACTGGTGGGTGTAAACAGACTTCTGTCCATTTACACCCTCCTACCTCTGGGTCTGATCCGGTCCGCTGAAAAAAACAGAAGGGGATCCATCCTCTTCCGTTTAGGTGGATCGGAGGTCAGGGACCATACAACAGATTAGGCTCTGTCTGTGTCCGCTCTACAGAAGCTGCCCCCAGGGCTGCATACCAAGACTGACAGATGAAAAATGTAAATATTATAGTATTACCCACTGCAACCAAATTCAATTTTTGAGATTCATTTTCATCTGCCAGCTAAAGGTGTGAAGTTCAGATATAGAATTTTGCAGACCACTGCAGATTAAATAGATATTTCTCATATTCTCAAACAGAATCTAATAAAGTTTAATTACATTTATTTGCTGACCGCAGTTATGGTGGGTTGCAGTCTACCTATATTAAAGTGGTTCTAAAGGCATTTTTTTAACTTCATGCATTCTATGCATGAAGATCAAAAACCTTTAGTGTGCAGCTCCACTCGCAACCCCCCAATTCTTACCCGAGCCTGATCTTGGTCCAGCGATGTGCATGAGAGTAGCAGCTCTCCAGGGTCACTCTTCTTATTGGCTGAGACACAGCAGGGAGCCATCGGCTCCCGTTGCTGTCAATCTCAGCCAGTGAGGAAGGGAGGGGCAGGACTGAGCCACACTGTGTGTACCCTATAGACACACAGAGGCGGCTTGGGAGTGAGCACTCACGAGTGCCCACAAAGCAAACTGCTTGCTCTGAGGGCACTCGCCAAGGAGGAGGGGCTAGACCCACCGTCAATGGACATGAGAAGAGGATGATCAGGACTGCTCTGTGCAAAACCATTGCACAAAGCAGGAAAGTATGGTGTGTTTATTATTTTCAAGAAAAAAACCCCAAGCTTTTAGAAACACTGTTGCAACCACCTACATGTCGGTCAGCAAATACATTTCATTAAACTTTAGTAGATTCACTTTGAAATATCTGTGAGTTCCCTGCAACAAGTGCTTTATATTAATAGCTACTTTTGGAGAGCACCTTAGGACCCCAGTATTTATAGCCACAAAGATAGCACAGACACCTTTATCCATTCACTATGGAATGTATAGATGTTGACTGTCCAAGAACAGGTAGTGTGAAAGTTGTGGAACCATACTGTTCTAGTTACATAATTCTTTTATTGGTGTCATGAAGTCTGGATAGGTATTCATTTCTCAATTTACATGGCTAAAGATGTAAATTGTCAAACTGATGGGGTAGATTGCTAAAATAGCATTACTGTATATGTGGAAAACAGACTGTGTTAAAGGCTCCCATACTTTGTTTTCAGGAGAGTGGGGTGCACATTTTGGACAGAGAAGACAACTGGTTCACAAGAGGCATGAGAGAGACCATCTATGTTAAACTGAAACAATCATCCCTGAGAACAGGGGGTGGGTGCCTTTGACACACATATAAGGCCATATAAAACATCACTTCCCTGGCGATTTAACAATAATTCACTCCTCTAGCCTTGTAAATTGAGGGATTAACACCTTTGCAAACTCACTAACACCAAGGATGGAAATAGAGAGTGATGATTCAACAACATTCCTCCCATCCAGTTCTTGGACAATCAACATCTACATGAAGATTAACAAGTCCAGTACAATGCAACCAACTACTGTTAACACTACCTATAACTGTTTTGTATACACATACAGGCACATATACATATAGAAGGACTTGAACTTGGTGGCAAGACCTTTTCTAAGTGAGAAATAAAATAGTAATCACCTGCAATTCCTGCCAAAGTATTACTTTCATTTAAGTGAGCAAACATAACTGCAACACAATTTCAATCGATCACATAGAAAGCAACAAGACCAATGCTGTCTTCATGGCTCTAACATACTGTATATGGTAGAATTGAAAAAAAGATTGTGTATGGCCACTTCTCATCATATCAGAGGTCAGAGGCCTGAATTATTAAAAAATGATGACGCTCCAATGAGCCAATAGTAGCTTTCAGTCCTAGGCTTATAATATATTGTAAAACGCTGCGCAAACTGTTGGCGCTATATAAATCCTGTATAATAATAATAATAGGCTTCATGAGTCATTCATACAATACAATGATACAGACACAGCACATAATGTTATCACCTCTCACTGCTAGTCATCTTTAGGCTTCATGCAAAACGGTTTAAAAAAACGCCAGTGCTCTTGGCAAAAAAAAAAAATGCTAATTGAGCGTTTTTCTCTGCCAGAAAAGCACTCTAAAAACACAAAAACAAAGGGGTTTCTTGTTCTTCCGCTAAACACTGAGCTTAAAAAACGTCTCTAAATTACCTAATGTGCATGGACACATAGAATAACATTAGTTGCTTCTACAGAAAAAAATTAGTTTCTTTTCATTTCAAAGTGTTCAGAGTAGATTGCAGTTTTCATTTCAGTCACAGCACAGATTTACATTAATAATGGAAATCATACATAAACTGGCAGGCAATCTTCAGTATGTAGGTTTGTCTGCAAACAAGGTTGATTTCATTAAACAGTCCACAGAAAATGAAGATCATCTTTCAGGAGTTCTATAAAGACCTGGTATGATGAGGTCTCTTGTACTTTGAAAGCAAGCCCAGATTTTTAGTATACAAACTCACCTGTAAGGTTTCTATTTGTTTTCTGAGACTGTTGTTAGATGGCATCTAAATAAAGCAATGTGAGACAGCAAAACATAACAAACATGAAAATGGAGCGACATGCATGTTAGATGAAAAATAAAAGCACAAAGCAAACGGAACACAACTAAAAGAAGCCAGGAGAAGAAAACAAATCTGCATTTTTGGAGATTCTTAACTATCTGGCTACATAGAGTAGAAACTGGTTAACATTTAGCCTCATGCACACAGAATGTTATCCTAACTACCCTAGAAGCCTTTTCTCCTGATGCTAGTAAAAGAGTGTAAAGCATTTAGGTGCACCAAGTGTTTTGGTGTTCATTCATTTAATTGGCCAGAATACATTTCAAGCGTTTTTTCTGCTAAAACTCTGCTGCTCCTGGAGAGGTTGTGGGGAGAGTGGCACGGTATATCATGTATGGTGGGGGTGCCCAAAAATTCAAATATTCTGGAAGGAGATAGTGAACTTAATTAGGAGGATAACTGAAATTGATGTTGGTATGGATCCAGAGACTTGTCTATTGTACAGAGTATTCGGTGAACAAATATAAGGAGACGGGTATTTGGTATTATTTAAACGCAGCAAAAGGGTTGATACCCAAGTACTGGCGGAAAGTAGAGGTGCCGAGGGAGGAGGACTGGATGGAGAGAGTTGACCAGATCTGTAGGATGGAAAAAATCATTTACAGACAAGAAGATAGGATGGGAGCATATTATCTGAGATGGGGCAAGTGGGAGGAGTTTAAGTTAAAGTTGAAATAGAAGTGGATAGAGTGTATAGTAAGAATATCTCTCTTTTTTTTTCTAAATGGAAGTGGTGAAAGTATTGTAGGGTGGGTGACGGGAGGAGGGGGGGGGGAGGGGGGGGGGGGGGGGGGGGAGGAGATTAGAAATGAACAAAAGTTATTTGTTGGGTTTATGTGATTATAAGTGTAATGTGTATTTATTTGAAAAAATTAATAAATATTTGAATAGGAAAAAAAAAAAAAAAACTCTGCTGCTCCTGGATGCACTGGCAGTGGGTTTGTTTCCCTGCCTCTGCCTCTATGTGTGCATGGATACAGGCATGCTGAGGAGTTCAGAGGCAGGAAAAAAAACACCCCAAGGAGCAGCTGTAAAAAAGTTTAGTGTGCATGAGCCCTTAGATTATGGGATGTGATTTCTAAGTTAAGCACAGACAAGCTGATGGGGAACTACAGGTCTCTGTATAATTTGTCTGCCCAGACAAGGACAGTCCACGCCTAGAATAGTTATCAGATGCATTTTATGCCATAATCAGCTACCCTGCATGTTGATTTCAGATAAACCTTTACTAAATTTTAATCTGACTCATTGCCTGAGCTAAAATGAGATGCAGCTTTGTGCAGGTATTACACGTCTATTCTATTTAAAACATTCTTTTTAAAAACAGGTTTATAGGACTACTGGAAGACAGCCATTGCTGTATTTATGGGAGCTCTAAGCTGATCCTTCATGTCACAGCATCTTCAACAGTAGAGTTGCTGCAACTACAATGTCCACTTTGCTCTTCCATTACATACCGGGAAGCTCTGCCCAAACCTCTGAAGACAGACCGAGACTCATCTCTGTGGCATACTAGGAACTGCTCTGGGCTCTCACATTGCTGATAGTAAACAGTACCAGCAACCATACCAATCTAAAGTCAAATTCAAAGTCAATTTCTGGAGCACAGCACAAGTCCAGTCTGACCAGCTCCACACAGGAGCCTTAGTATTGCCCTCTTTTGCTATGACCAAAGATCTCGCCTGATCCAAAGACAGAATATTGGCCTCTCAATAATCTTTTGTCCAATAAAGATCACTTTCGGATTGGCATGCCCCTGGCTCTGTTGACCTCTATGGAAGGCGGTTCTCGAGAAAGGGAGTTTTTGGATGCCCAAAATGTTTTTTTTCCTCCTCCTCTCTCTTTTCACCAAGGTCTGGCTCAGTTTTCCTTTTTACTATATTCTGGGTATTGCATTCCTGTATGTATTTCTGAACATCAGCATGTATACATTTTAAGTGTAGCTCATTTTACCTATATGCATGTATGTTCTTTGCTGTTATTCAACAATGAAATGTATATCTTTGTTGTATTATGCTTGATGTTAGATGACATACTTGGTTTTCTGTACCTGCTAGGAGAATGTATGTATTGTATATGCCTAATACAAACTTATTGCTAAAGCAGTTTGGCTATGTGATTACTCTGTGCATCAAAATGATTGTACTAACAGATTGATGTACTGTTGAGAGGCTTGAGCACCCTAAATAATAATATACACTGCTCAAAAAAAATTAAAGGAACACTTTGAAAACACATCAGATCTCAATGGCGTGCGGCGGATGGACTGAAACATAATATCCCAGAGGTGTTCTATTGGATTTAGGTCAGGCGAGTATGGAGGCCATTCAATGGTATCAATTCCTTCATCCTCCAGGAACTGCCTGCATACTCTCGCCACACGAGGCTGGGCATTGTTGTGCACCAGGAGGATGACCCACTGCACCAGCGTAGGGTCTGACAATGGGTCCAAGGATTTCATCCTGATACCTAATGGCAGTCAGGGTGCCATTGTCTAGCCTGTAGAGGTCTGTGTATCCCTCCATGGATATGCCTCCCCAAACTATCACTGACCCACCACCAAAACGGTCATGCTGAACGATGTTTCAGGCAGCATAATGTTCTCATGGCTTCTCCAGACCCTTTCACGTCTGTCACATGTGCTCAGGGTGAACCTGCTCTCATCTGTGATAAGCACAGGGCACCATTGCAGACCTGCCAATTCTGGTGTTCTAAGGCAAATGCCAATCAAGCTCTATGGTGCCGGGCAGTGAGCACAGGGCACACTAGAGGACGCTGGACCCTCAGGCCACCCTCATGAAGTCTGTTTCTGATTGGTTGGTCAGAGACATTCACACCAGTGGCCTGCTGGAGGTAATTTTGTAGGGCTCTGGCAGTACTCATCCTGTTCCTCCTTGCACAAAGGAGCAGATACCGTTCCCTTTGATGGGTTAAGGACCTTCTACAGCCCTGTTCAGCTCGGCTAGAGTAACTGCCTGTCTCCTGGAATCTCCTCCATGTTCTTGAGACTGTGCTGGGAGACACAGCAAACCTTCTGGCAATGGCACGTATTGATGTGCCATCCTGGAGGAGTTGGACTGCCTGTACAACGTCTGTAGGGTCCAGGTATCGCCTCATGCTACCAGTAGTGACACTGACCCTAGCCAAATGCAAAACTAGTGAAAAACATTCAAAAAAGGTGAGTAGGGGAAAAAACGGTCAGTGGCCTCCACCTGTAAAACCATTCTTGTTCTGGGGGTCGTCTCATTGTTGCCCATCTAGTGCACCTGTTGTTAATTTCATTAACACCAAAGCAGCTGAAATTGATTAATAACCCCCTCTGCTACCTAACTGACCAGATCAATATCCCTGGAGTTTAATTGACTTGATGCTATACTCTGATTAAAAAGTATTCCTTTAATTTTTTGGAGCAGTGTATGATTGGTTGTTGTGTAGTTATTAGTGGTGTGCAGACCTTTATTGTTAATTACACTTGTTGACCTCTATGGTCTGTAAACCATTATTTTGAAGCACCCCAACATTGGAGCTGCATCATGCGAAAACAAATCATGTTGGTTTAAGTTCAAATACTTTAAAAGCAGCACAGAGAGACAGAGGTAAGCCCTTCCTTTGTGGCTTAAGGGCTCAAAGCTAAAAGTCTTTGAGACTCTTCAAACATTCATGAACTCCTTTTTGCTCCTGAACTGTGTTCACCTTAAAATTAGTTAAGCCCACAAACTTGCAGTATTCACTGGATGTAGAGAACTGGTTCCCACCTTTAATGGCTTCCTATCATTCTACTATATGGAATAAGTGGATTTTGCATCACAATGTTAATTACTTCCCACCAGATATACGCATATATGCCGTCTCTTGGCGGGTGGGCTTTAATGTCGAGAGGCTGCATATATAGTTACCGGAGGGGACCGAAAAGACCAATGCATACTTGCGTTTGGGAGCTTTACAATCATGTGACTGACAATCACAGCAGTCACATGATTGGAATGCCCATCTCTGCCTCCTGGCATTTAAAACCTCTTAAAGGTCTGGGAGGTGGCAGTGAGAAGGGGTTAAGAAAAGCTCACGCCAAAACAAACTTTGGTTTGAGTAGGGAGGGGCTATGATCTCTGTCTGTTTTTTAGCCATCTGTGTGCTTGTTGGGGAGATTTCTTCTGATTTCCAGTACTGGTAACCAAACACAAAATGAGTAGATCTCCCTAGTGGCAACAGAAATAATGCAACTTAATAGATTCACATCCTTGGCCTTGTCTGTTTTAAATCTTATTGTTATTCCTGTCTTGAATATGTGTTGAGGAGATTTTGCTGACTATTCAGCATGGCAAAGCCCCCCTCAAAACAAAACATTTTGGCTGGAATTGTGCTTAACTTTCTTTAAGGCAACCTGTGCTTTTACATCAGTTAGGTGTGAGCTACAGGAAAAAAAAAAAAAAGAAGTCAATGAGAAGGAAACGTCTACTACAATTTGGAAGCAAAGATTTTACAAAGAAGGTTGTACATAGGTCACTTCTCTGACTCCTACCTGGTCTTTATACTGCTAGTGAACATCAACAAACTGCTGACATCCTTTGAATTACCTTTCCCTCTAATCCATAAACTTACAGAGTAAGCGCCTATAATTTTTCAGCCAGTATGTGGCACCCTATTATACAGGCAGACTTCAGACAATTTACAAGACGAATAGTAAAAAAAAAAAAAAAAAAAAAACAAAACAAAACACACGATCTGGTGAATTTAAGGGCCTGATTTGATTTTTCATACTTTTACTTGAAACTGCTTAATAAAGTGAAAGTCTGTTAGTAGAATTGTCTGTACAGGGGCACTAAACAACAAATTCAAAACACAGGAACAATCCAAAAAAAAAGGTTTTAGAAGTAAACAAAACACAGATGGATGAGATGACAATGAGCAAGCAGAAAGATGTGAAGGGAACGAAAAAGCAGAGCAGTTTGAGCAGGTACCAGGAGTCAGTGTGTGCCACAAGCGAAGTGTCATACTCATTAACAGACATGCAGCCAATCAAACCTTAATAATGAGAACCCAAGTACATTAAATCCATATTACTACAGGAAAGGAGTCATTACACCTTAAATGACGGAGAACAGTACCAGAAAGATGCCGAGAGGAAGGATTTTTGATTTTTATTATTAGTGCGCCATTGTCATCTATTTCACAGTCAATAATGGAAAGAGGAGTAAAAGTTACACAAGTCATTGGAGTTTACGTAACCAAGGAGATTCATTGCAATACAATAGAAAGATGATGGCTGTGAATTATCACATAAATGAATTTGAAAAAGCTTGTAATGATGTTGCAGCTGGTCAGATGTGTAAAGTGAACGCCAGGAACACATTAATACTTTGTTAAATCACCCAGGACATGAATCTTAGGAAACTAAATGTGGAAGATTTGTTACATCCCAGTGATTCTCAGTGCTGAAACGTGACTGCAAGTGACTTACCTTTAAATGTGACAAACAGTTTTGCAAGAAAATGTGCCAATTGTTCAGGAAAAACTGTTTTTGGCTGACACACAGCAGACAGGTAACCAGTGGATATAGTGCCTGTGAATATAAAGGACACAATAAAAGCTGTGTTTATTAAAATTATTTAAAATGAATATAACTTCAATTGTTATTTCATTATAATTTTCTCCGAAAAATGCTGATAACATAATGATCTCTTAGGTGTGGAATTATTCTTTCAGCATGAAGTATGCATTTAACCATTAAAAATCTGTTGAAAGAATTTTCTCATAAATCTTTATTATATATTATAGTGTTATCACCAGCTCAAAAGGAAGATGGTTTGCCAAAAAGGCAAGCTTGCAATTTAAGTATGAAAGCCTTCAACCAAAGACTGAAGTATAAAAAAAAAAAAAAAACCCAAAAAACAGACTTAGTTGGTCCAATCCTTAAGTATGAAGCCAAAATAGCTAAAATTACATAGATTCCTCTAAAAATGGTAAAAAGGACAATGATACCAATTAGATTTCAGTGAACAAATAACCTATCGATATAGATATACTGTGTAAAGAAATAGGATTCCAGAGTATCATTTCTCACCAGGGAATGCTTCTTTCTTGAGCTGAGTTCAAACGTGGTCTGGTAGAGCATCTCTACAAAATTCTTTAAACATGGCACATTTACTTCATTTTTTACAGCCTGGAAAAATATAAAATGAAAACGTCATATTACTAAATGTCAGTATTGGCAGCTTCCAGATGAAAATGCGTGCACACTACACACTACCATGCTACAGTATGATTTACTCATGGTTCCATAGTAAGCTAGGTCAGTGTTTCTCAACCTTTTTTCAGTCAAGGTACCTTTTAAAATTATGGACAATCTCAAGGCACCCTTTAAAATTCTGCACAATCTCAAGGCACCCCATTCTAAAAATGTAAAAAACGATTCTACTAGTTTTAGGATAACGCAGCAACATTCACACATGTAAGACAACCAACATTTGAGGTGATTTATTCTTCCAAAGCAAAAATATTCCTTTGCAGACTGGTACGGACTAGTATTCCAGTGTTTTTCCCTTAGTTTCTCTCCCTCACTCAGCTGTGACCCCACTATTGATAAAGAGGGGCAGGGGACAGGCAAACAAGGATGCTTGCATGCGCCCGACATCCTCCTTATCAACTAATGATGTCATTGTTTGTTAGGATGCCGGCAGCTAGCAGGTTGTAAAAGTGCGCAATGAAAACCTATGGCTTTGTATAACTAAAAGACAGGCTTGATCCACCTGCTGGCTTGTATACAATTTTTAGGCATTATTCAAGCATATTGCCAAGGCACCCCTGAAAAAGCCTGAAGGCACCCTGGTTAAGAAAAGTTGAGCTGGGTTGACCATACAAAAAAATTAAAGACAGGAAAAAAAAATGCAAAACCTTGCATAATCAGAAGCCTTAGGGCAGTGGTTCTCAAGCTGTGGGTCGTGACCCCTTTGGGGGTCGAATGATCCTTTCACAGGGGTCGCCTAAGACCATCGGAAAACACATATTTCCGATGTGTAAAGAGCAGCTACTGTGTAGAAAGTAGCTGCTGTGCTGAAAGCAGCTACTCTGTTAAAAGCAGCTACTGTGTTGAAAGCAGCAGTATTGGGGGTAAAACGACGCTTCATGAATTATAATTACTGGGTAAATAATTTTAGGATTGGAGGTCACCACAACATAAGGAACTGTATTAAAGGGTCGCGGCATTAGGAAGGTTGAGAACCACTGCCTTAGGGGAAGGCAAACAGGAGTATCAGTTTTTCCTGACCCCTAAAAGTCATTTGGAAATAACTGGGCTCGACGTTCTATTCTATATTACCTACTTATACTCATAGCTACTTAAATTCTGTGCTTTTTAGATTTTACAAGAACCAGTTCATGTGGAAGCCTATTCCCCATATTTACAGCTCTTACTATTTTTTTATGCACAGGGTAAAACCTTTTTCTTTTAGTCACAAGCAGTATCTGTTGTGTCCTATGTGTACCTTAAGGCTGGCATCACACCACAACACACAGTTGGCACCAGAGTGCGTCTGTTTTTTTTTTCTAAATAGCATACCAGTGCACCATGCAAACATATTTCAACTCACATGCATTTCATCATACAACGATGTGTTGTAGTGTGCCATGTAAAAAAAAATGGCTCCTGTCCAATTTCTAAATAATAAATCTTGTCCCTCCTTGCAGCAATGCAGAAATGTCTCCCATTAAGTAACCAACTCAGTTTACCAGCAGGCTTTTTTCAGATATGTTTTCACAGGGCTTAGCAGATTGCTAAGGCAGAGGCCAACCTGTATTGTAAACTGGAAAAGCCCTTTAAGCTTTTCCTGTGCTTTGCTATGAACAAATAGTAAAAGAAAAATACTATAAACATTATGTGAGGAAGGATGGCTGATGTTTTTTTTTTTGCCAGTGATTTTCCCTATGTGGTTTCACACGGGTGGAAGTAGACAGCATTAATTATACTAACAAGCTCTTCTGAGGACATTTACCAGAAAACATGTAAGCATATTCTACCCAAAGCATTATCTGTTAATGTAATGGAAAATATCAGTAATGCTCTGACCAGCGCTGTGCTATGTATAGAAAAAATCTCCTATAACCCATGCAGTAAAATTGCCAGCAAAACAATATCTGATTTTGAAGAGATCATAAAGCCTCCTATGAGGAAGAGATGAGGCTTAGAAGCTTGGCACAAAAAAAATCAATTCCGCATAGTTTGATGAAAGATCAACTGTTTTACTATTCTGCAAAAAATCTTATCATCGCCTGACATTAAAGGATTTGTGTCGGTGTTTAACCACTTGCCCTCCAGAGCATTTACCCCACTTCCTGACCAGGCCATTTCTTGCTGTTTGGCACTGCGCTATTTCAAGTGGTATTGTGCGGTCATGCAATGCTCTACCCAAACAAAATTTATGCCCTTTTTTCACACAAACAGAGCTTTCTTTTGGTGGTATTTGATCACCTCTGCGGTTTTTAATTTTTGCACTATAAACAAAAAGAGACCGAAACTTTTGAATAAAAAAACAAAAAAAAAAAACAATATTTTTCACTTTTGGTTATAAAAAAGATCCAATAAACTCAATTAGTCATTTTGCTACATGTCTTTGGTAAAAAAAAAAAATCCCAATACATGTATATTAATTGGTTTGTGTGAAAGTTATAGTGTCTACAAACTATGGTATATATATTGGAATTTACATAGCTTTTACTTTCTGACTGCCTATCACATTTCTTGAGCTGCTAAAATGCCAGGGCAGTACAACCCCCCCCCCCCTCCCCATATAACCCCTTTTTGGAAAGTAGACACCCCAAGGATTTTGCAGACAGGCATGCTGAGTCCATGGAACATTTTATTTTTTGCCACTGTCATGAACTGTCATGAATGAGTTAAGTTTTGACAGCTCAGAATAGTGATCTGTGATTGGCTGGAGATGTTCACATCACATGGTACAGGGTGCTCTGATTGGCCCCAGACATCATGTGGCAGCTGTGGGCCAATCACAGCTCACTAGGAAGAGAAGCAGAGCTGTTATGAATGAGATTGATTCACAACAGCTTTGCTTACATCACCGGGTCCCGTTCATTGGGATCCTCATTCATGGACACAGCAGTCATTGGGGGGGGAGCGCAGCACCCCCTTGTGTTGATACAGCCAGAGCTTTGCCTGTAGCTGCTGCTCTGCACAGTACATTGCGGGCTGAAAGCGGTTAATCTTAGAATATAAATAAATACATATATTTATTTATTTATAGTATATCTTAGAATATAAATATACCCTTCCTCCTGGCCTTTTCTACATTTTTAAGTCAAAGTTACTTACCTTTTGATGCAGAACCAATGCATGTGTCTGCAGGAGAACTCTTCTTCAATTTACAGGGTGGCAGGGCACATGCACAAAGTGGAAGAGGTGGTCTCCCAGTGATCACGTTTCTATGTAGGGGATTATTTTCGGTTCAAAAGGGATAAAGGTATTTTTAAGGTTGAATGTAGACTTTAAAGAGCAACTCCTTGTTTCTGACCATTTTTTAAAATGGATTGTCAAATGTCTACTGTTCTCCAATGAAAACAAATGAAAATCTGAATGTCTACCATTCAGTGCAATGGTCTTCTCAAGAATGCGTACATGCACAAATAAACAAGAGGGGTCATAAATTGGTTTTGCCTTCTTCCTATGTAAAGCAATTCAGCTTGACCATACATCTTACTGCTGTTGGTGGGTACTTAGTCTGTCCCACTCACTGAAATGAGCACGACTGCCTAACACAAGAAATGAATAGTTAAACACAGGTAGTACTGTCCTAGGTCAAAGTTCTGCTTAAAGCAGCCTCTCTCAACCTTTTCAACCCAGAGGAACCCTTGAAATAACTTTCTGGTCTTAGGGAAACCCTGTGCAAAAAGTACTATATTTACAAATTATACATTAGTGTGATGGTCAGTGAGAAGAACGCTCCTTACACTTGTTGTCATTGGGAAGAATGACCCTCTTACAAATAGCTAAAATAATCAATAGTGTCAGTGGAAACATATCTGAGAGGCAGAAATTGTTCATTTCTCAAGAAATCCCTTGCAACATCTGGAGGAAACCCTGGATGAAAAAGCCTAGCTTAAAGGCTGTCCACAATAAAAGTCCATAATGATCACTTAGCTGCACAGACAGGTAAGTCCAAGAACCTGCAGTGACTCATAAGCAGGTGCATTCAGTCTTGTCATACACTGCCATCATCAGCATTTTGTGAAATTTGGAGCTGTCGTATGCCACATGTGATCCTAAAATTGTGAAAGCATTTAAACATAAACTAAACTGCATTTTAAAGGGAATGCATATATATTGTTTATGGCAGCAAAAAAGGGTCAGAAAGCAAACCGCTTCTGCTGTTCTGTCTATATATAAAAAAAAACCTCACAACGCTCTGCAAATTCTGTGCATCCTGTCTTAAAGGTTTACTTGTAAAATGAATATTTTAAATAAGTACTAGAAAAAACAAGATGCTGCAACATATTAGTTTAAAAAACATATTAGTTTAAAAACATATACATGTAAACATATGTAAATTAACAAAAACCATTATAGTTTCCATTAAAATAACAGATGATATTTGCACATTCTTGTCTTTGGGCCACATAAGTGGTGTTTTTTTTTTTTTTTTAAGGAACCCAAGAGTTCAGACCTAAATATCCAAGTAAAATGTCATATATACATACAATAAGAGCACTGACCAATATCCCTGATATTAGGAATTATTAAGCAAATTGTTCTCTTTCAAAATCTTTAAAACTTGGCAACTGATCATAGATAAATCTGTAAACATCACAAGATTTACTTACAGCAGCCACAGGGATGAGAATTTCTACAAACAGACCAGCAAGTGCATGTTTTATGTCCTTGTCTTTCACTTCTAAGAAGTACTGTGCACATTCCTTTCAAGCAAACAAGCAGAAAGAGTCATTATATGAACCATCAATGGCAATGAATACCTGCATTATAGAAACACTTTTTCAGCAATGCTGTAACACTGGGTTATATAGACAGTGCATCAAATCATGTAGAAGTTAAAGTTTGTAAACATGTGAAGCAGTAAAGAATCTGAGTTCAAAAGTGAGAAAGAGGCAGAAAATGTGAACACACTTTGATTGTGTTCTGCCTTGTGAGCTAAACAAGAGAAGTCACTCAATTCCCACATCTTCTATACAGCGTGAATGGAGGAATATTCCTGCTGTGGTATTCAGACAGCACCTGCGGCTGTCACAGTACCCGAAAAGTGGCTGCATCAGACTGGATGCAGTCACTGTTTGTGTGACAAATTTCTTCCTTCAATGTTTCAAAGTTTGTCGAGCCACGTGGTGCCCACAGTGCCACTCGCAGCTGGAATTTCGGGCAATTAAGCAAGAATCAACCAAAATTCACCATGCATGATCTGATAAGAGAGGGTAAGGGAAAGGAGTGTGTGAAAGATATAAAGAACATGGTTAAAAGAAAAAAAAGTGTCAGTAAGCAAAACGTTAGAGACTCAGAGAAAATGAGGAATAAAAAAACTAAGTGGACTGAATCTTTCAAAGAATTGTTTGTAACCCACAGCAAGCAAAGTATTTGTTGCGGTTTAGAAACCCAGAAAGAAATGGTTCAGACACGTTTTCTGCTTAGGACACTTTTGGTGCCCATATGGGAAGTATGTTATTAACAGGGCCCTAAACGCTAAGTTTAGATTAATTTTTTCAGCGAAAAGTACTCTATGAACGGAGGAAACGGGCCTTTCATTCATCCGCCTAGCCTCCATTCATGGAGCGCTTTTCATTGCTGAAGATACAGTAAAACTTCTAGGAATGGAGGAGAGGGGCAGAAAGGGCAGGCATATTCAGCACTGTTGACTAGTGCCTGTGACAGGTCCAGCTGCTGTATTGACCCCCACAGCACCTACTTCAGGGGTATGGGAAGGGAGCAGGACTGAATTTGGAGGAATCTGAAGGATGAAAAAATCTGCAGCCAGGTTAAGGGAACAGCCACCAGCACAATGGACACTTCTCACTGAATGTAAGTACCTTCCCTTGTGCAGAGTTTAAAAAAAAAAAGAAAAAGTTAACTAAACTGAACTGCAGCTATAGACGGATTGATCTACTTCAGTACAACCACCCTGTCGGATTTTTTACATGCAATTAATGGTGGTGGCTATAGCTGCTAGCAGTATACATTGTGTTCTGGCGGCAGGGAAGACTCCCAGCCGGTAGAACACAATAGTGCTGTGGGAGGGACACATCCAACGTTGATGGGGGAATCAAATGATTTTCAGAGAAGAAAATCACATCTTTTGCTTGCCTAAGAGTGAACAAAATTTTTAAACAAGAGCAGTTTTGACACAACAAGTGGTTTCTTTACAGTCACAGTGTAATGATAATTCCCAAGACATAACAGAAAAGGCAGAAAGCTAGTCAAATAAAAGCATGTAACGATGGCAGAAGACAAACACTTTCAAACAGCACAAAACAAAGGAAAAGTATGCACAAATACCTGCATAAACTGAAAAGAGGCTTCAAAATCTTCCACAGGATACATCTTGACACGGAAGAATTTCATTCCCATGATCAAGCTGATGATGCTCTGAACCACATGGGGGCTTTGTTCCTTCTGTCGCAATTCTTTTAATTCTGTGACAAACTTCTTCCTCACAGCCTGAAATCTAAATGATGAAAAAGAAAGCAGGAGGGGCGCCATTTAATCCTAATAAACAGCTATGCTGCCGGATATTCTCAGCTCTCTCTCCTGCCGGGTGAAAGCAGGGAATCCATAGCCATTTACTAAACCCCAAACAAGTCATAAAACTCAACAATACTCATCCACACAGCTCCCTGCAAAAAAGATCTAAGAAACATTCTTACTTGGACTGTGCAAGGACACCTATAACTTCTGCATATAAATCTGCAATAATATGTACGTTCCCAGTGTTTGTTCCTGAATACCTAGAAAAAAAAATAAAATACAATTATTTATTATATACAAATTTCCACAGCTGGAGCAAAGAACTTACTCCCCTTTCCCATAATATATAGAGTGTAACAGGCAGTTCCCAATGGAGTACCCATGTGTACCTCTAAGGGTAGCCTAGCTAACTGTCAATTGGCAGGAAACATAGGCAACTTCACTGCTGAAGATCAATAATCCAGATGCTTCAAAACTAAAGTGGGCTTATTACACCTAACAAACATCCACCAATCTGGGTGCTGGTTCCTGAATGGGTTAAAGTTTAGGTTTTTATTGGTCCAATTAAAAAAAAAAAATCAGACATTCTATTTGTAGGTGGAGACTTTATCAGTTATCAACCCAACAATGTATTCTACAGTATATATCTATACAGATTTGAGAAAAAAGGATTTTGACTTCCGATGCATTTTCTTGACTTGACTGAGTGATTGGCTCTTGAAATGTGATCTGCCCTAAATCCAAGTCAAAATAATGAAGCATGCACATGTATCTTTCAGAAATATATATGACACACTACATTTCTGTATTGTCATATATCGTTTTATAAGTCAAGGTCATGGATGAAGAAAAAAAATAGGATTTTTGTACTTCTGGTAATTTTCTTGGAATTTATTGGGGGGCACAGGAATTCAGATAATGTCTGGTAGTACTGCCAGCTACCCTGCCAAACAAATGTAAACAGTTGGCCAGCCAAAGGTTAACCTCTCCTGTCTCAACCCAGTACAACTCCCCCAGTATGTCTCAGTTTTGGCCTGTGCCACTCTAAAAATCCAAGAAAAAGATTTTACAGGGAGTAAAAAAACCTATTTTCTTTTTCATCTATTGAGGAGCAGAGGAATTTAGATACTGTCAGGGCATCCAAAAGCAGTCCAAGGACTGCCTGAAGGACCAACGCCAAATATGAGATCTAATGAGGTCAAGCCCCTAACATGGAAAGGGAGCAAATAACCAATAGAAGGATTTACAGAATCAACCTGATACTCAAGCAAAAGCTGGGATCCCCAAAAATATAGGGAAGTACATGGTCTGGAAGACCAGAAGGCAGCACAGGCAAGAAAGTCTTCTAGGAGAGAAATTCCTGGATACAGGGCAGGATCTTTATCAGTCACCTGAAGGTGGGGCTATTGTAGACACAAAAGCGATTAGCTGATCAAAAACTCAAAGTCTGATAGGGCAACTACAGGGACTATTTGGCTAAAGTTATAGTCAATAGCTTGAAGAACTCGCTCTCTTTCTTTGAAAACACTGACTTATTATATTTAAAAGTGCAGGCTCAGCTGCTGCATTCTAAAGGAAGAAAATATACATATTTATACATCCATCAACATTAGTTGTTAGTTTATGGGAAGGAGAAAGGCCTTATTAATTTGTATTTGTGGCAGTCTTTGTCATTTTTGGTGTATTACAGTGCAGGTTGTAGCCAGACATTTTAAGTTTTTCTGCCTGAACAGAGTACATTTGCTATTCAAAAATACAATTATCCTGTTAATAAACTACATAAATTACTTTACAGCCCAACCGTTCATTTCTGAAAATTTAAGCCATCGGTAGCAATGTATATATGTACACAGCACGATAAGAATGTATTTCCTAACTAATGCAATCACTTCCACTCTCATGTAAGCAAGATAAGGCAGATAACAGATGACTATGGTCCTAAATAAACAAAGTGCTGTTGTGCAATGCGGAAACTTCTAGGTAGAAAGATCAATCAATTCAATTGTGACGGTTATTTGTAAAGATTTAATACATTAGTGGTCACGAATGAGGGAAAAGACCATATTTATACAGCATATGTACATATTTATACCCCACCCTATATGTAGACACTCAAGAAGTCACAGTGATATATTCTGTGTGAAGTCAAAAGACTCCGAGCCCAAAGAATTTCCGTCTTCGTGTTGTCCAATATGCTTCCTGCTGCTGTATAATCCCAATGCTACCAACACCTGTGTAAACTAGGAGCAACTCCACGCAGATATAAAAATCCACTATTTAACCCAGTTCTGAACTCAATAAAAAAAAAAAAAAAGGTTTCTACATACAGCGGACTAAAATATTTGAATTTGTCTTGATATCGGCCAATTGAGGTCTAATAAAAGTTAAGGTTAGCAGAGTAGTAGAGAAGACTCAGGGAGCACCAGGGTGAGTTGTGCTTTCCGGAAGGAATACCTGGAAGTCAGCCTTAAAGTGTTACCAAACCCAGGACCCTGCATTCACTATATCTGGTCTCCCACAGTACACACAACATGGAAATGCAATTATTGTAGTAAATATAAACTGCTAAATACCTTTTCTCATCAGCAGTTAGAGCAGTCTTGTGACTTCTCACAGTGTTCAGCAGAGCACTGATTAAAGCTTGTAGGAGGAGTTATCTTTCTGCTCTAGCAGGATGCAGAACCCTTGACCTCTGTCTGGACAGTGCCGATTGGCCCTGCACTGATCACTTGACCTCTCCCAAGAAAAAAAAAAAAACCCTCTCTAGCAATACACACTAAACTGATCATGTGCAGAGTGACTCCACACATACGTCTTATCAGGAGATAAGAGGAAGGACACTGGAAGAAGGGAAGGATCAGAGAAATCAGGATCAAACAGCATTTTTACACAATGCAGAGGATTAACCCCTTAGGTTCCACAGTGAGTATGCTTTACTGCATATACAGACTGATTTTACTGTTGTGGGTTTAGTAACACTCTAATTTCATACCTATAAGCTAGGTCTGTTTAAAAAATGCTACCTACAGTCGGAATGACGTGCTCCAAGAAGATGTGTTTTAGATCACAAGGACATGGTCTACTCTTCAAATCATCATCCTGTCCACTATGGTTTGCTTTAGGAGAAACTCCTAGTGTTGTTTTGCTGCTGGAAGGCAGCATTATATACACACCCTATTTCTTATACTGACCCATTCAAAGCCAAAATTACACAGACAGCATAGTGCTAAAATATCTAAACATTAAATAAAGTAGAATAGACCAGGCATAATCAACACATGCAGGTATATTTTTCAATTCATATTTCAAGAGGCAAGTTAATCACAAAAACAAGAGGGTCAAACAAATGTTTGCAGACATACCCTTCTTTGTGTTTAAAGTGCTTAAAAGCCAGGTTTAGAACTTCCTGTATTAGGGGATCTGGAACTGGGTGAACAGGAATCTATAATAAAAAAAAACATTGCCAGTAATTATCGGAGATAATAACCATGAAAACATTTTTAAATTTTATGTTCAGCTGATGGAAAGGTCTTTAGTTTTGGCAGGACCAGCGATTTGCACACTACACAATACGAGTACCAATCTGACCATACAAAGCGATATTATCACTCTTTAATGAAAATTACTATGGCACCTAAAGATATTTATTTCTAGTGAATACATACATTCAATATCTATCTTGTATCTGCATCAGAATCGGGGTTTTCAAAATGTATGCAGCCTCCTACCACTTCAGTCACCCCCAAACAAATGATTAAAGAATGCATAGTCATTTTAATATTTGTTTTTTTAAACATGTTAATGTGAAAAAGACCAACATGTAAATAAACTTAATCAGAAAAATGTAAATAACCCTACCAATCCGGGCTTGCGTTTTAAGAATCTTGTTTATAATTGGTAATTATTTATGTATATGAGGAAAGCCATATTTGAGCATTACATGCAGACACTTCTTCCTGCTTTGCAGTACTAAATAAAAGTATTTTTTTAATGCGACTCTCCACAATGTAAGCCTAGAAGTTGGCCAACTTTTTGAAGCAATGCACTCCCTTTATGGCTGACATTTATCTCAACAGTTAAACAAGAGACAAACTAGAATGAGCTCAGGTGTGTTCAGATCCTAGTCCAAAATAACCTGAGACGTGTCACCAGGAAGCTGTCACTGCACAAAATCAATGGTAAGCAGGCAAGACCCCACCTTGCAGTGACACATATACAAGGGACGTGTATACATGCAGTTGTGGGCCAAGGAATGCCTCAGCCGCTTTAACTGGCTCTGTACAGCAAGAGATTCCTTGTGAATAGCTCAGGTGGGCTTGGACTAGAATCTGAACATCCCTGGAGTTTGGGTGGGTTTGGACTAAAATATAAACACGTGGCTAATCTACAAATTTTCTATGAAAGAACATTCTTGTAATAATGTGAAAGTTTCTAAAGAAATCGGTAAGATAAATACTGCAGTAACAAATCAAAATATGTGAATACTGAATTTACATTATACTACAAGCTCAGAAAACATTTTTCAATTAACAATTGGTATATTTTTACTGAAAGTGTTTCATTGACAACAAGTGGGACTCTCATCTAAATATAACTCTTATGCCTAGCACACACAATCAGATGATAAAAATCGCTTTCAGAGAGATCATATGACAATCAGATCATTAGTACAGTTTTCGACAGGGGATCACAACAGTTCATGTGACAATATCCAAAGGAACAAGCACAAAAATGTTTCTTGGTCAATAACACAGCAAATGATTTTCGTTTATTCAGTACAGTATTCGTCAGAAAAAAATTGAGAGACCAAGACCAAACTTACTTGGAAATGAAAGAATAAATTACAATATAATATATTACATCACTTCCGAAGTTGTATTCTGTCGTACAAGAAGTTTTGTAACTCTAGTAACCTATTCGTTTTTCGATATGAGTCTAGCATGCAAAAAAAAAAACCCCAACGGTCGACCATTTGTCCGATATTCTCATCAAGTGTATGGGACATTACAAATGTATCCTCCCTAATTATAGGCATACACTTTTCTGTCCAAAAGGCCAAGCAGCAGCACATTACATTCTCTTATCCGGTATGACAACAATCCGGAGTTAAAACCCACAATAGAGCTTATCATTTCCCCCATAAAAAGTGTGTTTCTCTTCCCCTCCCGGCTGCCGAGCAGAGACTTCAGCTCCAGCTACCTTTTTCACCCTTCACATTAGTGCAGGTAAGTTTTTTTTTTAAATGTTATTTTCAATACATTGTGAAAATTCAGCTGTCAGTTGATCTTAATGTTATGAAATGAAAAGTATGTCGTTTGCAATTAACTTGGCATAAAATAATTTATTTGCATTTAATTGTAATGGTTCAAAGAATGTTCGGAAAAATGTTCGGCCCTCCACCATGTTCACTTCATCCAATCTGGCCCTCTTTGAAAAAAGGTTATTTTTTTCCATTTTTTGGACAGAACAGAGAATCCCTGTTCAGGTTTTTATTTTACCTTCTGTGTCCAGTTGGGAAGATTTCCCTTTACCTCCTGCTCTGTAGAGACAAGAGGAGGGGGGGGGGGAAATCTCTCCCAAATTAGGGACACTTCCTAGATGGATGTTACCGGAACTAGAGTCCCCATTTATAGATTTCCCCTTTATTCCTATCCTGGGGAAAACTCCAAATTTTGAAATTTCTCTCACTTTCAGTCCCAGTGACAGTGGTCACCAGGACACATAAGAGAGCACACTCCTCTCTAACAGGGACACAGCCAGCAATAAAAACTTGACCGTAGTATACAATTCCCACAAGAACAAAATCTCACCTTTTTTGAAGTACAGGTTAGGAAGTGAAAGCAAGTAAATGACCGCTGTGAGAAGCACTATTTTTAATGGTGTATACAAGAATACCAACACAGCACATGTAGCGCAGACCAAAAAGTGGACTGGTGTAGATAAGCTAGAGTTTACCTGCTTTAGGACCTCTACTAAAACTAAACAAAAAATAAAGTCTACAGCCAGGTCTCTCCTTTCAAGTAAGTAGTCTCGTTCTCGCTGCTGTTCATCCCTGGAAGACAAAAGATTAACAATAAAGACACTGATTCTTTAAGATTTGGGATACTTTTTTAGCCTCCACTCATTTGACATGGCATACATAGGTCACATTGTCCCTACCAGATGTAGAAAACACTGGGACCGAAATCACAAGCTGTGTTTCATTTTACACATGCACATCAAGTAGTGTACAAGTTTCTGATTTAAACGCCACAGAGTTTTATGGTAAAATGACACTAGCTTTACCATAATATCAGCAGTACTACATGTGGATGCAAATCAGAGGTTATAATATAGTACATAGGCAAGTATAACTTTATTTCAAATTGTACCATAGAATTTTAATTAAAAGCAAAACTCAATGCTAGGTGCACTTTAATAATATGATCGAATATAAGAGAAAATGAAGATAAATGAAAAATTCCATTAATAAGTAATGGTGTCAAGCACAGGGTCACGTGCACCAAGCCGTTCTGCTGAAAGAGGAGGAAACATACTTCTCTTTTGGGTAGCCGGTTTCTTGAAACACTGCTTCTTTGCCATTGGGAGTGTGCAATATCTGCTTCATGACCAGATGCTGTGGTTTCTTTTGTTGGCTGATGGAAGGAACCACTGTGTGCAACAGGGAAGACAGTGATTCGACTCCTTCAATTGGACAAATACTTTCAGTGGGTGGGAAGCAGTGACATTTGACGATGGCCAAAATCACTGGCCACTGGAAAGAGAAGTATACTGCTTTTTTTTTCTTTTTCAGCAAATTGTGTATTGGTGTAGAAGTGATCTGGTGCTGACAGGGTCACTTTAAGCAATTTCAGAATATATATATATATAAAACACATACATACACACCCACATACATACGCACACACCCTTTAGTTCTGCTTTATTGGCATTTAGAGGAACAAATCTTGAAGAACGAGGACAGTTTGGTATTTCATGACTAATATTAGATGCATGGATTCTGGCCAAATGATAGCTATCTGGATAATAATCGGGCACATGACAAGCTTTGATAAATGACTGATTTCTTTTCTGATCAATCTCATCTGATATAATTGGTAAATTGTGGTCAATGCATTTGATAGATATGACACACAGGGAAGAGGATTGATGGAAGATCAGAAGCTATGGATCACATCCCTGTTTTCATCATGCAATCTCATAATCTCATTGATCAAAATACAATATAATTCATAAACAAAACATCTCAGTGCTGTAGATCAATGGAACACTATCAAGAATTTTCTACCATGCCTGGTCAAGTATAAGGCCCCTTTCAAATGAGCATACCGATTGGGTCCGCCTCTCCGTTTTTCAGGCAGACCCGATCAGACCACTAATTGTTCTGTATGGGGAGGCAAATGTAAACAGACATATGCATCTGATCCAATCTGCCAAAAACAGACAGATGGGTATACATTCGCCTTCCGTCTAGTGAATCTGATCGACCTTTAGTTGGATGTTAACAGACAGGTGGTCTGTTTACATCTAACTACACCATAGAGAACCGAGGGCTACCGCGCAGAGTGGATATGGCCGTGTCATCTCCCTGCTCATAGGGGATCAGTGGACAGATTCCCTAGTGAGCAGGCAAGTCTGCCCCATGTGAAAGGGGCCTAAATGGATCGAAAGGGAAGTTATGCCGATTCAATTATTTGACAATTCAATCATTTTGATCAAACTGGCCATTAATCGGATAATAAAACCGAGGTGTCAGCTGTGGCTTTAGATGGTTCCACTGTGTAATGAGAAGCTTATCATGCTTACCCTTTAGATTTTGTGCTAGAACGAGGCCTGTATTCATACGATTCATCTTCAGTCCCATTTTGTCGTTTATACCAGTCAAACAAGGTGCGGAGTAATGAGGGGAGACAGTGCTCTGCTACAGAGCTCATACAGCTGATCACCTGTCAACACAAACAGGACAGAAAAAAGTGAATGGCTAAATACACATCCTTAAACGGCCTATACATTGAAAACGATACGAAATAAAGACTGCTCTGTTTAACTGGAGGTCACAGAGCACAAAGATCAGGGTGTTGCCTTGATGGTTTAATTCCATGTTAGCACAGCTTGTTTTAGCAGACAGCTCATATTTTATCAGGTGATAAAGACGTTTATCACAAAGTATACATGCTAATATTTATCTTTCACTTAACAGTTCATTTTCCCAAAAATACACAGTCATACATATGGCTACCAAAAGAATCAGGTGAACTAATGAAGATCTCCTTCCCATGCAGTGGCCTACCCTCTGCTATAGTTTGTGAGCCTACAGGGAAGTAGGTCTTCCTTCCACCAATGGCAAGTTAATGAGTAACTTTTGTGGAGAAAAAAAAATTTCCCCTCTGGGTGAACAATGCACATAGCAAGGATGTTAAACGGTTGCAGAGTCCTACCTATTGTTACTCTGAAGAAGTAGTTTGTTTGTCTGTGTCCATGTGCACAGTGAATTTGTATGGGAGTGATTTCATAATTATCAAGTCGCTGCTGCACCTACATAGCTCTAATGAGAAAAGTGGCAGGGTCTGTATCCCTTCAACCGCCTCCCGCCCCCCATATAGTACGACGGGCGCAAGGCTGTTCTCTTGTTCTGGGAGGACGTCAGTGCTCATCCATGCCACCTTCTAGTGCCCAGTGCCACATCAATGCCACATTTCAGTGACCATCTGAGCTGTATTTCAGTGCCACCCATCAGTGCCAGTCAGTGCCACCTATCAATGCCAGTCAGTGCCGCCTATCAGTGCCATATAGGAGTGCTGCCTTTCAGTGCCCATCAGTGATGCCTGTCAATGCCCATCAGTGCCACCTACCAGTGCATCCTCATCAGTTCCACCTATCAGTGTCCATCAGTGCAGCCTATCAGTGCCCATCACTGCAGCCTCATTAGCGCACATCAGTGAAGGAGAAAAATCACTTATTTACAAAACTTTTTAACAAAAACTAAGAAAAAACTTTTTTTTTTTTCAAACTTTTCAGTGGTTTTTGGTTTAAGAAAAAATAAAAAACCCAGAGGTGATTAAATACTACCAAAATAAAGCTCTATCTGTCACAAAACAAATGATAAAAGTTTCATATGGGTACAGTGTTGCATGACCGCGCAATTGTCATTCAAAGTGCAACAGCGCTGAAAGCTGGAAATTGGCTTGGGCAGGAAGGGGGTATAAGTGCCCTGTAGGCTAGTGGTTAAACAGGATTTCCCATTGGGAGCATCTCACCAAAAAAGGATATCTTTTTGTTGCAGGGGATGCCCAAAATCTGACTTGTATCTTAGTGCAGACTTCTGGAAGTAAGCCAAATCACATAAGCAGGAAATGACTGGGTGGCGGTCTGTACACCATCTGTCTATAGAACACCTCCAGGCTGCCATACTGCATTTTACAGAAAAATACAGAGCTGTAGATGGAACAGGAAAGGTAATTTTTAATAACATTCAATTACAATAGGACTTTGTCGCAATTCTATATGCTATATAATTTTTTTTTTGCTATTTTTTTCCATATGAATGTGGAGTTATCCTTTAAAGTATGTGTGAACCCTCACCTCTTAAAACAACCCATTCAATTTGAAATAGCAATGAAAGTCAGGGGGTGTGTCGGCACACGTCTGATCATTGGAGGACAGGCAGGCTTTTCTCCCAGCACAGCCAGGAAACTGACTCACTGGTATGAATGTACTCTCAGGCCTAGTGAGGTCAGTTTGAAAGAGGAGAGAAGGGGGACTGACAGGATCTCCAGGTATATCACACAAAGAAAACAGGATACTTTTTAACACAAGTACATGGTACAACAGGCACATATCAGGAAAATGCTGGGGCGACATATTCCTTAATGGTAAGAGTTGGAGGAAGGTGTGAAAAGCTATTTAATTATATTCTTTAATTTGATTTGTAACTTTAGTTGTTCTTGGGCTGTAGATAAAATTTATTGGCAGCAGAATTGAATCAAACAAAAAGGTAATAATAATGTGTACGTGATTTGAGGAAGTCACGTGATGTGACGTAACGCGTAGAGTGGGCCGATGACGCAAAGCCGCTACACTGGAGGTTTACGAGCCGCCATCTTGGAAATTCCTGAACACATTGGAATTACATTGTAACAAGGTTTTTTTACTGTGGTGTCCCGCAGGACACTTTTAAATGTGAATGAACTTTGTTTTTTCAATAAAAACCACTATATTTAAGTACTACACTATGGCAAGCGTTTCTGTTTACATACACAGAAGATATGTGGAATAAAGAGGAGACGAAACCGTTTGCAGTAGAGTGAGGAGGAAAGTGGAGTCATCCATACAGTATACCTAACCTGGGTTAAAAGAGAAAGGTGGTATTTGACCTATGCAATATGGTTCATATAAGGAGGTGAGAGTATATACATATATCTCTGGTGGAGGAATACCTATAGGAATATATGTGGATAAAAGCAATAAAGAGCACCTGTTTGGGAATAAATCATAGAGGCACGGATATAATCACACATCAAGGACTTTTAAGTTGTATTCATTGTATTTACTAATGTTTAATAATCACATGGTTTGGATTTTTTGATGTACTGTAAATAAGGATATAGAGATACATGTGCGGCACTAATATATGATATAAAAAGTAATAATAAGGTTCTGTAACTTTCAACACAAGTCAGTCTGTCTAGTCATGGTAGAAGTGCCAGCATGCCTGTTTACCACTTCCATGGTTTTCCGCATTGAGCTCAAGCTGGCTACGTACATTGCAAACCTAACACCACAAGTACTATAGTTGGCTATTTCAAAGCACTCTGTGCCAATTTTCTACATACTGAATCCCTTGGCAGAAATCAGACAGGCACTCATATGCCAGGCCCTTGTTGTAAGTGAGGTACACAGATTGCTTTTTTCCCTATTTATGGCTTATTTATAATTTTTAATGGATTTAATAGCCGCATATTTAGAAAACATTCAGAGCTCCTCTAACTGCCCTTTGAAAGAACGACCGGATTGCTGGATATAAATAGTGATGTTTTCAGTGTTTCTCAACCTTTTTTCAATCAAGGCACCCTTTAAAATTATGGACTGTCCTGAGGCACCCTTTAAAATTATGGACAGTCTTGAGGCACCCCATTCTAAAATGGGGTGCTTCAAGACTGTCCAAATATTTTTAAAAAGGTACCCCATTCTAAAATGTGAAAAACTATTCTAATTTAGTTTTATATAAAGCAGCAACATCCACACATGTAGGACACCCAACACTAGAGGTGAATTCTTCCAAAGCACACTGGTACTGAGTAGTATTCCATGGTTTCTCTTCTCCCTCAGTTTTTCTCCACCACTGAGCTAATGTGACCCCAGCACTGATGGAGAGGGGCAGGGGAGGGTCAAACTAGGATGCTGTGCAGGCAGCTGACATCCTCCTTATCAACTGATGATGTCATTGTTGTCAGGACGCCGGCGGCTAGAAGGTCATAATGGTGCACAATGAAAACCTGTGGTTTTACTACAGAGCCGGATTCTCAGTTTTATTTGGGCTCATAAACGTCCCAGAGTGCCTAGAGCCACTCTGTATACTCAGATTACAGGGAGGTTTGGGAGTTCCACACGTTTCTAGATACTATTTGGCGGCTCATGTTTCCCAGTTGTCTATGCTTCATACCACAAGAGATATCCCCTTATGGGTACTCTTAGAATTACCCAACTGTGCTCCACTTTCCTTAACTACACTGCTTTGGCTCCCGCCTAAGTTGCGCCCTCCGGATTTCAGCCCTAGCATGCTTCACAGTTTAAGAACCTGGGATTCTGTAAAATATTCGGGTAATTTGATTTCGTAATTCCTACCTCTTTTGCCGATTACGCATAATCCTTTATTTCCTCCAGGCCTAGCACATCCCCCTTCTTTCTCTTGGTGGACCTCCCATGGCTTTATTATTGTACATGATTTTCTGAGCGCTCGTACACTTCCATCTTGGGAGTCTCTTCGAGAATCAAGGGGGGGTCCCGCCACGGGAATATTATCGGTATTTGCAATTGCGCCACTGGGTCCTATACCTCCATCGTACCTCTACATACCCTTACCGCAAAACGTCCTTTGAACATGCTTGTCAGCATTCCCCAGGGTCTCCTGCTCTCATTTCTGTAATTTATGCCTCCCTTAACAGTAGGTCTTCCTCACCACCCCTGTCTTATGTCTCTCAATGGGAGCGAGATCTGGGCGTCTCGATTGCGGAGGATTGGCGTAGGGCCTGGGGGATGGTGGTGAAATGTTCATTCAATATAGTCACTCTTGAGGCAGCCTACAAAGTTCTACTGCGGTGGTACTGGGTCCTGGCTTGGACTGCTCACTTTAATCAGACTGGTGGAGATAGGTGTTTCTGGAACTTTGGTCTACGCAGGGACGTTTTGCACATTTGGTGGTTGTAACCGCGATTGATAGGCTTCTGGGCTAGGGTTCTTGGTTTGCTACAAACGCTATTTCATATTACGGTCCGTAAGGATACAAAGGTGACCCTCCAGCATTGCCCAATTTTGGGTCTGTCTAGGTCTCAGCAGAAATTGGCATCCTACCTATTCATTTCGGCCAAACGTGCTATAGCTCAAGCTTGGAGAACCCCTTCGGTACTCTTCCAGGGGGTAAAGACCTGGATGAATGCTGTGTTGTTCAATGAACAGATGTCCAGATATAACAGATGGATAATGTATCCAAGGTTCCCAAACCTTAAGGAATCTCGGATGAGAATCATGAAGTGATTCTCATCCGAGATTCCTTAAGGTTTGGGAACCTTGGATACGGTATTCCTTGCCATCCCTGCCTCCTACTAGTTATGGCCTCCTATAGTCGCTGCCTGTGATAGCCCCGGATCCGTGGTCCCTCTAGTTTCCCTTCTTTCATGTTTTCTTTCTGATTCCGTTTTGTTTTATTTTCTTTTTCTTTTCTTCTAAC